AACTCACACCGGGCATACCGGAGTGTAATGACACTTGGCAGGGTCGCGGTTGGCAACGAATTGTTCGCAGCGATCGATCGAAAAAGCGACGATCGTGATTCAGCTGTTTAATTAGGATGCCTTTGAATGAGCGTTGCTTAATAAGATGTTAATTACAATGATTTCTAGCAGCGATATATTAATAGACGAAAAGAATTTTTTTTTTTTTTTTTCGGTGTATTTATGTGCGCCTTCGGTTAAATTTCCGTCAGTATAAAAGAAAATTAGTTAAAGTTAACTGAGAAAAAGAGATAAGATTTTTCATCGTTTATTATAAATTATACAATTTTGTATATCGCTTTTCAGAGAAATCACCAATATCTCGATCTATCATTATATTTAAATGTTTTCCTTAATCTTGTTCAGCTCTTTTAATGAATAAAATAGAGAAGATAGTTTTTGTAACATATATTATTTGTAATGCATTACATGTATTATATCGTTCTATAAAAGCTTAATTTCATGAAAGTGAGCAAATTTAATAAAGGAATACGATCGTACGATGTTTGTTGTCTGACATGACAGCTCGCTCGTCCCTGTCCGTTTTTACGTTTTGACGTTTGCATCGCTTGCGGATCGACCTCCGCATAAGTTTTACATAATCTTATTCAAATAACAATATACGCGAGACCGCATCGCGTGGAAAGGGAAACCGACCTTAGAGTTTATTTCCATATGATTTACGAGCGGTGTGCCTTTCAACGCACACGATGTACGAAGTACAATTTGTACATTATTTTACATGCTTTACTTCGACAAGTAGCTACATTCTTATTACACGCATTATTTTTTCGCATTTTATTGCCGAATTTCTAGTTTTTTAGAAAATGTCACTCTATTGCTTGGCCTTTATTACATTTTTTTTAGTCATCTCGAGGAGAACGAATCGACGAATATAATCTAATTTTGAATCACTTTATATAACGAAGATGTATGAAATTATAACTCTATATCGCAAATGTTAGTAATGTGACGCGACCCTCGCTTACGTTTTTTCTGACCCTTCGCAGATATCATCCTGATTTTTACGTAATATTCTGATATTAATATATATTTATCGCGTAGCTCGTGAGCCGACTGTGTGACCCGTTAACTCGGATATGTTAGATTATATTAATATTCTCTTCCCATGACGGAATGGCATATGTGGAACTTTATATACGTACTCGAAAAATCGTACCTAATAAACACGAAGCCCTAATAATTGTCCGATAAATCAAAGTCGGAGATTTTAGCTTGTGTGACACAAGATTGAAACTTTCTGAGAAAGGTTGCACTTGAAATAGTGATAGGAATTATAGAAAGCAATGCAATTGTTTATTATGTGGCTAACGAATAGAAAACTGAGGGAAAAACTAATAATAATCGCATATCGATTAACTAATGGCTTTGCCGATTCTTTTTGCCAATTGTGCTTGTGTATTTCTCCTACTTAATGAAATAAGCATTATCGAGGAAAATATGCTAAAAAAGATAAAAATAAAGCACGCATTGATTTGCACGAACTTATTTAGATAAAATTTCAATGCTTTTGCAGCATATCGCGCGATATTGCATAATATTTGCACACTTATCAGTGCTATTCCTGTTCGCGAAGAGTTCTAATTTTTTATTTCATTTAAAATATACTAATAATAAGTTAAATATTGTTTAAATGCCATCATAAGTATTTGAAAATATTTATATTGCATAGGAAAAATTTCTCTCTCTCTTTCTCATTCTCTCTGTTTATTATTATTTATTATAATTAATATATTTTATAGCAATAATGTTTTTAACGATGAATTTTTCATTTAAGCCATTCGAAATTTTAATACAAACAGATAGAAGATAAAATTACACATTAAGTAAATTTTATAATATTAATTAAATTAAATATTGATACGTAAAATGTTTTTAAAAATTATCTATAAGATAACACAAAATGAACCATCTTGATACGTAAAATAGAAAATTATCCGAATCTATCGAAATCTCTTATAAAATTTTATCACTTGTCATCAAGATGTTCAATATGTCCTAAATTGTGAGAAAATTATTATGTTTCTGTTATTCAAGATATATGCTACTCAAAAACTTACTAGAGATGAAGATAAAATCATGTTAGAAGAAATATTAAAACACACTTTATATACATCATATGCATCACAGCTGAAGTCGTAATAAAAACATATAAACGAATTGAGGAGAGCCTTCTAAATACGCTAAACAACTTTCTATCTCAAATTTGAATCGTTAATAAAAAACAAATTTTAATGCAGCCTATCTTTTAATAAAAAAAATACTGAAAAATCTGATTACCACATCTTGATTTGACAGTTATTTCTAACATGTTACAAAGATAAGGCTGATTCTGGAGATAATAAATTGTATTGAAAGGTCAATGTTGACAGTTACATAAGACAACATTTTAGATAAAATTATCGGCCATAATTTAGAGATTTGACATAAATGCTGCAGAATTAATGCAGTTGATCAATTTGATGTATTTCGTACTGCATCTTGGGCAGCTATATTAAATCCAATCCCATATATTGAAATAAAAGAAGAAGAATGATTGAAAATTGAGTTATTTAGAGCTCGAGCAATATCTTGACCAGTATCTACGACTTATAGAAGAAGACAGTAGTCAATTTATTAAACAAGTTGGTGATTCTGGTGGGAAGGGGGGCAATACAGTATTTACATGAAAAATGCATTTAAACAATTAGTATGGGCAGCCATAGAAAATATTGTAATGGGAAGATTCAGTTCCAAGTTACGCATTGAAAAAAATGATCAAATTCTACAAAACTAGATCAAATTCAACAATTAGCAATGATTCCAGCACAAGAAACTAAATGCTTAACATATGTTTTTACACAAGAAAATTACAGATGTAAGAGATAAAAAAATTTGGAATTTGGCAGCACCAACAAAAAAATCTTTTCATTTTTACATTGATCTAACTAAAATTGTTCAAATGGAAATTGAACATTATTGTCAAGCATGTATAATATCATAAAATATAATAATATAATATAATATTATAATATTATAATATAATATTATAATATTATAATATTATTATATATAATATTATAATATAATTATATAATATTATTATATATACGTTTGGAATAAAGCGAATGGATCGTTAAAATTGAGTTGCTGTTTTGGAAATTATTTTATCCACGCCCTACAACTGCGTTGGCTCTTAACTGCCTTTCGATATTAATTTTTGATTTGTTATTATATATAATATAATAATATAATAATATAATATAATATTATAAAAAGATAGGACCATGAGGCCTCTTTTCTTTCAAGTTCTCATCTTCAACATGGATTAACTTGATTGGCTTTCAAAGTCGTCTATCCAAAAAAATCATTCTACATTAAAGAAACTTTAAGAAATTTTAATCATTCAAAACATAAGCAAAATTTCAAAAAATGTGTGAACCTGTAATAAATCGTCTCTAGAGTTGACGCATGAAAAATGAAAGTCGAAACAATTAGAAAAAATTTCGATAGGGTAGATACCTTATTATCTCCTCATCGTCTCCTGCATCAATTGTCATTTTTTTAGATAATTCGCAGAATTTTTTTTCCATTCAAATTTTTCTAGCATCCTCTTATACACATGTCGAGGTCAGGAATCAGGGTTCCTCGAGTAATCATCGAGGAGAAATCATCACAAAAGTCCTCGATCACCGACCGAAATAAATTCCTTGAGGCGTTGAGGTCGGTTGCCTCTCTCGCACTGCAACTCGCTTACTCTTACGACCTTACTATTTACGCTCGTTCCCCCGTAACCTTGGATTGCATAATCCGGACGTCTGTACGCGTGCGCCGCCTCAATGAAAGGCGAAACTCGGCCAATTCAACGTACGTTTGTGCGTGAGGGAAACGCGCGAAACACGTAGGCACGTTCGCAAAACCCGAGAATCTGTCTACAACTTTAACACGTAATTGACACATTATCGCGACACTATTAGTTTTACACGCTATTACCTTATAAAGCTATCTGAGTTCGTAACGAAGACGATACGAGCAGTAGAACCGATCGATCGAAAGGCATACGTGAAAGTACTGGCAACAATTATTCTACTATTTATTTAGCTGCTCAAACAACCTGTGCTCACGTGAGGTTTGCCTGTCGAAGAGAAGAAATAAAAATTGTCTCTCGCAAATCGGGTGGGACACACATGTTTTCCTCTTATCTCGTTATACAATCGAAAGTTATCGTGTTTTTAATTCTTATCGTCAATTAATTTATCATTCTTGAGCACACTATCAACCTTCAAACTTGATTATTAATTAACGTGTTAAGATCTCTTAATATGAGATTAATCCTTTTTAAAGCAACAATGAGACAAAATTGATAAAATTGATAAAAATTATTATATCAATGACTCTATGATAAAATTAAATATTCTCGATTAAATCGATTGGATCTTGCCAGCACTGCTTACTGATCTTTCTAGTGCGCAAGGAACGAAAATTTCACATTTGAAATATCACAGGTGATAGTTTGAGAAATTTATTTCGTTGAAATGAAAGATTCATTTAAAATTTTTTTTTTCGTTTATAATCATATTATATAGTGACATTATGGATTTTTTACACATCCAATGATTATGTTATGTTGCATAAAGAATTCTTTTTGTCCGAGAAATTAAAAAAATTAATAGCATGCATCGAGTTACTATTCGTCTCTGTTTCTCAAAACTACTCTCTCGATTCATTAATTTAAACCGTGGATTTTTTTTAAACTCAATAAAAAGACCGAACAAAATCTCTACACGAGAGAAAATCTAAAAAAAAAAAAAAATAATTTGTCGATGAACGTAAAATAATCAAATAAAACGATGAAGTAAAATCCTGAGACTCGTTTCTCGCGTGAATCTCTCTTCGTTTTACGAAAATAAAATATATAAATAAACTACCAATAAATTAATAATATGTGTATGTTTGTTTAGCAGTGGCTCCGTACTACAACCGACGTCCCACAGCCGCGACAGGAGCTTCGATGGGATCCTTGCCACCGGCTCCTCGTGCGTCCAGCAGCACGGACGATGATCACAGTGGATTATCGGAGACGGAGAACATCTCCCCGGACACGTCGCCTGACATTCGCCGGAATCGCCATACCGCGTCCGGCCAGGACTCTTCGCGCAGGAAGCGCCGTGGCAACCTGCCCAAAGAAGCGGTGAACATCCTGAAGCGTTGGCTTGTTGAGCATCGGTACAACGCTTACCCGAGTGAGTCCGAGAAGACGAATCTCAGCGAGCAAACCTCGCTCTCGGTCCTTCAGGTTAGTGTGATGTTTGTTTTATTTTTTTTTTTTATGACACTTTTTTGCGAAACTTTTTATGTAACCGCGAATTTTCTATGGACAGTCCACCATACATAAATAAATCGCTTTGATTAGAAGAACAAATATTTGGCCATCATATTTGTTTCAACATGCAAATATTTTTAAAATTAATATGTGAAAAATTGTAATGATGTAATTTTTATTTTCTTAATAAGACAAAAATTACGAAAATAATTTGAGAAATATCTCTAACGGATATAGAAAAGTAGATATTGCAGCACCTAATTTTTAATTCTTTACATTCAATCTGGTTGTAAAAATTAAAGCAATACATTACACACACAGTTGAGTAACTTTTAAAAATTCTAAGATGTCTTTCGCGTTTTTTGTAAGATTTTCATGGGATTAATTGATATCGATTAATGCTAGTTTGCGACACATCTATGATCTCAAAGAAAATCTTTTTTAGAAAATTACACTTGTATTGATGAGTACAGAAAAGAAACAAATATTAGAGATATAAAATTAGAACAATAAAATATCGAAGCGTGGAAATGAGATACAAAGATATTGACAGATGGATGGACAATCCTAAAAAATTCAGTACAAAAACATATAATAATTGGAACAATCTATATTCATTTTTACAGGTGTGCAACTGGTTCATAAACGCCAGACGGCGTATCTTGCCCGATTTGTTGCGCAAGGACGGCAAGGATCCTCTCGAGTTCACGATATCGCGTCGTGCTCGTCGCATACAAGCTGGCGCTTCTCGACAGGGTCGAAGGTCTGATCCGTCCGAAGAACTGATGGACGTGCGAAGGTCCCAAAATTGGGATTTACACGCCGACAGGACGGCCGCATCATCGCAACATCTCGAGAGGGATCACGATTACGACGAGGAACCTGCATATCGGTAAGCATCTCCCTTTCGTTCTCATTCCTGACGTTTCGATGTAGATATTAGCGCGCGAAAGAATTTCTTCGACTTCACCGACACTTACTGACTTAACACCGACCTCTTGACATGCGTCAAAATCAAAGAAGGAAATCGTTTATCCGCTTATTCACTGTTTTGCTATGACGAGGCTTGAGAGAACATTGTAAATAGGAGAATCGATAGATTAAGTACACGAAAATGCTAGATATATCATTCAAGATTTACCTACGCAGAAGCGAGGACAGTCCGAACGATTACGAGAGTAGTCCGAACGATTACCACAGCGAGGAGGAACGTCCTTCGATACGATGGCCCAACGTAATCGTTCGCCCCTATGCGGAGGCCCAAGTCGAGCAGTTAGACGGCGACGATATCTCTCATCCTCCTGCTCGACGAAGGCAAGTTTTGTACTACGATACAATGGTTGCGTTCGACACAGGGAACAAACATAATTGTAGAACCTTGCAATTATTATGAGATTATCCGCCAAATCCTTTTCAATGATTCGCGAATTTTTAAAATCTTTGCAATCGCGAAATAATTAAAAATACAAATAAACTACAAAAAAAAATGATTAAAATCAAAGTATAAATGGTTAAAATCAAATACATCCAGAGATACATAAGACTATGTAAAAGAATCAATCACACTTTTCATTTAAGGGGATTCCTCAAGCGTACTTTTGTACCGATAAAACACCGAAATTTTTGGGCAGGTGCCATTTTTGATTGTCCGTATAGAATTAAAAATCCTTTTCTACGGTTGAAGTATAGATGCGAACAGGGCAAAAGTATAAAATTATATATTTATTGATCGACTTCTTAGATCAACATGGCGTCTAAAGCTATCGAATTTTCAAGATCCTTGCGAAATAATTAAAAATACAAATAAACTACAAAAAAATTGATTAAAACTAAAGTACATAAGAATATATTAAAAAATCAATCACGTTTTTAACGCACTTTTACGGTTCAAATACCTGTCTCTTGCGCGTGCATGTATTCTGGCGCTGTGAATAACGTAGGCATGGATGCTTCAAAAATTAGTGAATTAAACATGGCAACTTTTTTTTACAGGGACGACAACAATTCCGAGAGTTCCCACGACACCTCTACCGGCGAACCCGCTGGGTACTGGAGCGCCCCTCGAGAGCACCTGTCAGCAACGCCTGGTGTTCAACAACAGCAGCAGATCGAGATCCACTATCGTGGTCTGCCGCCGCGGACTCTCGAGAACGCCTTCGCTCACCAGGACAACGGGGATTCCTTCAGGATGCTCGTGGAGATTGCCGTAGCCAGTCCGTACGAGCCTCCAAGGCAGCGACCGTCGTCAGTCGATTCCTAAGTGAATAGGACGGGACGCTTCCACTGTAGCCAGTGACAAGGACAACGAAGAGCAAGGATGACGTCCCTCGCACATTGGATGACGACAAAATGCGTCGAGGGAAAAATTAAATTAAATTTTTAACTTTTTTTTCGTTGTCCATAAAAAATTAAAAAAAAAAAAAAAAAGAAAAAAAACACAAAAGACAAAAATTTAAAAAAAATGTTAGACTTTATATAATTAAATAAATTGTTAATCGCTCGGCAATCGATGTTCTTCGCGTTTGCCCATAATACCAAAATGACGGCAAAATTCGCCCGTTGGATTTTTATATCGTGTGTTGCGTTTTAAGTTTTTAAACTAGCGTTATATTTTTAATTCTTGGATTAGTCGAATAGCTAATAACGATGATGTGTTGACGACGAGTGCGGTTTTCTCTCCGTTCTTCGTTCCTGAAGCTATACATAACGACGCGTTTAGTCCATACCGTTACATTACCTGATCTTATTATAAATTACGAAAAGGAAGAAAATTCCCTTTTACGTTCAAGTCGAAAAAAACATCGGACAAATACGTGTAATGCGTGCATATACGTAATGCGGACGTAAAGGGGGATTTATCAACTTAACCGAAACCAGCGAGTGCCAAAGTGCTTAGCCCGAGCATCACGAAACTCTGCCTTAATTAAGAGAAACAAGTCTGAATAATATGTATAAGCATGCTATTAGAGAAAAAAAAAAGGTAAAAGAACAAAAAAGTAACCGCACAAGTACAAAAGTTATATTCGCTCTTCGAGAAGTACGTGGTCGTTAGTTAGCTGAATAGAGATAAATGAAAATGATCTACGCGGCATCGAGACTATATTGTTTCTAGTAATAGTGTTCCTCCGCTCACGATAATCTTTTATTTTAACTCCGATTTTTATGTCGACATAAAGATACATGTATATGTATAGCAAACATTATACATTATATCTTTACTTCCGTAGTATATACGCAAGCTGTTACAGAGTTACGGCGAAACAACAAGAAAACAGCGCAAACCCCGAAAGACTGCGAGATGCTAATTACTGATAGCGCACATATATAGTGTAGATCGGTCCACTTTACTGAAATAGCGAGAGCGAATCTTTTTGACAGTACAATTGACAAGATAGTTTACAGTGTAACGAACATTTGTATAATTCTATCAATCGAGACGCGTGATCTCTCGTATCCATTCATTTACTGATTTCGACTTCTTTCCGATGAAATTTTAATGAAGCTTTTCGGTTATTTTGAGCTTTTCGTCCTATTGCATTCTAAGTCATTTCTGAATTTCATTAACACTTTCAGAAAGAAAGAATCTTAAATATTTTCTATCATCCTCGCGTTTCGCATTTATCTCGTGTTGTATACGATCATCGTGTTGGAACACGATGCATTCTAAATCAAAATTAGTTTGAGCATAAAGAAAAAATTAAGTGCCAGTATAATGCATTTTTGCACAATCACGTTTTCAAGATCGATAAGAAGCTCCTCGTATCGTATTGTTTCGAGACGCGTCGATGAAAGAATAATAAATTGAAGAAAATAATGATGAAAAGACAAAGCTTTGCCTTTGTACATGTATATATATTGTGTAGACAGCGATGTGCGTTAACGAGACATAGGCCGAAATTTTAGGGAGAAGTGTGCAAAAAACCAAAGACTCTTATTTTTAATTATTAATAATTAAATTGTGCGCTCATCGCTCCCCGAAGTTGTGACAGAATGACGTTGCAATTTTTGTATAAATGTTACAAAGTAAATAAGCGTAATTTCGCCTGGAAAAATTGCATCCAGGTCGACGTATGGGAGTTATGTATATTCACGAATTAACAGGAGTAGCCATCCTACTAGGGAGGCATGTACAGAAGACGAATGTTCATAATAATGTTATTAATGTACGATTGAAATTTATTTTTTAATACGACACTCTTGATGCTACTTGTTGTTACAGTGATAAGGGTAATTTCTACTAGCGGCGAAAAAAAATTATACGAAAAAAGAGAGAAAGAGAGAGAGGAATTGAGAATTTTGGCAAATAATAGAATTTCCAAAGGGAAGGGGAAGCCAGGTAGAAAGAAACGATAGCGAGATATATAATATGATGTCAATATCGCACGACATATTCATGCAAGAAATATTCATGCGGAAACACGAATCTTCCGCATATTTCCTCGTTATATACGTAATTAAATTATTAGATTATGCAAATTATTAGATAATGCTATTTACCTAATCTTGATAAAATGGCATAGAGAATTCCATTTTCAACATCCGGAATTTTTTTTGATTTGGAGCAGCTTTTTTCTTATTGTTGACCTGAAGACATAAATATCGAGAACGTATAGATTATTTCTTTCTCGTCTTCGCGAGACCAGCGCACGTGTATTTTCTTTTCGTTGTTTTTTTTTTTATTATTTTTTTCCTTTTTCCTACTTTCCTTTATTATTTTAACGAAAATAACAAGCAGTCGACTTCACTTGTACTTTTAAATGTTTTGTTTATTCATCCTTTGTGTAATTTTTCTCTTTTCTTCTTTCTAATTTTATTTTCAAAAAGAGCCGACGAGCCGATTCGGTTGTGAATTAAGATTAGAGTGATTGTAATTAATCTTATCGTTTTGATGTTAACAATCTGAATGGTGCGCTAAACGCCCAGTATTAGTGCAAAAATTATGCAGGGTGCCCTAAAAGGATCGAATTTCTAGGCGAATCTAAAATTGAATCTTAAATGGAAATTTCCTTAGCAAAAATATCGCCGAAAAAATTATAATTTATCGTCAATTTTCTACTATTGCATTTATAATTAATTTTTCAAATTTATAAAGTACACTAAATATATTAATATTATATATTTACTATTATATTTATTTTCATCAAATTAATTATCAAATTATTTGATAATTATTTGATAATTTCCGATTATATTAAATAATATTTCTAATAACATTTTATTAATATATTTATTAATATATATTAATATATATAAATATTTATTAATATATATTAATATATCATAAAATGAACTTTGTCTGAGAAAAAACATAATTTATATCTCTTTAATATCTGATAAATTTTTAAAAATATCAAATTTTTTAAAAATATCAAATATTAAATTTTTAACGAAATCTTACTTTTATGAAATTCAAAGCTGTACGCTTCAAATTTTCGGCATTGTATGTTTTTCTAGATAAACTAAATAAAAAATTATAAAATAATTAAAATTTAAATAAGAAAAATTACAATACTGTGTGTGTGTAATGTTTTTTCTGAAGCTTAATTTTCAAGAAATCCGATTTGAATGACATATAAATCGTCTCGCGACATTTTTGCTGAGGATTTCAAACTCAATCGTGAAGGACCTGTCGTAGATGTTAAGTTCGCAAGGGAGGCACTCTAAATTATTGTGAATCACCGTACTTTTACAACGGAACAACCATACTGCCATAGAGCCATAGCCAAGTGTCTAAATCTCGACCCCTATTCGACCTTATTTTTTTTTTTTTTTAGAGCGTTGTTGTCGATCGTATCTTTCGTATATCGAATGCGTGCAGGATTCGCTGGAAACTCGAGAGATTCGGCAGTTACTATCGTACAAAACTGAACGACCTAGAATTAAGTGTGCCTTTTTACGGGGACGTCTCTCGACTCGCGAGAGGGACGTCTTTCTTAGCGTATAGAGCTACGACCATTACGTACAACAACGACAATTCGCCAAGAATATCGTATCTTAATCCGCCATTCGAGTTGACGGCGAACGGAGCTTCCTATAGTGTTATTATACGATCGTATCTTGCTCACCCTCGTTAAGACGAGATATATCTCGGGAATAGAATAAAATCACTCTCTTTCGGCAGAACAAGAGGTACTTATCGTGTGTTCGATTATAATCTCTACGCGGTCTACCGGTCACGAAAATTCTTCGCGCAACGAAGAGAGAAATTAGATCATGAATATAAATCTTTTATATATATTCTCGAAAATATGTGTAATATTGTGATGACAGGAACTTTGACTCGCTCCTCTCGAGCCAATTAATCCAAGTTAAATTAAATTAAATTAAGAATTGTTGACGATTCTTCGAGATTTTCGAGAGAGAAGCGGGTTAAATCATTATCGATCAATCGAGAGATTTTACTCCTTTCGAAGCGATTGTTATCGGATTGCGTTAACGGTGAATTTTATTGGATGCGCATCCAACCGAATTCGATATAAGCGACGATAGCGAGAAGGGGACTTGGGATTCCGATCGCTCGGGGCGGAAGATAATCGAATCGGCGAATATCTGCGCCCTTATATCGCGCGACGAGGCAATATATATCGTAAAAGATCTTATATTTCGACATTTTTATACACGAAATGAAATGAGGCGGGACGAGGATTGTGCACAATTCCGTCCGTTATCCGGGCACACAGATACACACGCACACACTCGTACATGTATACAGGCTCGCGCGGCGTTAACCGACTTTGATGTAGAAGATGGACCGACATCACACACGTACACATATATATATATATGTACAGGGACACAAATATCCGGTATTTATCAGCTGCACGAACCTGTTACAGCCACGCGCGAGCAGTTTCACTCTCCGCGTCGATAAGCATATCGCTCTACTACTTAGACAATAACTAATAATCGGTTATCATGTACCGCGATTTTAAGGCTCTTACACACAGACACACGCAAACACCTTAAACTATATAGTAAGTGCCATATTATCGACTTATTGTAGATCGTACAGGAATCGTAAGGTCCTATAGGTAGATATATATATATATATTGATTTATATAAGATTAATTATGTTTAAAGCGCGATACGTTATGACTAATTGCGTATAATTGTTATACGCACACGTTGTTTTCTTTTTCTCTCCTTCCCGTTTCGATCGTATCTTCGTACGTGACGATTTGTTCAAATTATGCGATTTGTTATGAAAGAGGGACTCGCGCGTATCCTGACACGCGTATCCGACGAGCTCTTCTCGTCCCTTCGTCGAAAAACAAAAATAATGTAAAGAATTTCCTTCGGCGGAGAGATTCAGCGTGCGAGGATCGCGCGAGCCTTCGAAGATTTCATTTAGATTTAGTATTATCGTATTATGAGAAAAGCCTTGTTCGTTCCACAGACAAGTCTAATAAAATATGTTGAAAACCTTTTAAATTCTCCTCGCGTTTTTTCTTTTCGCTCGAGACCCTCTAAGCATTAATATTTATAAGATCGAGTTTGGACGATTTATGATTATTATTACAAGATAATTATTTAGGTCCTAACAATGCACGAAAAATATTAAATTTCAAAAGATATAAATTTTATCAAGTTTTCGATAATATAAAAATTTTAAGTGCATTATACAAAAAAGGAAAAAAAGATTATTTAAGACCTAATGCATAGTTCACATGAAAAATATTAAATTTGAGAGATATAAATTTTATCAAGTTTCCGGCATTAAAAAATTGAATGTATTATACATGCATAATAAATGCACATGAAAAATATTAAATTTCAGAAGATATAAATTTTGTCAAGTTCTCGATATTATAAAAATTTTAAGTGCATTTCACAAAAAAGGAAAAAAAAATTATTTAAGGCTCCGGAGTAGTCACCGCGGCCATCTTTAAATCGTGACGTCATAAGCGAGAAAGGACACCCAGATTTATATTGCGACTGACATCTAAACAAAAACATATTTGCATGAAATAAGACTACCCAATCTCTTCAGTACACCTGTAAAAATGGACGGATACTAATCCTTTCCTTTCACAATTTATAAATAGCCGTAAATTGAGTCCGAAATGAAGCCTTGAAAATGCGAAAAAACTGATTACTCCGGAGCCTTAAGACCTAATGCATATTAAATGTTCGCATGAAAAATGTAAAATTTGAGAGATATAAATTTTATCAAGCTTTCGATATTATAAAAAAAAATGAATGCGTTATACATGATAAGAGGAAGAAAAAAAATTGTTGAAATTAAAAGATGGGAAAGGGGGTGATTTGCTATCTATCCTTATTCTTATTCCTATCGTTTTCGTTATTGTTAACGGTAATATCATTATAACGCTCTACGACCGTAACCACCTTTCCCTGTTTAACCCCCTTTTTCTCGTCTTCACGGCGATGTCTGTATACCGCTATCCTCACGTAGACGTACCTCGATTTTCCCCTTTTTTCATTCTTCGGCCAGCTAGCTCCTTCATTTGCGTAACACCTGTCTTCCTTTTCCGCGTGCGTCTCTTCGTTCTCAATATCAATCTTGTATTTAGATCCAGAACGCCAACGGGGGTGGGAGAGAGAGAGAGGGAGAACTCGCTTCTTTCTCTCTCTCTCTCTTTCTCGAAGCGGGTTCGCGCGATACGTCACAATACATCGTCTTTATTCTGAAGAAATGTTTTCCTCTACGAAGACGAGCCAGTGTGTCCTGTCAAAAACGCAATACGATGAGAGAGACAAAAGATTGAGCTCGTCTGATTGAATTACTTTATTATATTTAACATTCATTTTCCTTATAAAAAACTTTTTTGTCGAGATATTTCAATATTTTAATAGCTTTTGTTATATTTAAATTAAATTTATAAAAATTTAATTTGAAGAAAATTTAGAAAATATGTATATCCATTAAATCAATGTTCTGTTTTAATCAATTAATCTATTTCAATTTTGAGATATACCTTGGTTCGAGACTACTTTTTGTGCACCACATCTTCTCAATATAACGTGTATATGAATTTTAATCCACTTCTCTTTCTCCATTTTTCCTTATTCCTTAGGAAAGACACGATATGTTCAAGGAGATTGGATCAACTGTATTTTCGAATCATGAAATGGTTCCTTCGAGAACTATGGAAAAGGGAGAGGAAAGGTTATCATGTTTATTTAGATTTTATCAAGCTTTAAGTCATCACATTTTCTTCTTCATGAGAGAGAAGGAGATAAAAGTATAAATACAACTCAAGAAACGAACATAGAAAAATATATATTATTGTATATATATTTTTCTATGTTCGTTTCTTGAGTTGTATTTATACTTTTATCTCCTTCTTATGTATATATATATATATATATATATATATATATATATAAAATTAATATGTAAGTAATAACATAAATTGCAAATAATATACATATAACGTAATATGTATATAAATTGTAATAATAATACTATTATTAATATTTAATATTATCATTGATATTATTATATTCATATTTTATATTGATATCGTTACATCGATTTAATACTTATTTGTTATTTAATAACGATTATTTTTATCGATATCTCAGAGATAGATTTAGATTATTATTTATATAATATGTAAATAATGATATAAATCTATCTTTAAGATATCGATATAAAAATAATAAATTGTTATTAAATATTAACAAATAAATATCAAATATCAGTATAATAATATCAATATATATAATAATGATAAATAATATAAATTTATCTCCAAGATAAAAATAATAAATAAATTATGAAATATTAACAAATAAATATCAATTAATCAGCACACAGCCCAAGATCGCATATTGGGGGAGAAGAGGAAGCTTAAGGTAGGGGAGACACGCGTTCGTGCCAGAGCCGGAGAAGAGAAGGCGCGATCACGGGGAATCGCGATCAGTCTGAAAAAGTCGGCGCGCGAGGCACTGGCACAGCTACCTTTGCTTCAGTGCGCACGCAACCGAATCCGGTGCGCTACGGCCGCTTGACGCATCGCGAGGCGTGCTCCAAGTCGAAAAGCCGAGACGAGTCGGAAACCGCGCGATGTTGGAACGAAACAAATATTCGGACTGATAGAGCGTATCGCGAAAAAGATATTCGCGAAGCGATACAATAGAGTACAAGTCTCTACAAAGTGCGAGTTCATGTGGTGCCCCAGCAAGACTGATGTGAAATCCGCGGATGAAACATCAAGGATAGAAAAGGCGATGTACTGCGCTTCGAGAAGCCCATCAAGATTAATACAGACAGATTTATATTGATAAACGTGGAGGATACTCGGCGACTCAATCTCGATCTGCAAAGATCGATGACATTTGTTCGGACGAAGGGATTAGGACGAGTCTTCATCCCCCTTTCCACAAAGTAATTAATCGTGCCACCTATATTCAATTGATTTGGAGCATAAAAGCCAAGCAACGCACGGGATGAAGCGTCGCGGATAAGATCCATGCGGCGACTGGATCATCTGTGCGATGACAGATTACATCATCATGTGTGCGAGTCGCGGGAAACAGCGTTCGATATCTCGATATCCGTCCACTCGTTCGTTTTCTGGATAGGCACGAAACGGAACGGGCATTAACCAGGTGCGGGGACTGGATCGGCTCGCTTTATTCCTTTTTTCCCTTTTTTTTTCTTCCTTCTCCCTCTTTCTTTCTTCATGGCCGACAATGGCCGGGTAAAATAGACACTCTTCATCTTATTCGGGTACGGACGAGGAACAATGCGTGCGTAAAAATTGGACATCTGCGCGTCTATTGCTTCGACGCGCAAAGCCGTTGTGTGCCAGCTCTCTGTTAATCAACTCTGTTAATCAGTGTGTATCAAGATTTACCCTACATATCACCGGTCGGCGGATACGATCCGAGCCGCTGCACCGTCGCAAAATCTCCTATTGTTGTGAATAAAGGTAAAACAAGCTTATTAATCGTTAGTTTGTTAATTACAGCCATCTCGGATTTAATCAACTTTCCCTCTTTTTGCTTTTTCCTGTCTATAACAACACGGCAAAGTATTTTTTTTATTTTTTAAATTCCTTATTATAAAATTTTATCCACTTATCGAACATATAAATATATAATATATAACGTATAACGCATAAAAATATAATATATAACATATAAACGTATAAATTCTTTTAATCAATGAAAATTTTAATAATGAAATATTTCGGTTACAAAATGGATTACTATAAAAGCTTGCATGTATTTTATCGATTTTATCTTTACAACATTGAATGATTATTTGACGTTAGCGATACGTGATTGTAGTGAAAAAGTAATGCCTCTCTTCCTTGGCGATTGTCAAGCTCAATCGAGCATCAACATTTTTCTTCCGCATCCCTCAACTTTTTTCTTCCGTACCATTATTCGATTTTTTTTTTCGTTCTATGTCGCGACTCGAAAAAGCGTTGTTGGTCGATAATGGACAGGTGGATCTCGGATTACGATTTGTTGAAGCGAGCGAATGGATTAATCTCCGTGGTTAGGCACGTGTAGTGGAATATGCTGGAGTTTATGATTATACTGTGAGCGCAGCATCGATTTAGAAGCATACACATGAATGCGTAGATGCAGCATAACGGTCGCGTATTTATACATTCGCAATGAATGTGTATATCTTCTTGAAATACACACTATGAGGAATCGATCTCTCACTGTACTTTCTGCGAAACATAGATTTTGCAGCTCGTTGCTAACGCAAACTTGCTATTTTCGAGGCTGCAGCGATCGCGAAGCGCATGAATTAAAATCTTCGGCATAATCTGATTGAGATATTAATGAAGAAACAAGATTTTCTTATTAATTTACAATTTACATTATTAATCTTTTATTTCTCGAAATTCTCATATTTAAGATCCTTATACAAAAAAAAAAGATATTCTTGTTTTGAAAATATCTTTAGTTTTAACACGAAAATCTTGAAATGAGATTATATTGCGTTAATTAAAAAAAATAGAATTGCTTGAATAAAGCCATTTTATATAGTTCAAGAAAAATATATTCTTATGATTTAAGATTTAATTTTCTTGAGTGGAAAGGAAGCAATGTTAAACAGAAAATAACGTTTTTAAATCAAAGATTATAATTTTCTTAAAGTAGAATTAAATAATTATATATTCTTGAGATGACAATTACAATATTGAAATAAGACTATAATATTGTTGAAATTTAAAATTATGAAATTCTCCTAAGAAGATTATAGATTGTTGCGTATGTACAAAACAATGAATGCGTTAATTTCAGTATATAAGTTTTGATTTGACACTTATTTTTTTTTGTGTAATTTTTTAAAAACAAGATGGATGGAAAATTGATAATGAATATGAAATAAATATCAAGGATATTAAGATTCGATTATTTTAAATAACGGATATAATAAAAGTGTCAATGCATTTCGCATTTTTCGGCACGAATATGAATTTATCTTCGCTCCCTCGTGTGAACGGTACTTGGATTCGTTACATCACAGAGGATCACGTATTATAAAATCGCGTGTCAACGCGACCTCGTCGGCATTTCTTTGAAAATCCGGATTTTCCTACCCGTTCAACTTTGCTCATCTGACAGGTTTCAAGGTGTAAGACCCAGATACATTACTCGGATCCTTGAGGCGATATCCGGGCCATGGCCTCGACCTTAACAATCATCATCTTATTAGTGCGCAAAACCGCTATCAATCCCTCCGATTCCTCAATTAACTCTGCTCGATGTCTAATTAATTCACTTTGTAACTTTAGTTCACTTCCTTTTGTAACTTTATTTGATTGATTACCTTAACTTAATTAAAGCCCTTATTTAATTTTAAAATATGAATTTGGGATGTTGAATGAAAATGTAAAAATACTACAATGTTATATATATTTCAGATTATATTAATTAAAGATACATTATATGTATTATTAAATTCATATATTTATATAAAATTAATATATTTTATATTTAATTGCCTTTCTTCATTTTTAATGGGCAAAAAGGATAAGTTATCAATCATTTTTAATAATATTTCTTATTTCATTATGAAATATCCAAATTTTATGATTCCAATTTTTTTTCTAGCAAAAAAAGACTTGATCTGATCTCGCATATGTGCACGATAATTAATTATCGTGATATAGAATATAATTAATTATATTCTAATAAAGCTTTCGCGCACATTTTATATCTTCATTTACCTTCACATCTAGATCGCCATAATTTATGCATATGAGACGATTGCAGCAGATCGTCTGCGAATCGTCACATTCGCTTTCGCTATGATGTGGAAAATCTCGGATTACAGAAGCACGATCTTGTACATGTTCGCACATTAATGAATGCGTGCGTATCGTTTTATGAAAGAAATATTTGTATTACATGGAAAAGGCGATCGCGATACGCAATAAATCTCTCGAAATCAGTGATTTGCAATCTGTATAATCTTATATTACGCTACTTACGCGAAAATAACGCAATTTTATTCAAATTATTATTCTCTTAAAAGAAAATCAAAATATTATCTATCGTAATATTTAATTTTTTTAGAAATTTTTCTGTATCTCGATATTTAAATGCCTACGTTTCCTACATTTCCACCTAAAAATCTAATTTTTATCATTGCTAACATCCAAAAAAGTGTGTCGTAGAAAGCAGTCAAAATCAAAATTCATTTGATCTTATTTTTTTATGATGTGTTATTAACTTACTGTTCTTTTTCGTAGTAATTACGCCAACGGTTTAATTGTTCGCTCGGGAAAACATTGGCACGTGTCGCATACGATTAGAAAGTTGATTACGATCGTCCGATAATTATTCCTCATCATACTTGACTACGCTCGTAAATTAATTATTTACTGAGGCGCTTCTTGGCACTCGTCGCGAATAACAATCTCGGAGGTCACAATAAAAAACAAGTGATTTTATATTAATTATGAATCGACGAAACTCGTGAATGAACTGTCGATTCATTTTTTTTTATTCCGTTAACGATTTCCAGATCAAATATTCAAAGATTCAAAGATTAATTTCAGAATCTAATATTTGACTTGATCTTATTAATCGAATAAGATTACGATACATATCAATTGATAAACGAATAATTTAAAATATACATAAATAATTTTATTCTTTTTTTTTACGAAAGCTATCGAGAGCGCAATTTTTTAATGCGCATGTTACATTGATACTACCGTTAAGCGCGGGCACTAGGTCAGGAATTCGTTATATTTTGATGCGGAGGAATGCAAAATGTGCATCTGTATGGGTGCATATAAGATCAGGCGCAACGTGTTTCCGAAGCGCAACCGTAACACGTGTTATCGTCGAAATTGGCTCATCACGCAATTCAACCGCGAAATGATTTTAGGCATTAGATTTACATAGATTGAAGAGATTTAATCGAACCCTCGCAAATTAACAAGACATGCATCAATAAAATAAATCGATTGTCTTTTAGAATATATGAAAAAAGTATAATACAAAATTTTACAATGTTAAATAATAGTACTAAATCTCTTCTCCCTTTTTGCGTATTTCTTAGGAAATTAGCATTCTCAATATTTTGCAATTGTAAAAACTTAAAAAGGAAAAAAAGAAAAAAATGTATAAATTAATTGCCAATATTTCGAGAATGCGATATTTAAGAAATGAAAGTCTCTATGCAAAATGAAAATTCTCATTTATTTCTATCTTATCTAGAGCTTAATTAAATCCAGAAAGATCTTTAATCATTCTTCTTTCTTCATTCAAGTATTATCTATTTCACGATACTCTTGGATTCTTTTCCCAGATTTTTTCTGAAGCTCCGGCTTAATATCTCATTCTGGTCATAAACAGTTAGAACATATAACGAGACGTATAACATCCACTTGGAATACCTAAGGAACCGCGAATTTCATTGCTTTGCTCAATAAAAAAAAGAATCCGCTCGCGAATTTGGGGTCTCTCTTGAACCGCTAAAAAGATGAGGAGGAACCACTTAAAAACGACCCATTTTACAAGTTAACGGTGTTTGGTCGAAAAACACGCACCGCGGTCGATATCAGGGGTACGGGACCTAATTACAGGTGACTTAATAAAGAGGCGCCGTCTCGGTCGAGTTCGTTCTCCTCGCGCGGACGACACCGCGTGCATATCAAAATATACGGGTCAATCACATTTCGTATTCCGCGCAATGCACTTAGCGGTCGGCCCACCTTTTCTCCCCTGCTCTTCTTCTTCTTCTTCCCTCATTCCCCTGCCGAACTTCACTCTCGTCGTGTCGGACGATGTGGGCCGGTTCGCCGACGATCTAGATCAAATCAAGTCGGTTACGTTGATTTCCGTTGAGTTCTAATAGAATATCTCACAACACTCAAAATAATGTTTCGCTGATGTAGGTAGATTTCTAGGTATCATCAGAAAAATTTATCGCTGTGTTTGCTAAAAGATTGTAACATTTATAGCAAATTCTAATATCTTTTGGCAATTTTAGATCCCGCTGCCAAATATTAATCACTGCGTTGGATAAATATTAGTTTCATATTAGAATGATCTTTGTGAGATAATTTTTCTCAATCAAACTTTATAACAAGTTTGATTTAGCTTTGGTAAGGATCACAGCAAAATTTTCTTTTCGAATTTCATTAACAATTCAGATTAATTCTGTCTGTCATTTAAATTGATTAGGTGCAAAACGTGGACGACCACAGTATTTATTAGTCATTTATCTACCTCAGTTAAATTGTTACCGTAGTTGTAAAATAATTCTTTAAGTGAAAAACATTTCGAATGATACCGGTCGTATTCGATAACGAATTGTTACGATATTCGGGACACGAAGCGGATTAAATGTGGACAAATTTCGGGGCAAGTTCGTAAAACTCGTTACATCGGCGTATATTAAAATCAGTATTAAAATGAATACGTGGAAGGAATGCTGATCCTCTTCACAAACTGTCAAAAATTTAGATCGTAAGTTAAAGTGCTCAGTTGCAATTATTATGAATAAATATATCAATATCGTAATTAAATTTAAACGTATGCTTTGGGAAAGAATTATTAATAGCTTAATAACAAATAGTCGAAAAAAAGAATACTATAATTATTTGCAATATATATGCAATCGTTTTATTCTATGTATAATTATTATATATAAATTATAATTATAATTTATAATTTATAATGTTTATAATATATATAAATTATAATTATAACATATAATTTTTATAAATGTAATAAAATATAATATACAATATAATGTAAAAAAATTCAAGAATTATAACAAATTATTTTAACATGATCAATATTTTTGCTCGGCTCATTCGCAGAATTATCGTGATTCGAGAAACAAACGGTATGTACACTACAGTATACACGACAAGGATATGTGTACCTATACGGACAAACAACATCACGTTTTTCTAGGGCGAAGCCCAGTCGCCTGGTTCCCCCCTTTAACCACGGGGGGGTTTTGCAGTTCGTATATACTGTTACACCGATCAAAAAGGTACGGAATCGACCAAAGCTTACTGAACCTGGCAAAACCGTAATAAGGAAGACATGAAACGACGTGTGCACGTCACACGCATCTTATGACGTAAAGGAAAGAAGAGAGAAGATGTGCATTTTTATCATAAAGGCGATATGATTTAGTCCTGCATGTCCTTATAAAAGTATGCGTATAAAAAGATAATCTAAAGTGAAACACAAAAATTCCGAAGCTCTTTATTTTCGAATTCTTAATCCAATGCGTGTGTGTTTGTGACTTCATAATTAATAAATTTAAAAAATATATTATATTTAATTAACAAAGTTTCATATTTAATTAATAAATTTTTATTATATTATTTTTATTTTTATTATAATTAATAAATTAATTTTATTAAAATTAATAAAATATTTAAGAAAATATATTTAATTAATAAATTTTTATTATATTTTTATTACATTATTTTTATTTTTTTAGTATAATTAATAAATTTTTATTAAAGTTTTAGATGTCAGATATACGTTGGATGGAATAAAGGTTCACGCTCGAAAAAAACAACGCACGATTATTTCGAAAAAAAAGAAGCTAAAGAGCAATTTATTCTCCTTATTCCCAAATTAAATTTCTAATTGACCGAATTGGCTAAGCTCGCGGCCAGACGCGCTCGTCCCGAATATCAATCAGGCGAAAATTTTCTCGCACGCGAACAGGATGTTAATCACACCGATGACGACAAAATCCATCGGCGATATCTGTCGGGGAAAAATTTTTTTCCCTCCCCGATGCCTGCGGAGACGTTTTACCTCGAGAGAGCGAGAGAGAGAAAGAGAGATCCAACGCGGGTACCGTAAGTCTCGTGAGTGCGATGCGTATAATACACGCACGCATCGTGTGCGTTGCGATTTATCGCAAATAATTCCGCGGGATCTGTCGTGCGGCCTACTTGAAACGCCATCGCGCCATTAAAAGAAACGACAGAATTACGGGGTATTCGTAAATAAGACTATTAATTTAATCCGCACACTCTACGATCTACGATGACGTGAAAATACCTATTAACTTTATTTTCCGTGGTTAGATCGATTGCTTCTTTCTGAAAAACAATGATCCAGGAATAAAATAAACCTTCGAAGACAGGAATCTAGATTACTCCGCCGACCGATGCTCACGAATCTAATAATTATTTGCTAATTATACCCGCGAATACGACAATCCGCTCACGAGATCTGATTTTGATCGCAGCTGCTCGGACGACAAGATGACGCGAAGAGAGCTCTTGTTGCTACTCGGCCTGGTCCTGCTGAAAGAATCGTCCGGTGTCGAAAGGGACGCGAAGAACGAGGCTACCGGCCAACGGCCACATCACAGACAAAAGAGGGTCCTTTGGTTCACGAATGACGGACGAATCGCGCTGCCGCCTGGAACAATCATGACGATCACGCCAACGTTAGCGTTGCCCTTCGTCAGGCATCCACCTTACGGTTTCCTCAGCAATATGACCATCAGTCTGCCGTTCACGAGTGAGTCTGTTCATCCATTAATCATCCCGCTGCGCGGAACATTGATCTTTTTTTCTTGAGGTCTCGTACAGAGCGAGGTCTTGCGAATCGAATTCTCTTGCGATCATAAATATTAGAGAGGAAAACAAGGCAAAAGCGAAAAAGATTGAGGAACATGTGACTCAATTCGATGTCATCAATGATTACAGTGTTTTAATTGAAATTATTAAATATTAAATGTTAATTAATTAATCAAAATTATTAAATATTAAATAATTATTAAATATTAAATATTAATTGATATTAAAAATTAATTACTTCCTGTGAGAAATTCAATATTATACAAAGAGAGAGTGAACACAGATTTCGATCTTCCTTTGAAAATTAAATTAAGATCTGTATTAAAATTCTGTCGAATTAAGAATATCTATTTGAAGAAGAAATTCTATATATTTGATCCATTGAAAAATTTTTTATTTTTAACTCAAAAGAACAAGAAAGATATGATTTAACTCGACATCAATAATTATTGTATTAATTGACATTGAGAATTAATTTATTTCTTGTGAGAAATTCGAAAATTGTAAATAGAGAAACATTAGACTCTATTTTTTGAAAAATAAATTAAGATTTGTATAAAAATTCCGTTAAAATAAAATCTATTTAAAAAAGGATAATGTTATATATATATTTATAAATGTATTTATTGAAGTATTTTCTATTTTTTTAATTCATTTAAATATTAAATAATTCTATAATGTCGATTCTCATTCTCTTAAAATTATTCTCGAATTTATTATTAATTTATTTAATTCCTTTTCAGTCGACTTCGACAAGCTGGGCTTGACGGACAACGAAAATCCGTATGGTGCCTTGCCGCCTAACTTTGACAGGAAGCTAAAGAGCCGACAGGCCGGCATGATGATGGCGGATTTTATTGCAGCCTTCATCAAACGTAGATTGCACAAGCGGGACACGGCAGAGGTGCCGAAAAACGCGTTCCATGGCGGAGAACGGGCCTTACTTTATGGCACTGCCGAAGATATGCTGAGCGCTTTGGGAATGAATGGAAAAGCGTGTTTGTTGAGGGCGATTTGCGAGGTCCAGGGACACCATCTCAATAACTTTGGCCTGATCGGCGAGATGCTAAAGTTGTTCTTCACGTAAGTCGGATTCAATTCAATTAGTTGCAAGTGTAAATTTTTCGCGAGATATGCTTGCGAAATAATTTTACTTTATTTTAATAGCTGTAAAATATAAGTATATTATTTTAAAATATAAGTATATAATTTTACTTTATTTTAATCTGTAAAATATAAGTATATTTTATAATTACATATAAAAATTAAATATAAATTATGTACAATTATATATATATATAAAAGTTATATTGAATATAAAAAGATGTTGAATAAAATCGCAATAAATTCGCTTTTAGTGCCAGTCGATCGCCGTTTGCGAATCTCCTCAAGGAATATGTCGAGGCGGAAAATCGCGGGAAATTTCACGGCGAGTGCTGGCCTTACTTTAAGGATTGCCCGAAATCCTTATTTCTACCCTCCACCAATAAATATCAGTTAGTAACATTACTTTCATAATTTTCGATCTACAATATAAATTTGCAGCATCAAAAATCGTAGAATTATTTTATTTGTTGAAAGACACGAGATCTCCGATCATTTGCGTTCTACCTTCTTTTCGAAGTAGCCTTCTGCAGGGTCTCTTACAATTATCATATTATAGATATTTATTTTTATTAAAGCTGTCAGAAAATCAATACATATTTTTTACATTTTTTCTTATACTCTCCTGATTTTTACTATATATATTTTTTATTATAAATAAAAAATGTTGATTATTTTTTAGGGAAGATTCGAAGCACGACGAAGAGGATGAAGAGGACGAGCATTGGAATCAAATTTCGAGTGAACTCGATGAAGAACCTCTCACGAGGATATCGGAACAATTACATGCAATGTAATTGCAATTATATAATTATAATTTTACACTAGATAATTCATGTCTAAAGAGAAAAAAAAAAGAAACGCGCACTTAGACTTCTTCTCTCGAACACAGAGAATTCTCTGACATTTCTCTGACAAATGATTTCCATATAAGTAAAGTAAAAACCTTGTCCAAAGAGTAAGGAGAAGTTGACTTCCTTCGTAGACTTCATGTTGTTAGTGAAGAATATTACAATTTCCTTTCGCGTCGAATATAAGCATTCAACTCGGGATTTTTTAAATAAGAAAATATCCTTTAAACATAGACTCGGGAATTAACGCTATAGATACGCGGGATTATAACAAATATTTCGCGGAATGCATGTAAAACTTATATAGATTCTTTAAGAAAAAGCTCATAAATAAATAATAAGTAATAAATAATAAATAATGTTAATACGAGATTAGATTACCATTATTGTACAGCTACAACACCGTGATAGGTCAAGTTCTCGGCCGAGATATCGCATACTATATAGGTATAATACTATATACCTGTGTAACATCCGAATACGAGAAACTGCCAAAAGTTTGGCTAGTCGTTGACAGTGTAAAACGAAATCGAGGTTTTATTAACTTATTTGTACAGTATGAAAATATTTTTATCGACTTACTAATTATATTTAATTAATTGTGCGTGTATGTATACGATGCGATTTGTAATATGACTATAGAGACACAGACGGTATCAGTCAGTATTGCGCAATCATGTGTAATTATACAGAGTGAGTAAAGTTAAATAACTACTTTTTCTTTTTCATGTCATATTTAATTTAATTAATTAATTTATTTATTTATCTGTTGCTCTTGATTTTTATATTTTGCGAATCACTGTATATATTGTCATTAATTGAACTTTTGTACAAAATAGTTAGAAATAATTGCAACTTCTTCATCATACAGAACTTTTATACCTAATTTTAAACGAAATATTTTTAACAGTAATTTTCTTCATAACTTTTTAAATTAAGCAACGATATATAAATATATATAAATGATATATCCACGAGAGAAACGTACATCATGTGTTCGAAAATTTCAGAACACAATACCATGCTGCCATAATAAATATAGTAAATGTATATCAGCATCGTATGGAACATAATAATTGTGTTACCTGCCTTTTACAAGTGAATTTTCAGTGTAAACAAAAGTGTAAACGAATTATTTATAGAATCGTCTCGCGAGAAAAAATACATGAATATAAGTCATAATTTATATATACAATAAAATACATTTTTTAAGAAATATTTTTGATTTGATTGATTTGTTTGACACTTATAATGGTATATCATTATTTTATATTGTAATCAGATTGTAGTCAGATTTATCAGACAGAAAAATTTTTCTTTAATAGTCATTAAAGATGATATTATTAAAAGGTTTTAATTCGCTTTATCAAACGGTTAATAACACTGATATATATATATATATATATATATATATATATATATATATATATATATATATATATATAGTAAGATACTGATAACAAAGTATCTAATAATATTTTGTAAAAATTTCTCAGAAAATTTCTTGATTTTTCAGATATTTTCATTTAAAATTTCAGGCAAGAAAAATATTTTAAAGATTTTTTATAGTTCGATTTTCTAAAATAAATTAACTGTAACCATAAAATGTAAACATATGATAAAATATAATTATAATTATTTTATATGATATAGTTTGTATCTGGATGAATTAAAAGATACAAACTATATCCAATTATATGTTGTGTATTGATAAAACATTATATATAATTCTCAAAAAATTCAGGAACATCAGATCACCAAAATTGGTGATTTTGAATTTTAATTAAGATTATTTTTCAAGGTTCTCAGAAAGGTTCTAGTGTGGGAATTGTTTATCTGTATTATTTATAATAAAATTATCGGAAGGAATTTTTAAAAAATTCCATAAAAATTTCAGATTTTTCATGTTTCCCCCCCAGGGAGTAGACACTCTGAACAAATATCCCAGCAAACACCAAGTAACAGTTATATAACTGTTAGTTGTAAGTTGTTTCCCATTCAACAATATAACAGTTACATAACATATCTATTATGTAACTGTTATATTGTTGAATGGGAAATTACAACTAACAGTTATATAAATGTTACTTGGTGTTTGCTGGGATGTATACATTCTCAAAAATACCCGCACTCGATCGGTAAGCGAAAATAACAAGTTTCTTGTTCAAAAAATTTACACTTTTTCTCGATAAAATTTACAATCGGTAATTCAATATATAAATCAAATAAATTAGACAGATTAAGATAATTAAATATATTCGCACACATGACAGAGCAATTGAATAAAAATGACTGATTTCATATCGATACCCCCTGTATCGTGCATCGATATTCTCAACATGATAAGAGGAGACTTATCATTATTAAATATGATAAGAGGAGAAGAATGTTATCGCGAAAGTTCCGGTGAAGCTTGAAGAAATGTGTCATATGACCGGTGCATTATGACACATTTAATTTCTCAATTTGATCTCGAGAGGCGTAACTCGATGGATCAAGCGTGAGAGGAAGGGAAAAAGAGGGAGTGGAAGAGGACGACGACGTCGACGACAAGGAGGACGACACAACGGGGACGTGCAGGGATATTCCTCACCGATTGGCGCTTTTGTTCCTCATCCGCGACTCGCGAAATCGTCGTCATCGGCCATACTGGACCGATAACAGTACTGTAGTGACGATATCGATTTAAAAAAGGTTACGCTCCCTATTATGTCGCCTCTACGACGTGCGTGTGTATAGCATTCATTCTCTATCATAGATTTACGTAGGATGTATCATACGACGTATATTCCCGTTGCTTCCTAATCTCACGACGCGTTCGCGACATTCCTATTTTCAGGCCGACGAACGGGCTGTTCCGGGGATCCCTCCAGCGAGATGGCTTGCGAGGCCTGCAGTGCAAAGTTCAATTTGTTCAAGAGAAAAGTGAGTGGACGGTGTTTTCCTTGGCACCGCGTACTTGATCCGAAACGAATCTTAGAAAAGATTAAACTTATGATTTGGGCGAAAGAAGACGCGTCTCTTTCGATACATGTCACCACAAGTTTCAATTTTTTATCAGCTCAATGACTTAGTAATTAAGATTTTGCTCATGTTAAATACCTCGAAGCTCTTCCGAGCTTTTCTGGAGGATTTAAACATTTCCAGAAACTCTTGAATTAGGTCACAATTATCTGCTCGAAAGATAAAAGTTATGACATACATGATATAAACTATTTGTAGAAACAGTGCGCAGATTGTCTGAGGCACTTCTGCTCGGAATGCGTCATCAAACGACTGGATAAGGTATTTACCTGTGACAGCTGCGGTGTACTTTCAAGGAGGCCACTTGTGAGGAATCAGATCAGACAGATACGTTCTAAGGACTTGCGTCAGTATCTTGTGGCAAAGAAAGTCTCTGTCAAGGGATGTGTTGGTACGCGCATTAATGTTGTCCATTGACATAGTTTTGTATATAATACATCCTCTTAATAAATACTAACTAAAAGATTCAGAGATTTTTTTAGTATAAAATAAGTTAAGAGAGAAATCTATTCTCTCAAATTCAGTATGGTCTGTATTTAATATTTGATCTGTCCAATTTATGAAGATTAGAAATTTATAGTAGACACAGCTTTTATACAACTTTTAAATCTCTCTTTCTACCTGTTTTTATGAATGCAATATTCCAAATTTTTCATTTCTTAAATTAATTTAAACTTCAATATATCAATATATTATTCTGAATTTTTATGCACATTCAATGATTAATACATGTATTAAATATATAGTTTCCGTCAAAATGAAGATTGAATATACACTGTGATGGAAAGAGCTTCATAGGCCATACTTTGATGTTTCAGAGAAGGAAGACTTGGTACATTTACTAATGCTCTTTGCTAACGGAACTGATCCTTGCTCTAGTACTGACTATAGTACAAGCGCCGGGACACAAAACGCTGCTGCAGAGCCACTGTATGTTACATTTTACATAGCAGCATGTACATTTACTGACACTAACGATTTGGAAGCTAATTTTTTCCGAACAACGAAAATTTGATTTATTTTATTTTAATATCGAATTTTGTTTTGATGATTTAAAAACTTTTCTTTATGAAGATATAATTAAGATAAATTTTTCAAAATTTATCTTAATTATATCTTAATAAGTCAGTATTTGTTATATTTAAATAAAAATATGATAAAATTTTATGCAACAAATTCTGTTGACGTATATATGTGCCACCAATTATCAAGGAGTTAAGGTATTAGAAAATATTACAATACTAATAAGTTGCTTTGAAAAGTTTAAAGGAAATAATTATACAGAACATATTTATTATAGATACACATTAAACAGATTTATAAACTTTACTAGTTTTCACTACTTTTATTAATTTCACAGAAAAGATTTATCATTAAGTTCTTACAAAAGAAGAATATAAAAATATTTCTTCTATAAATTCTTTTAAAAAATCTCAAATAAATTAGGACACATGTTACGAAAACATACTTTAAAATAGTACAAATATGTTTATGATTATGACCGTAGAGTATATTCCTCCTCAAATACATTGGAAAACACACCAAATGTCAGTACTGCAAATGACGAACCACACGAAGATACGCGAGCACAAGCACAACCCACAAGGAGTGAAGATGTCGAAATGGTAGAGGAGCCAAGCGAAAGTAGTCATAGCAGTCCGATCATTAGTGTGCCAGTTAGCGATAACGAATCACCCGAGGAAGGACCGACGAAAAGTAATAATGTTGAAATACAAGAAGTATCAGAAACTGATACTTCTGATAACAGTCCAATCGAACCCAATAATACATCGGAGCCGGTTATTACCGAGCATGAGGAAATTTCCGAAGCGTCGAACGAGAAAAAGTCGGATATGGTTACAGAAATTCCCACGGTATGATAGGCAACATTCACAAATCTATAAATCTGTATAAATTTACCTTCAATTCTATCCTTCTTCTTGCAGTGGTCAGATAAAGTACAATTGTCAGACATAAAAGAGATGTCGGAATTAGAGTATCTAAGTGTTAAACAATTAAAAAATCTGTTGAGTACAAATCGTGTAGATTACAAAGGCTGTATAGAGAGGCAAGAGTTGTTGAACAGAGTATCTAGATTATGGCAGGAATATAAACAATCTAGACAAGGTAAGGATAAATATATTAATGTGTGTATAATTATACATGTCTCGCCATTTTGGGTTTTACTTTGAAGAATTCTACACATTGTCATAAATGAATTATTACAGATGTGGAAAAACTCAGCGAGGAAGAATTGTGTAAAATTTGTTGGGACGCTCCGATCGAATGCGTAATTTTAGAATGCGGCCATATGGCCTGCTGCATAAACTGTGGTAAACAAATGTCCGAGTGTCCGATATGCAAGCAGTATGTCGTTCGTGTTGTACGATTCTTCAAAGCCTAATGACTGGAGTGTAACCGTGCATAGCGATTGACTATATTTTTAAATCTGCGCGAGGTCCGACGAAACGCAATTAAAATCTTCTTATCATTTGTTACATCATCAAATAAATTTATGACAAGGAATCGAATCGTGAAACACCAAGCTCTTGTGCGACAATTTTATCGGCACATTGTGGTGAATAATATAAATCGCAAATTATATAGATGGATTCTATATGTGCGATAATCCATATTTTTATTAAAATTTAGTTGAGTTAATCTTTTGTCATCTGAAATATAATTCTTTTCTTAGGCGATGTACAGTCGATTTCCTCTATTCTATTATCATCAGGATCATAGAAATAGTATAAATAAACTGAGTATTAATTAGTTTAAAGAATTATAATTAATTTATTAAATAGCTTAAAGAACAAGTAAAAAAGATATAACTAAAAGCTAATGAAAGAAAATAAGGATAACTAAAACATGTTAAATTTTGAATGTTAAATTATATAAATATGTCAAATTTCAATTCTAATTTAGAAATCATTGTTATAACATTACTATGCAAGTATATTTTCTCTCCTTTTTTTACTTATAATTTTTACTTAGTCTTTAAATTGCACACATAGGTCTATTTAAATTATATCTATGATCACACAAGAAAATATTATAAACATTCCTTTATTCTATAATTTTCTTTTAATCACTGCTTTTATTCTAATGTATGTGCAGAATAAAAATATCATTATCTGCTCTGTTTTTCACTTTCTCACGTTAACATGATTACATGACAAATGTGAGCAATAGAAAAACAGCATAATAAAATATCTTATTTAGCTGATCTTAAATAAAGGAAAAATCTAGAATAGAGGATCATAGAATAGAAGAAATCGATTATATTTTGAAATCAATGTCTAAATGTGTATATTAATTATAAATTAGGATTTATATATATATATATATATATATATATATATATATATATAAAATGTGAGTGAATTTTCGAAGTGCTACGAAAGAAGATAAGGTTTTTATATTACAGAATTGAAAATATTCCGAGATACTTTGAGAATATATTGTGATTTCGGAAATTTTGTAAATTCTGTATTGTACAGTGTATCTTTTTTATGAAAATAAACTATAAATGAATTCTAGTTCTGCGAAATATTAAATACTTGAAAACCTCCGTAGGAGTTCTTGGGATAGAGAGAGAGTGATTCTATTAAAATTTTAATTAAATTCTTGATTATGTTCTTTTAATATTTTGCCAATCTTTGAAAGCTTAAATTTTTGTAATTTAAACTATGAGTTAATATTCTAAGTGTTTGAAATTTTTAGAATTATATTTTGTGCCAATTTTCGATAATATGTCAGATATATTTCGCAAACTTTTGGATTAAAATTATCAATTACTCCAATGTAAAGGAATTTACATTTAATATTTAGCATAAATTGCGAATTTTTATTTACAATTACAATTGATGTTTAGCATTTAAATTGCAAAAATTAAAATTGTAAATGTTATTTTATTTGCTCTATGCAAATTAAAAGAAATATAATCGAAATATCCTAAATGTTAACAGAATAAATGTAACAAAAATGCTGAAGCATATTTTATTATGTATTATACGATCATTATGCATGAATATCTTGCGTTTTTTTTAACATTGTTTTTACAAAAGCAAAAAATACTATATAACAGATATTTACGAGAAAAAATATATATTCTGATAAATTTTTCTACAATATGTACACATAATTACACATGTATATATCTAGTACATTATACTTCATTTAAAAGAAAAACTATAATATGATAAACATAATAGTCAATCAGAAATTCTTACTTTACTATTTGTAAACATTCCTCTTACTTATATATGCAATATTCCTTCTTTCAATTATTTTATGATACATTATTTAATAAAATTTTATAAATCAAAAGAAAAAGATAATAATAATAATTTCCATATATGTGCAAGTATGTACATTTCACTATTTGTGTGAAAATGTATGTCTATCTTCAAGGAATGTAGCAATTACTACAACATGAAAAGGAACACTTGCCTGACATTTTATGCAGACTTATGTTAAACAAAATATATGATACAAAACAAATATAAATCAGTAATGCAATAGAGCTGGATAAAAATATACTTTACATTGTTAATCTCAAACTGAAACATTGATTAGAATCTTATAAATATAATCGATAAAAATATTAACTGAATAAAATTAGCTTATTAAATTTACCCTGTTGCACATAGAGAAGGGATCAATATAGAAAATATTATCCTGAATAATGAGATGTACATTATATTATTGCAAAAAAACATATATTCATTAGTTTCAAATTTAAGATCATGAATCTGAAAAAAGAAAATCTAATTTAAAAATAATTTATACAAAGAAATCTTGACAATAAATCTATAAATCTAAAGTGGATTAAAAAATATAACAAATTTGCTTTTATATTGTTCGCGAGCGATAATGCGAATAAATGCATTATTTTCAAGCATCCTCGAGATGTTAAATAATTTCTTTTGTAATATCTGCGACATCCTTGACAGTTTGACAGCGAGATACACGATTGTCCCGCGACAATTGATTACTAACAATGGCAGAAATTGAGTGGCCGTGGCAATACAGTTTCCCTCCGTTCTTTACGTGAGTATCATCGTAAAAAAAACGTACGATTGCGCGACAAAATTAGAAACGTCATTAAACGCTTGATGTTCAACCACAAAATATATTTTGTTGAAAATCGCGTAATGTCGTATAGGTTAAGAATCTAAATTGAAGACGAAAGTACGTCGTTTTACGATCGTATCTTTCGCAAAATGATGTAAAAAAAATATATACTTGGAATGTTATTTCCCATGCGTTTACGATTTCGTTTTGTCACTGCAGACTTCAACCTCATGCGGACACTAGAGCCAAACAAATAGCGGCCTGGAAGAGTTTAGTACTGGAATATTATCGTATCACGAAGCAGGCTGTCGTGGACGTGCGAGAAGTGCACACGAACCCTCTGTTCAACAACACCAATATAAATAGTATCCTTCTTATTCGTTATTAAAAGACACTTATTTCGCATCATTTTATTATACATATAATTTTATTATATGCTCTATTCAATAGAATTTCTATATTTTATAATTTATTTTTTCTTGTAATAGTTACTTGATAATATTATCTATAATAGTTTGTAGCAGTTAACATTTCCTGCTGAGAACTCCTTAACAGAATAATAATAGGAAAGCTGCCATCCGAAGCTGTGTTAATAATATTAGAAGAACTGGGAAAATCAGGAAACGCATCTCCATTGGATAAGAACAAACAGAGATGGTTGGTTTATTGGCACACTTTAGAGGAATGGGGTGATATAATATATAATTGGGCACAGGAGAATGGTTTTGTTGGATCTGTGTGCACATTATTTGAACTAACACAAGGGGAGGACACGATTGAACAAGGTATGTGGATTTTAGTTGTGCATAATACTGCGTGTTGTACTCATGTTACGATATCACGACAAATGAATCTTTTACATATGTTTCAATTTATAGAATTCCATGGTCTCGATACAGAAGTATTAATCAGATCATTGAAAACGTTGGAAGCTGCCAGAAAAGCAGAGCTAATATTATTTGATGAAAACCAAGGTGTCAAATTCTTCTAATCCTTGGAAAATTACATAAGCATTACTGAAAATCGTATGATATAGATGTGAAATAAATTACACATTTCACACATTATAGCTTATAAATATCTGCATTTAAAGATAAATGTTTTTATCAAATTTATGATTACACAAATGATGTAAAGAAAATATTGTTAAATATAAAGTGATATTGTTTATAAATAAGATGATATTATGTGTTCATAAATGCAAACATTTATTTAACATAATATTAATAATACATCTTTTTCTTTTTTCTTATAAAAACTAAATCAAAATCGTTAAGTATACCTGAAGTTTGGGTGTAAGAATTCATAAATAATAAACATTCGTTATTCTGTGTATAATCGTTTTTAACTAATTCGGTTTAAAACTAAACTTGTTTTATAAACTAATTCGGTTTAAACATTATTTAGTTATACACTTTTCAAGGTATATAAATCATATGCAATAAGATTAGTCAAGAGAGAAAGAGCAAAAATAAAAATAAAACATTTTTAAACAGAGTCAAAGTTGAAACGAATTATGTAGAACATGTGTTTATACTTTCTTGTATTAATTGTGTTAAAACTTGTCAAACTTAATGAAACCTTTACTCTAAGCGCCTTAACTTAACTGAAATTTTTAATCTAAAAGGCACTCTATATAATCACAAGAATAAATTCTTATAAGTTACTTCGCTTCAGAATTAGAACTTTTGAGGACAACTAAAATATGTCACACACTGTCAAAATTAATATATCGTTAGATATCTTTCATGCTTGAGTTTTTTAATGCGAGAAGATGAGACCTATGACAAAGCAATAATTAAGAACTAAAATACTTTATAGACATATATACAGCATACTTGCTCGACATTTTTTTATGAATGGCTAAGCGAAGTAATTATAGACACAAAGACCATGGACATATTATTCTGTGGAATTTAACCAAACTACTATATAATTGATTTGCGCAATTTCCTTAAATCAAATCTATAGAGAGTTTATTCGAGATTCCTTTAGTGCATTGTAATGTTAAAAACAATTAAAGAAGGAGGAGAAGAAAATAATATTGCTCTACCATCACAAATATCCCACCATAAATATGAACATGATCTAAATCGTTATTTACAAGTTAATAGTGTAACAATTTCCTCCACATTCAATTGTCTTCCTCTCTCAGTTCTGGAGGGGTGGTTATTTTTCTCTTGAATAAGAGAATGTGTGGTTCTGAAATCATTCATTTGATTAAACGAAATTTTTCATCAATTATACACCAATGAAACATCATATTAATATAAATACATACCAGGTTCGTGAATCATATAATGCACCCATCCTTGACTCTGCTGGACTCCAATGGCTCTCCATTCCTGCTCTGACAGTAAATGAGTCCTCGGAACTAGTTTCACCATTTCTTTTGGCAAAACAACATGCCTATAGAATTTATAAGAAAAAGAAAAAATAAATGATAAAAAATAAAAATATAAAAATAATATACGAGAAAAAATAAAAATAAGAAATACGCATGATAAATCTTATAAATCTTCTTTAGAGATATTTGTATAAAATATATATAATTTATATATAAAAAAAAATAAGTGTTCACATTTCCTTTATTTAAAGAATAATTTACTAATTTAAATAAAAATAAAATTTATCAATTTGCAAAATGACACAGTTCTAAATTCAGTAAACTTCTAATTCAATTTTGTTGTTTTTAGAAATTAATACAATTAAACAAAAAATAACATTTAGCTTTTCTTCCATAATTCTTTAATTTCAAATATTATGGTTGTGATATACATTAATTAATATATTAATATAAGTAATTAATATATTATTAATGTCACTTATTATCAATATACATCACGTCTATCTTACTAAAAGATATCTCACATAAAACGACAAATTACGAGAGATAGAGTACATAGACATATAGAGCGCATTTTCTTCTCATCCGAAGCAAATGCTCGCGCTGAAGGTCAAGGAATCTGAAATCATGTCGAAACAGTATGTCGAATCTATTTAAACAGAAAAAAGCAATAGATCGAAGATTGCTAATTTGGACTGGACAAGGTTTAGCAACAAAACAAATTGACAGCGCGAACTTTCTCGATTCGGCCATTTAAACGATGTTTCGACATGTTCGGAAACGAGGAAGACGAGAAGAGAATGGGGAAAAGACGAGAAAAAACCACGAGAAAAAGAGAAAAAAGAATAAATCAGGCGCAGAGCTATCGTCTCGAAATTAGGAAACGTCAAATCTCACGAGGTATCGAGGTCAGCGAGGGCTGACCCGATTCGAGGAAGAAAGAGAGGCCCATAAGACCACAAAAGACTCTCTGTCCGCGTTGTACCCACCTGTATTCGTACTTGTCGTCGTAGTACTTGCTAGAGTAGTAGATATTCGACATCGTATCCTCTAACTACGCGCGACAGATTCCGCGAGAGATCACCGAGGGAGCGAGAAGGACGGAGAGAAAGATTCGGATTCGCGAGGAGACAAACACACATACACACGAGGCGAATCCTTCGAAAAGGCCACTCGCGCTAGCGTGCACACGCTGTCTAATTTGAAAGTTTAACGGATATGCCGGCCGAGCATGCGAACGGCGGAGGCGGCAACGAGTGCGCGACCGCGCGAGTCAAGAGAAGTTTTCGCGGAGTCGTCGCAACGCGCTCCTCGTCGACGTGGTCGATATCCTGGCGCGACAAAAGTGTCGATCGCTCGACGCGAGTACCGTCGTCGCTCTCCAAGTGACCCGAAAGAGCTCCTCCTCGTCGCCCCTCGTCGATCAACCGGGTTCCGTTCGTCGACTCGCGTAGTCACGTGATCAGCTGACTGTCTCGCGGCTGCGCCGAGATGGCGCTTCTTTCGCTGCCTAAAGTCACTAGATCAGTATTCTTAGACGGGCTAGGTTTTCTCGCGCATGCGCATTGAATATGATATCACTGAAGTAGATAATCGCAATGTATTTTATTATTATTATATTTCTATAATAATATTACTTAATTTAGAATAAGTAATTAATTAGAATAATTCTATGATAATTTTAATTATAGAATTATTCTAAATCTTAATTTAGAATAATTCTATAATAATATTATTATAGAAATATAATAGTAGTAGTATTATAAAATACATTGCGATTAACTACTTCAGTGATATCACATTCAATGCGCGTAGATTAAAAGATTGAACAGAAAATTGAATAGAATTGCACTTATGTGTACAAAAGTGTGCGTTATGTACACTTTTCGACTACTTTGTATATCTAGTGACTTTAATATGTCCGTAACCCGATGTGGCCGCTCTCAGATTTCTCTCTGTCTAGACACAGACGTTCAGGAAAATCCAGCGAAATGCGAAAAAAATCAAAGGACGATTCGCGTCGCGAATCGCGAAAGAAGCATAAAAGTCGAAAGAGGTAAGTTTCTTCCTCTAAAATTTTCAATTTTTTTCGAGGTTTTCTTGGTCTTTGATTTATGACAATGTGTATTGACATTTTCAGGGAATCATCTACATCATCGTCCGATTCGAATAAGCTTAGCAATAGCTCGTCAACAGATTCATCAAATCAATCGTCAGATTCAACAAAATTGTTAGAAAAGCTTCAAAAGCAGAGGCAGAAACAGATTACGGAGCGTAAGCGCCAGAAGGAGTTGATGAAAGCGACAGAAACGCCAGAGGAAAAGCGTCTACGTCGCCTGAAGAAAAAGGAAGCCAAGGAGCGCAGACGTAAAGAGAGAATGGGCTGGGACAATGATTATTTACATTACACCAATACAGATAATCCATTTGGAGATGGCAATATCCTCTCCTCTTTTGTATGGTCGAAAAAAATGGAAAAAGAGGGTTTGCTTGGTGTAGCTAGAGAGGAATTGGAGACTCGTAACAGGCACAAGCAGGAAGAGAATAAGAGAGAGTTGGAGAAGGTAAAGAAAAGGAGGCAAGAGAGAGAATTGGAGCGGCAACAGAGGGAAGAAGAAATGACTATGTTACAAAGAGGCAAGGAGGCTGCACAATTAGAGCAATGGGCTCGGCAGGAGGATCAATTTCACCTCGAGCAGGCTAGATTGAGATCCCGTATCAGAATTCAAGATGGTCGTGCGAAACCTATTGATCTTCTTGCAAAATACATCAGTGCAGAGGAGGAGGTTGATGCGGTAGAAATGCACGAACCATATACATATTTGCGAGGTCTGCAAGTGAAAGATCTGGAGGATCTCATAGAGGACATAAAGGTTTACAAGGAATTGGAGAGAGGCAAAAACTTAGATTATTGGAACGATATAACGGTGATTGTGGAAGATGAACTGCATAAGCTCAGAAAGCTGGAACGGACGGAATATGAAGTTGGTAAGAAGAGTGATTTTTTTTCATTTTTTTCTTGTTTATTCATGTTATTTTTATTTTTGCTATATCATATTTCTTTTTTTTCAGCTGTTGGTAGAAGAGAAGGAATTCATGAATCAGTCGCTAAAGACGTTACGACCATATTTAAGGGCAAAACTGCAACTCAATTGGAATCTTTACAATTGCAGATTCAGGCAAAAATTACGGGAAAGCCAGAAGGCGTCGATATCGGATACTGGGAAAGTCTATTGTCGCAATTGAAAGGTAATAGAGATATGATGAATAAATTAGAAATATATTAAAAAACTATAAATAATAATGCATGTTATTCACGCTAAGTATTAAACATATAGCTCATATGGCAAGGGCACGACTTAGAGATCGACATCAAGAAAACCTACGTAAAAAGCTGGAGGTTCTGATCGCCGAACAAGGTGTGGCTAGAGCGGAGAATGAAGCTGAAAACTCGCAAGCGCAGGAGAGCGAGCCTTTGATTAAGCAAGATGAGCCTTCCACGAGTACAGCAGTTGACAAAAATGAAAATAGTCAAGAGTAAGTATTTTCTCGCTCGCATCAATTCCAATGACTTTTTCATAATTTATTAAAATTTAATTTTATTTTCTTTTCGATGGTTATGAAATAAACTATTATGCCATATGTTGTAGTGATAATCAGGAAACTAATGCTGCCGACGATCTGTTATCCGAATCCTTCCGCGAGTATGAAGCGGGATGCTACTCGCCGAGTTATATACTTTACTCGCAACTCGAGCCGGGTACACTCATCACACAGGAGGACGAGGACAATCAACGATTGGAATACGCGAGACAACAGGTGCTTAGCACCGGCAGAAAGATTCAAAACGTATTGACGACCGAAGAGCAAGCGATGCATCGGGAGGCGCGCAAGGGTATGGGATCGGACGAAGCTCAGTTTAGCGTCGAGTCGTCGTTGGAGGCCCAGATTTATCTCTGGTCCGACAAGTATCGACCACGTAAACCGCGCTATTTCAATCGCGTACACACCGGTTTCGAATGGAACAAGTACAACCAGACGCATTATGACATGGATAATCCACCGCCCAAGATTGTCCAGGGATACAAGTTCAATATCTTTTATCCGGACCTCATCGATAAAAATACTACGCCAGAATACTTTTTGGTAAGATATATATTTGCTTTCTCTCTCTCTTTCTTTTAGATGTAAAATTATTTAAGTACTTAATTATTTAATTAAGTACTAAATTATTTAATAATTATTTAATTTGATCTATACGATTGGATGTTTAATTCTCGATGTTCAATTTTTTTAGACACCTTGTGCCGACAATAAGGACTTTGCTATCTTGCGATTTCACGCGGGCCCGCCTTACGAGGACATCGCGTTCAAGATTGTCAACCGGGAATGGGAATATTCGTACAAACGCGGATTCAGATGTCAGTTTCACAACAACATTTTTCAGCTGTGGTTTCACTTCAAGAGATACAGATACCGCCGTTAATGTAAAATATGTATCATTATTTAATATTCATAATTTTATGGATAAAAACTTGTATATATATTTTTATTATTATTAAAAACGTGCAGAGTTTTTAATATTGTATTTATATAAAAAAAATGAATATAGAGAAGAGATCTCTAAGCGATATAGAGGATGTTTTTTTGGAACCGGCTTTACGTTGTTTTATGGCAAAGCGCGCGGTTCTTCCGCGTTTTATCGTTCGCTCGCCAACGACTTCCGCACGATGACGAGACACACACACCCCAGCGTGGTGTATAGCCGTTTTAAACGCTCGTTGGATCGATTTTTCCTCTGCCACCTGTGTACTGTCACACAGTCGACCGCACACTCATACGTATAGGAAGGTAAAAGTCGAAGCTAATGGCAAGGTAAAGCGGAGCCTCGCAGTGCGCCGCGTAATTCGACGGAGAGGAGCTGCGCGTCGATGAAGAATTCAACTTCCGCTCTACGCTCACGCACAATTAAGGATGCACTGGACTTAGTGCGTGAATGATTCACGTGTTTATGTACGATTTGTAAAACAAAAAAAGAAGCCACATTTTTGCATTTATAACGCGAGTGTTAAGTTATTACTTCAGCGTCGTCATTAAATTAATTGCAATTAGTGGATTCTCGTATCATTCGATAATCAGTTTTACAGATTTTTATAATACGGGAACATGAGATTGTAATACTTATCGCTCGTGTTCATCGGGGTGGAAAAATACTACACGTTTATGACGTCAAGCCGTCGAGTACAACTCGGATTCTTTAGAGAAATGACACCCGTTTGAAAGTTGAAGAAGCGAAAGATCGCTCGAGCAGAATTTAGTGGGCGTCGGGAAATGTTTTCTTTTTATTAACGCGAAAGCTTTCCCCGAAACGCATGTCACTGATGTGAGGTAAATTGTAATATAAAACTTAATTTTTGAACGATGAAATTGAAGGGGAGCTTAATTGATAAATTTAATTCTCTAAGTGGTTTCATCTGTCACAGATCAATGTAATAGTTGTGTGTTGATGTAAATTAATAGGGAAGAAAATTTATTCTGATGGGAAATATGATAATGCTCGTCTGGCGACACGAGTAACGCGCGAATAACTTTGATAGCAATTTATAAGATCCGAAATCGATAAAATCGATAAAATGAAGTGGAAGAAAGGACCGTGCGAATTTTTGTCGGAGAAAACATTTCTCATAATAAAAGATGACTTGAAGATTTTGAAAGGTAATGTAATTTCAATCATGTATTTTATCGCGTACTTTATCGCAAACTTGTCGATATGCATATTAATGTAATCAATTATTGGAAAAATTAATTTACAAATTAACAAGACGATTGGCATATCTAATAAAAAATATTTCATATATAGAATGTTGTAAATAAAAACTTATAGGATATAAATCTTTTCGATTGAATGACAATAGATTGATAACAAAAAATATCATTTTTATGCAATATTTTATAAATGAATTCTTGAATATTTAAAATATTTTTCTTAATCTAACTCTCTGAGATCTCCAATTTTTTATGTTTATTCAACCATGTTAAGTTAACCCATTAAAAAAATTAATATCCATTTTTGAAACAAAATTTTATCATAATTGAAATAATTTTGTTAAAAGAAAAAACTTTATTTTAAAATAAATATATTACTTTCAATATTATTATCATATCTATCATATTTCTTCAATATTTTCAAGCTTGATATGTTTCCAAAGGTATTTAATTTCCAAATATTAAATTATTAACTATTTAATTCCAGTACTAATTTAATATTTTTAAGGAAAAAAAACAATAATATACATATATAAATTTTTTACAACAATTATGACTTCTCTAATGGATATTAACTAATGTACATTCGCGTGTAACGATATCGGCGCACGTTATCAACGATAGATCGTCTAAATAGGTGCGACCAAGAAAACGAACGGGGGGAGGATAACGCCGAGAAATGCGGCGAACACCGGCACCTGGCCGCCCAAGATGAAGCGCGCGAACGTGTCCCGCGCGGAGATGCCAGAGAGGCCGAAGACGGCGAATCTCTCGCGACCGAGCGTGCTGGACCCGACGCTCGTGGACAAGCTCGACATGTCTCTTCTTAGTAAGGAGCTCTTGTGCGACTCGATGACGCGATTCCATCAGTCGACTGCGATTCCATCGAACAATGTTGACAAGTCGATCAGCGGGGCGTCATCATCATCATCATCATCGTCATCGTTGTTACTGGTACCATCGTCGCCATCGGCGACACGACGACGCCGCCGAAGCGCCGCTGCTGTCGCTGCCACGACGACGACGACCACCACTTGGTCGTTCCGCGAAGACGCTCTTCCAGTAACGCGTCGCCAGCGACGGAGCTTCGAGCAGATTCGCGAGTCGCGGGTCGTCGCGTCGGATCGTCAAATGGAGGAGATCGATCGATTGCGATCGCCCACCGGAAGTCAAAAGATCACGTCGTCCACAGCCGCCGCGACGCAGAACTCCGATGTCAGGAAACTCGACGATAATAACAATAGGTTGGTGATCTGTGTGATTATGATTATTTATTAATAGGGCTGTTTACTTTTAGCAGAAATAGAAAATAGAATAATTTTTGTTGTGGAGGTAATGAGAAAATTTGTCAGAAGTTTCTATAATACATCATGTATCAACGAATTTAGTTTGCGCATTAAAAAAGAAAGATTTTCTAGATTTAAAAATTAATCTCTGCAAAATAAATTACAATTAAAGAAAAGAGATTATCAAATTGAAATAGATTAACATGATTGTTTCAATCGGATCGCTGATGCATGATAAGTAAAAGTGCTAAAAAATAAAATACGTGAATGACATTTCTGCGGTGATAAATTATTGCTATCATGCTAGCTATTGAAGTAATGGCTGTGTATATAAGCCGAAATAATATTTTACTTCTTTCTCTTATATTTTGGGGAGATGTCAAAAATAATAACACCTTCTTTGTATATTCCCCTTATATGCAAATTTCTCTTTCGAGTTTTCAAACTTCAAACTTTTTGTAAAAGATACATTAATAATGTAAATTAATTATTTAAAGAAAAGAAAAAACATGATAATAAATAAATAATAAATTCTAAAATTATCAAAAATCATCGAATATTTACATTTAATAATTATTAAAATTTGATAAATAATCGTGAATTTTATTCTTGATAATTACGATATCAATTTAAAAATCTTTCAATATATATCTGATTAAAAAATCGCAATATTTGATTATATAATATATACGATTAGGAACGGTACTCTCAAAGTGCTGTCTACGGTGAAGAAGAAGAAGAATTCGCGGGGCGGTTTGCCGAGCGACCTGGAAATATTCACCTCCGCCGCGTCGTCGGCGAGGAGCGCTCCGGAACCCTGCAAGACTTGCGGCCGTCCGGATCAGCCGGAGAGATTTCACAGTCATCCGAAGGGCAGTCAGACCAAGATCAAGGATCTCCCGACGTTGACGATGAAGCCGAAGCCCGCGGTGCCATCGGTGCCCAAGTCTATCCAGAAGCCGGTGGCGTTGAATTTCCGCAGCGATCGGAACAGAAACAAGCCGGACGAAGTCGAGACGAAGACGAACGCTTCTCAGGATCGTCCTTCCCAGGACTCAGGCCAGCAGGCTAGGTCGTCGTCCGCGATGAAACGGGGTCCCAAGACGGTCACGTGCTACATTTGCGGCCGGGAATTCGGCACCGCCAGTTTCCCCATTCACGAGCCCAAGTGTATGGAGGTAAATAGCTTCAATTGTTACACTTTGATATCCTAGATACAAAATAATTAATTATTATTAATATAATTAATAATAAATATTGACTGATTAATAATTTACGATGATTAATTATTATTAATTTATAATTACTGATAATTAATAATAATTATTGAACAAACTTAGAATACAATAATATGATAAAATTTTCAATAAATCTAGTTTAATTGAGAAGATAAGGAACTTTATATAAAATTTAATACATTGCGCGTGTATAATCAAAAGCGTTTATTTTTATCAATTAAAAATCCCTGTCCTATCTCTTTTATAAATAAATTAATAAAATTAATCATGTAGCTTAATTAAGCTCTTGAAACAGAGTTAAAGCGATTAATCGAGGAACAGCCGTAGATTAAATCCGAGTAAATTTCTCTTTATGTGTGACATCACGATTTCATCGCGGAAGCGACACAGAAGAGTTTATAATATAATAGCGCCTCAATAATGCGCGTATAATAAGTCAAGGCCCTTTTGCAAAATCGATGGCGCGACGCGTTGTACGGCATCAAGCTCGATATCTCACAGATGCAGATTCGTGCACGTGTAACTGATGTGTCGTATAGTTACAGGTACTATAACTCACTATAAACGATCGGTAATTGCGCATTGTCTTATACGAGGTGTTTCCGATCGATCGACTGATATAGTGACGTTAACCGCGATCTTTATCGCGTTCGCATCGGGATTCTCGTAATCGATCAACAAAATTCACATTTGCGTAGTCACCTCTAACTCGATAGATATATATTTTGCAATGACAGACATTAAGGAACATGCTGTACATAACGTCAACCGCAACAGCAATGCCAATGTGCTGCAATGTAAAATCGATACAACAGCTGCATGTCGCGCATAAATCGTGCAAAAAATTGTTCGAGACTTTTTATTAAAAGAAAGAATTTTTCCTTTTGCTCAAAAGAGTCTTTTAATAATAATTCAGTCGATTAATTTACTTATTTCTACATTGACTAATTTTTTTTTTATATTATTTCATTCAGATATATATGCATGTTATCGTAAATTTGAATAACTTAACTATTATAGTACCGGCAATGTATATATAATTACCAATGAAATTTTAGTAAATTTAATAAATTTTATACAATTTCATATATTTACATACATGTATAATTATGTAAAATAAGTATGTATAATTTTATAAATATAATTATATGTTATATATTTATATAGTAAAAAATTTATAATTATATTTGAAAAATATATATAAAAATATATATATAATCTTATAATATATTTATATAAAATTGCCGATAAAAATGATTATATTTTGATAAAAATCACATTAAATATTGTATTGGCAATAATATATAATTACTGGTAATAATATGTTTAATGCCAATTAATCATATTTCTAATAACATATGGGCATCAAATACTATTTAAATCACTTACTAAATAACTATTAGTTATTATGTACTTATTATGTATTATACTTTTGCTTTTTATTTAAATACGAATGTTTCTATTATAGAAATGGGATCGTGAGAATAATTCGCTACCTCCGTCTCAAAGACGACCCAGGCCGCAAAGACCTGTAGTCGGCGTCGAACACAGCGATTGGAACGCAGCCGCATGGGAACAGAGCCAGGTAGTTAACTCTTTCCAATTAGCATTGCAGCGTCAATAGGACATTACGAGGCAATTATCTTTACGTGAGAAGCGCATCATGCCGTTTCCGCCTGAACGAACGTCGGTGTCCGCGCTTCATTAATCTTGTCGAACGACGACGCAATTATCGTTGACCGATGATGCAAGAAATTTGTAGGATATGTAATCGGAGATTCAGAAGCGCTTACACAAACATATATCTCATTGTAAGTTAAAATGGACCAGGAAGAAATCGCTTCTATGAAAGTGGAGAATATGAAATTAAAAATTAATATTGAAATTTTGAAATATATTCAGCTCACTTTTTGTGTCTAGAATTGAGTTATAAATCATAATAAAAAAATATATGTATTGATGTATGAAGATTTCGTGTCGTTTCGAGTGCGTAATTCTAACGTGGAATATTAAAGATTGCTCTTTAACATCTCATATGCATATAACTCGTACGAGCGCATATTAAATGAGAACCGCCCTCCTCAAGTAGATTTTGACGATTAATAAACATTTACGTAAGAAACCAGAATTCTGCATATGCTAAATGATAGATTGCTAGGTTTCAAAATTTGCAAATCCAACTAATTGTAAGTATTACAGGTTAACAAAAGAAATTTGCTTTTTTTTAATAAATGATTGTTCTTAAGTTATTTCATAATTATTAATTGAATCATCAGTATTTCTATTAATATATGAAATAATTTATAAATAATAATCTATTTCTTTACATAAAATGTGATATATATGTAAATTAAATTTGATTTTTCCGCGATTTCTATAAATAATCAACAATATAGAAATTTTGATTCTTCTACTATCGCTCGACTAAAAATGTCATATTTAATAAAATACATTATATGATTTTTATGAAAAAAATTTAAAAAAGCGCGAGAACTTTGACACCTTTTTAAACATTATTTTGAAAAAGATGATCAAAGATACAAAATTCTGTATTTTCTTTCAGGAGCAATTAATTCCTTGTGCAAAATGCGGAAGGACATTTTTGCCGGAACGATTACCAATTCACGAGAGAAGCTGTAAAGCTGCTCCAAAGGTATTAAACTTTTAATTGAGAATATATATATATATATATATATATATATTCTCACTTATTTTCATATTTTACTTTTTTCCATACCTCGTTTTTTTTAGAACGAACGAGTAGCCACAGCGAATAGACGTAGTGTTGTGCCACCAACTGTTCCTTGTCGGGTTTGTGGGCGAAATTTTGGCACCAGAAGCATCAAGATTCATGAGCCTCAGTGTAGTAGACGATGGCAGATGCAAAACGATTCGGCGAGCGAGCAGAAAGATCAGTTGACTCTCTATAGACAAAAATCGACCAGAAAGCAGGAAAATTCACCGTCGATGTATCCGGTGAGTCCTTACAGAAGAAAAAAGCATGTGCGCACTTGAGTTTCCGTAGTCAGTCTCTTGCTATTGTACAATCTTTTAATCTGCGAATAAAGTTTTCTTAATCAATCAATCTTAATCAATCAATCTTAATCAATCAATCTTAATCAATTTTTAATAATTCAATAATTCTAATATTTAAAACAATTTATTTCTGTGTAGCACTCTATGTAAATGATTTTGTCTGTTATTTGCGAAATAAAATATTCTTATCTTACGCAATGTGTTGTATACGATAAAACAGAACTTGCTACTACAATCTCAATAAAAGATAACGTGCAAGTAACAATCTTCGGATAAGACATTGAGCAGAAGATGAGAAGAGAAAAAGAAGAAGATAAACCGTTTTATTTTAGGATGTATCGCAAAAGAGGACTGTCACGTGTTACATTTGTGGTAGAGATTTCGGGTCCTCCAGTATCGCCATTCACGAACCGCAATGTCTGAAGAAATGGCATGCCGAGAATGACAAACTGTCACCAGCCCGCAGAAGAAAGGAGCCGCAAAAACCTGAAGTCATATACATACGTAAGTCAATATTCTCGTTTCGATAATATTGTCACGCATACATGTAAATATAATATGCAAATAAAACATTGCAAAAAATCAGAAGAACATGCATACACTTAAAGTACATACATTTAAAAGAAAAGTCGATATTTGAGTAAGAAATACGATGATTTAATATAAAATGATTTAATATAAAATGATTTAATATAAAAAATATATTTTATATATATTCTAGAGAAATGAAGTGTATTTTAACAGCCCTTTCTATTTAAACATGAATGAAAATTTTAAGCTTTTATTAAAGAAAAAAGTATACTAATTGTTTGATAAAAGTTAAATTAAATATTTTAACACGTAGAGAAAAAGTATGTTTTTAAAACATATATATGAAATAAATTTCTTTCATTATACAATTGGAACGAATAAATACTTCAAAGGGTGATAAATAGCACTTGAAATTGATTTCTTCGAAGTTCATAAGTATTTCTTACATTTGCCCTTTCGCATACATTTATTTTTTACCTTGAGATTCATTCTGTTCGCTGTCAGGGTCAAAAATAGTACGTTCAAGCACTTATAGTGAATCAATCGGTTACCGAAGCAATTACGCGCGCATATATGATATATGAATCTGTAATGTTCCTTTATGCATCGCCGTGGAATGGAAGTGGGTGTAATCCTGATTTATTATACACGCACCACAGATTATTCTCGGTTAAAAGTGCCGCTACAACGAATCGATAATTCGTGACAGAAAAATGACGGAAAAAAAATTTCGTTGTTCTTTCGCCTCTTATCCTTATTTCCATACAAGTGCATAAAACTTAATTAAACCCGAGACAAGAATCTTAAAATCCTAGATTCGTGATGCAAGTATAGGACTTGCCGTGGCTTTCAAAAATTTTAATTTTCTAAAGAATTTGCATTTCCGTTGTGCTTTTAATTTCCATACAAGTATACAAAAAATAATTAATTGATCCAATGGTAATTAATTCATATAAATGTATAAAAAATAAAAAAATAATTCCCAGACAAGAATCTTCAAATCCGAGAATCGCAATGCAAGATGGGATTTGCAGCGACTTTCAAAAGTGGGAATTTTCCAAAAAATTTACCTTGACGTTAATTTGTTGCGAAATTCGATTTATCGCAATCAAACAGATCAGTTAGCATTATTCGTCGATTTATCTTCGAGTATCTTCTTTTTAAGATTTTTCCTGCACTTTTCAAGGTTCGATACAATTGGCAATGACGACTTCACTGTTCGCAGAGGATTCCTGCACGGGAAATGTGGTGGTTGATCAGGCGGCAACGGCGGAGGCCAATTGGATGACGCATCTGAGCCAGCTGGTGCCGTGTAAGCGTTGTGGAAGAACCTTTAATCCGGACCGCGTGAACATTCACGAGAATAGCTGTAAAGGGAATCGTTGAGAGTCCATTACACTACGATTTGCTCCTTACTTAATTTTAGAATTTTTCGATTCCACGGGTGAACGTAGATCTAACTGTGAACAAGCGATAGAATATTTAACAAATCGCTACATCCTTTTTTTTTAGAAGTGACTTTCATCTTATTATTTTTTAGAAGTGACTTTCATCTCTCTTTGTTTTTATACGAAGACTAAATATTACAATACTAGTTCGCAACTTTTGTAATAGTAGAGTGTTTATATGGATTTGCTTGCAGTTCTACTTAACTTACTTTTATTTAGGTTTGCATTACATAATTCGGGTTAACGATTCCTCTTGTTTTCTCGTTTAAAAGTGAGTAAATGCAGTCTCCAAAAAACTCAAACGTATGCAACACTTGACGTGCACTTTGCGTGAACACGAATGTCATTAGATACTGTCAATATGTGTTGGAATTACGCATGTAACGCACGTTATAATCCTTAGATAAAAGTTAATTAACTACTAATGTATATACATACAAGATGTCTCAGAATTTTACTCCAGTTCGTGAATTTTTCTGTCAATTGATATTATCTTGGCAGAAATATTTTTGATCGGGCGATTAATTTACACAACACAGAATGGCCTTGTAACTTTGAGTCGAATAAAAAAATTTTATAAAATAAAATTTATTCAAAAAAGAAGAACTTACGAAATAATATTTTCTCGGCAGAAATCACTTCAATTCGCCAAAACGATAGTCGCAACTGCTTGTGTGGAACATGTTCTTTTTATTATGAGAATGTATTAAAAAATTCTGTATTCTTCTTTTTTTAAATCTACGTCGATTATAATCCGACTCTATATTCTTCAAGCATTTTTACTGTTCATAGATGGCAGTAAGTCCAACAATTTTTGAACTGCGTTCCGAAACTCTACTCGATTAACCCTGTGGAATGCAACGCAATGCAAGCAGTGCATGCATTTAGTATAATATCGCTCATTGGTCGCTTAACGAGTGGCTGCTCATGATTGGCTCTTAGCTCTTAGATTTTGGATAGATCTGAAAATATACACAAATCATCAGCGAATATTTTTGTAAACAGTTATTATACCCTAAGGTTTCTCCCTGATTATACTAAATGTACTCGATGCAAGATAGAAAATTATGGAAGATTCCAATTGCGTCTAAAATTTAACAATAAGAAAATTTATTGTTCAAGAATGAAAATGTATGGAATTTACATTTTCAATTGAATATAAATTCAAACATCAAATTCAAACCATATGTCAGACACATTAAACTGGGGATGAAGCTTAAAGAATAAATCGAGTATTTTCGAGAAAAGAGATTAGATTGATGAAAATTCTTGACTCATAATTGATTGATTTTTTTTAATCACTTTTGAGATTATGTCTCCATTTTGAAGCCAATAATAGAGCTAATCTCTTATCATCGCTGTCACGTCATATGATAAGTGTTATTGACAAATTTTTGGAAAAAATACGAGAGATACGATTAAATTCCAAACATCACTTGATACGTGTTGTCTTCTGTGTAAAAGAAAATGATACGCCCTTTGCTCAATTCGCATTTTTCGCAAGTGGACGAATAAAATAAAGAACAAAATTATAAGCAACGATTAATTAAATACCATTAGGCCGACATTACATTTGTCATACGATAAATTTTTCAAGAATAATAATCAACTGCAGAATAGAAATTCTAGTTTCTAGATACCTTCTATTTCGTGGCTAATCAATGTGCTTAAAAAATTTCCCAATTTTTCAAACACATTAATTGACAAACGTAACATCGAACTTAAACGGAAGAGCGCGAGACGACGAACGTCCACAGGTGCGCACTGCGAGAATTTAAAATCTCCCATGAGGGAGAGAGGGACGGGACTGCGCGTGCGCGCGTCGCGCCGCGCTCCGATTGGCCGACGCGGCGAGGGGGGCCGCAACGCCGCCGCACCGCGGCGCTTTCGCCACTCATAAGAGGCGACGTTCGGGTGCACGGCGGATAGCCAGTTCTTTCCGAGGGAGTTCGCCATTGTTGGTGCACGTATATTTCGGACCAGGCCGTCGACAATCGGACAACATCCAAGATGGTACGTAACCGCATCCCGATGCCGTCGTCGCGATCGCGGTCGCGCGGCTCCCGGGGACGCGCGGCCGCCAATATTTTTTTTCCTCGGCTCCTCGCGATCCCTCGTCGTCTCGTCTCGCCCGCGAGACCTCGAGCCCGTAGCCGAAGAGCCGAGAGCCGCGAGTAGAGCCCGTCTCTCTCGCCTTCTCGCTCGCGTGAACGACGGCGATTACTCAGGATTGCGCAATTTTGTCGCGCGTGGGATCTCGGGATCCCGGGATTTCCGGGTGCGTCGAGTCGCGCCACGCGGCTCGCGAGCGTCGCGAGGAGCATCCCCTAGTCCGGAGAGTGGTTCCATCGCCTGCGACATCGCGTCCGCGACAAGTTCCGAGCGGAAATATGTTTCGCTCGCAACGTGTCATGGTGCCTGTCGGGCAATGTGCTCGGGCCATGCTTCGCCTGGACGTTCCCGACCACGCGGTCGCTCTCCCGATGCCGATCGAGGATCCGATAACGTATCTGATAAAGTATCGGGGCGTCGCGGAGAGAAAAATTGTCGATGACGCGTCAGGATAGCGATAGGGACGGGACGCATCTGGAGCGGAGAGTCCTCGGGGAGGCTGGATCGCGCGATGCCTGTGGCCGAGTGTCACGAGAGGCGCGAGAGGGCGAAAATCCCGTCTCCGAGCGGAAATATTTTATCGCTGCGCTCCCTTTCTCCATCTCGCGACGTGTCACGATGCAGCCTCGTGTCGGGACAACGTGCTCCGATCTTCCTCTCCCCCTCGGTTGAGAGTCTCTGGCTCGATGACGCTAATCGAAAAGCAGCGCGCAGGATAACGCGCGTCTCCCCGAGGCGGAGAAATAGAGCTAAATAATTGTTAATTCCAACATATAATGGTCTTGCTATTATGTCCTGTATTTCGATTTATTCCTTTCTTCTGGCTCGTTTCAATTCCGACATTGTGACTCCCCTCTCTTCCAGCAGCATTTTTCCTTCGTATCTCTTGTGTCAATCATGAAATTCTTTGTTGCTTCATCCTATTGAAATGTTGCATTTAATGCGTTTTTAATATCTACTTTGCTTTCTCTTTCCAATCTTATTTTTTATTGCACAATGTTTTATCATGTTGTTAATCACGTGGTTGCTTTACTTTTGTTTTTACTTTTCATGTTTACCTGCGTAGATAATTGTTTTTATCAATATTGTTCAGAATATAGATTATAGATTATGAATATGTATTATTATCTCTGTTTTTGTAGATTCATCTATTTAGGTTAGGCTTAAAAACAGCATGTATGCTGTCGCTTTGTCTCTGGGCACATATTTTTCTTTATACTTTATCGTTAGCTTTCATGTTGCTTTATACATTCTGTTGCTTTCGATAAAATTATTATTTTTCATTGTTTCTTTCTCAAATATTAATATACAAGCGACTGCAGACATTAAATATTTTGTCAGACATACAAAGCATATTCCAAATATTAAAATTTTTTACACATTTGATTTTGCTATCATGTGAGGCTTGAACTATTCCTTTATATACCTTGTAAAAGGAATATTTTTTTATATAATTTGCAAATAATCTACATTTTTGCAATATTGCAATATGTCGCAATAAAGTTATATGAGGATGTATATAGCAAACAAAGCACTTTAATTATTTCCTATTATATATTTATAAATTTATATATAAATATGCATTATTGAGATAAATTTGAATTAATTTTGTATTAGATTAATCTGTAATTTGTATCGACATGAAAATGAGATATGTTTTAATCATAAAAACGCATTATTGCAGGTGAACTTTACAGTAGACGAGATCCGTACCATGATGGACAAAAAAAAGAACATCAGAAATATGTCCGTCATTGCACACGTCGATCACGGGAAATCAACTCTGACCGACTCCCTTGTATCCAAAGCTGGCATTATCGCTGGCGCTAAGGCTGGTGAAACCCGGTTTACCGATACGCGCAAGGATGAGCAAGAGCGTTGTATCACTATTAAATCTACGTAAGTAGCATCTCTCTGTACTGTTATACATTAATGGGTCTTATATTGTTCATTATTATTACTGGCTCCTTTTCTTATAGCGCTATTTCTATGTTCTTTGAACTTGAAGAGAAAGATATAGTCTTTATTACAAATCCCGATCAACGTGACAAAGAGGAGAAGGGCTTTTTAATTAATCTGATTGATTCACCTGGACACGTAGATTTTTCGAGCGAGGTCACAGCCGCCCTTCGTGTTACTGATGGAGCTCTCGTTGTCGTTGATTGTGTATCTGGTATGTATATGATTTTTCCTCATGACTCGTATATTAGTTTCTTTCACACAAGTGAAGAGACTGATCTTCCAGCACACAAGGGTCACTCTACAGTATGTCGTTTGGTTTGCATCTGCAACTGACCGATGTACATTGACAGTGTTGACAGTGCAATGGAAGAAGAGTAAAGAACAAATGTGTTTAAACGCTGTTAGTGAACCTCTATCCTTATGTTCGTTACTAATATGCTACGGCACAAATGTTACAAATTTACCTTCTTATAATATTAATATATTATATTGAAGAATATATCTATAAAATACAACTTTTACAAACATTTTAACATGATAATATGCTTTTCTTTCAAAATGAAAGAAAAATTTACAATTATTTTCTCGTTTCCTTCCAGGTGTATGCGTACAAACTGAAACTGTACTGCGCCAGGCGATTGCGGAACGTATCAAGCCTGTTTTATTTATGAACAAAATGGACCGTGCACTGCTAGAACTCCAACTGGATAGTGAAGATCTCTATCAAACCTTCCAACGTATTGTTGAAAATGTTAACGTTATTATTGCGACTTATTCTGATGATGATGGTCCCATGGGCGAAGTTAGAGTAAGAGAAATGAGCTTATTTTCATTTTTATAAAATAATCATAGACACAAAGAGCCTCTTTAAACATAATATATTTGTAAAATAGGTAGATCCCAGCAAGGGATCTGTAGGTTTTGGTTCTGGTCTTCACGGTTGGGCATTTACTTTAAAACAATTTTCTGAGATGTATGCTGAGAAATTCAAGATTGACGTAGTGAAACTTATGAACAGACTGTGGGGCGAGTCTTTCTTTAATCCTAAGACCAAGAAATGGAGTAAACAGAAGGAGCCTGATAACAAACGATCCTTCTGCATGTACGTTTTAGATCCAATTTATAAGGTAAGCTTTCTCTTAATCATCAGTATTATCTAAAATCCATTATACTTTAATATCATGAAAAGTTATTACGAAAACTGAATTTATTTGTAGGTTTTCGATAGTATCATGAATTATAAGAAAGAGGAAGCAGACACTCTTTTGCAAAAACTGGGAATTGTGTTGAAACCTGAAGATAAGGACAAGGATGGCAAAGCTCTTTTAAAGGTAAATTTCATTTAAAAAATAAATTTCTAGACATGTACTTATAAAATATATGTTATGATGATAATTTTATTGCTTTTTTCTGACGCCTCTTCCGATTTATAATGAGAGAATACTAGTATCTGAAAAAGTCTCGATTGTATTGGCTTTCTCTGTATCTTGGAATGTTTTTTTTTATCGCATTATATAATTTTTTCAGGTTGTTATGAGAACATGGTTGCCTGCTGGAGAAGCTCTACTTCAGATGATTGCCATTCACCTGCCATCTCCTGTAACTGCTCAAAAATACCGTATGGAAATGTTGTATGAAGGACCACTTGATGATGAAGCTGCCATTGGTATCAAGGTTTGTAACATAATTAAATTCTTTCTAAATATTTTAAACATACATGATGACATTAATTTCACAGACCTGTACCGAAACGTAATGAAGGAAAATTGAAATACTGATTTCAGAAAAATTATATATAAAATACTCGATGAGTTTAGGTTTATTAATCAAATCTTTCGTTTCTTGTTTAGAATTGCGATCCGAATGGACCTCTGATGATGTACGTCTCGAAAATGGTACCGACATCGGATAAAGGACGTTTTTATGCTTTTGGTCGAGTGTTCTCGGGCAAGGTATGCACCGGTATGAAGGCTCGTATCATGGGGCCCAACTTCCAACCGGGCAAGAAGGAAGATCTATATGAGAAAGCTATCCAACGTACTATTCTAATGATGGGTCGTTATGTCGAAGCTATTGAAGATGTGCCTTCCGGTTAGTATCAAGATTTTTGTTATTGATTTTATTTCCAAAGATTTGCATGATGATTGTTCAACAGACCTGTTCTGATAGCTTATGATCGATAGCGAACGGCCAGCTGATTTAATTAAATAAAATTAAGATCTTTTATCATATTTTTTAATATTGGTTGACTAAGGATTATTTGATAATGCAGGTAATATTTGCGGTCTTGTCGGTGTTGATCAGTTCTTGGTCAAGACTGGTACCATCACGACGTTTAAAGATGCACACAACATGAAAGTTATGAAATTCTCGGTATCGCCCGTCGTACGTGTTGCAGTAGAACCGAAGAATCCTGCCGATTTGCCAAAATTAGTCGAAGGTAAGCGTTCTAGTTTTATTTATATTTAATATTAATTTAAACAATAATTAATATTTAAATATTGATTATTGACATCTTAAAAGATTTTGTTATATATGTCATTCACGTATGATGAGACTAATGAGAGCATTGGGTTATGAAGAACCATGATTTGAATTTTTCCATCTGACACGATATTGAAAATATCATTAAATATTATTTATTTTAAAATATTTTATATTTGCGAGAATGTGTAATTTAATTTTTCCTGTCAAATTTAACAGGTCTTAAGCGTTTGGCCAAGTCTGATCCTATGGTGCAATGCATCATCGAGGAATCTGGCGAACATATCATCGCCGGTGCCGGAGAATTACATCTTGAAATTTGTCTGAAGGATCTTGAAGAAGATCATGCGTGTATCCCGATTAAGAAATCCGATCCCGTCGTATCGTACAGAGAAACGATCTCTGAACAATCGAATCAAATGTGTCTTTCAAAATCTCCGAACAAGCACAATCGATTGTTCATGATGGCTTGTCCGATGCCGGACGGTCTCGCTGAGGATATTGACAGCGTAAATACGACATCTTTTTATCTTCCTCTTTAAGAACTTAAACATTAATACTGTGTAAATGTGACAGCTTACAAAAAGAAAAAACTATAAAATAAATTTCATTTCTTGATATTTTGTAGGGTGACGTTAACCCGCGAGATGACTTCAAAGTACGCGCTCGTTATTTGAATGAGAAATACGATTACGATGTGACCGAAGCTAGGAAAATCTGGTGCTTCGGACCTGATGGCAGTGGACCCAATATATTAGTCGATTGCACCAAGGGTGTACAGTATCTCAATGAAATTAAGGACTCTGTAGTAGCTGGATTCCAATGGGCTACGAAAGAGGTAAAGATATTTTTGAAGGCTCTCTCTGATATAATGCACGTATGATGAGCAACGTTTAATGATATAACTCGTTTCTACACTATTGTAGGGTGTTCTTTCGGAAGAAAATTTAAGAGGTGTACGTTTTAATATTCATGATGTAACGTTACACGCCGACGCGATCCACAGAGGTGGTGGTCAAATTATCCCTACCACAAGACGTTGCCTTTATGCCTGTCTTCTCACTGCCTCACCCCGAATTATGGAACCCGTTTATTTATGTGAAATTCAGGTAAATTAGGTCATTTCAATAATGTACATTATCGATTTTACACGAATCGAATAATAACAAAAATCAAGAGATATACCTGTGAAATTATATTTATTTAATTTTATTTTACAGTGTCCAGAGGTAGCAGTCGGCGGTATCTACGGTGTATTGAACCGTAGAAGAGGACACGTGTTCGAGGAACAACAGGTGGCGGGCACTCCCATGTTCGTAGTTAAAGCTTATCTTCCTGTTAACGAATCCTTCGGCTTCACCGCCGATCTACGTTCCAACACTGGTGGTCAGGCTTTCCCACAATGCGTGTTCGATCACTGGCAGATCCTGCCGGGTGACCCGATGGAAGCCAGCTCTCGACCATACCAAGTTGTGCAAGTATGTACATTTCACATTGCGTATTTCTACCGTGTTTTACCACGTGCATAACTGATGGCGAGGATAATACGATATCACCGCCATTTTTAATCTCGTGGAAGAAAAAACGTTTTTTAGTTTTGGCTTTCCAGTACAATGTTCTGGTTTGCCTGAATAGGGAAACGTACATTCTTTTAACAAATAATTAGCTCAGCAATGTACATTAATATATTACATTCATTAGAATCGTAATTGCATTGAAATATTAACAATGAAAACTTGTGTTTTTTCCAGGATACACGTAAGAGAAAGGGGTTGAAGGAAGGGCTCCCAGATTTGAACGCGTACCTCGACAAATTGTAACCTCAAATCCGCGCGCACCATATTTAAATATCTATTTAAATATTGTAATTCGATTAATAAATCGCTGGAGCTGTATACAATTAAAATATCGTTTATCATTAATTTTACTTTGCGCAATGATTCGTAAAAGATACACAATTATAAATACGAACAAGGATAATAAAATGTAATTATATAACGAAAGAAACAAAACAAAAAAAATATGCGGAGTATATCTGCATGTAAAAGTGCAAAGGGACTATGTATATGTTGTTACATTTATTTAATTAGGAAAGCAACGCAAGATCGATCGGTTGCTTATGGTTTTTTTTTAGCATATTGGGTAAAGCGCTATGATTGTTACTTATATTACGGCATTTTCCGCGCCAATCTTGTTTAAAGGTGAAAGAAAAGAAAGCGATTCTCTGTGGCTGATATTATTATAGTCCGTTTTTATATTCTTACAATCTTAAAATGTTATAAAATCACAGAGCCATTAGTTAAGATGGTTTTGAAATAAAAACGGACTATGTGAATATCGGCCTGCAATAGTTTAAATTGCTTTTTTACTGGAATTTAGTAGATTACGTTGAAGATTTTACAATTATACGATTGATTGGATGCGAACAGTTCCCGAAAAAACGGAAAAATCATCACAACAATGTACTCATATTACGAAAATATCAAGGAATTAAAGATGAAATTACGAAATAGGACATAATGGCAAGCATTTTTATTCCTTTTGTCCAATATTTCATAATAACATCAATATTTCATAATAACATCATTATTTCATATAACATTATTATTTCATGATAACATCAATTATTAATATAATTTACCAGCAATTTCCTTTTTCAGTTGAAGATGTTGAGATGCGCGATGGTTTTTATAGTATAAAATCTTCAGATCTGCACATCTTGCAAAGTAACGTGGATTCTAATATTTTTTTCCTATTTTACATTCGTAATCTCCGCATTGATATTTTACAAGTTCACATTTCATAAAGATTGGAAATGTGTTTATTTTTATTTTTAGTTTTTGTTTTAAAATTATTAATAATAATAATAATTAATAATAATAATTAATAATTATTAATTATTATTTAATTATAAAATTATTAATTAATATTTTAGATATAGCATGTACTCAGTATACAAAGTAACAGTAATATAACATTAATGTGTTATATTATTATTTTTTTTGTGTTTACTGAGTATATGTCATCGTATAAAATTGGCGCTAGACTGCGTGTATTTGCGATTCATGTGTAGTTTCATGAATAATTATTTTACTTTTAGTATATAATAACCATTTATATTTATAATTGTAAGTATGATTATTGTACTTAAAATTACATAAGTTCGTAAATTTTATAATTCAAATTTAACGAGTAACGATATTTTCTATATGTAATTACAAATCACAAATGAAGAATACGCGCATAATTTGGCACCAGCTTAATACATTAATTATATTTTCGAGATGAGAAGCAACGGACATTATTTTTTCAAATTGCATCGCGAAGCCACGGAGTCTCGAAGCTGCATAGGTATTACCAATATCGGTTCGTTGCATTGCGGCTTATCCGTGTAAATAGACCATGTTCGTTCGATGCAGTCGAAGATACCTGCAATTAAAGCTATCGATAGTAATTATCTCACACGCGCGAGACGCAGAATTTTCTCATTTGTATTCAAGTCTTTCAGGCGATTCCACGAAGTGAATTCTGAGAGACACGTGGATCGTGCTTGGATTTTAATCAGTCTATTTTGATGGACTTTGATAGATAAATCTTCAATCTTTTCTACATGTGTTTCTTCCAATATATAATGCTTCTTATTTTCTTAATAAAATCGAATTTACGCTCGATCATTAATGACCATGTAATCGTATCAATTTTAATCAAAGATAAAAGAAAGAGAGCAATTCTTATGAACTCGACTTTCTGATTCAGGGACATACCGGTGGCAATTGTCTTGACGTGATCATCGCTACGAATTTCTTGATATACTCTGAACTCATCGTCCGTCTGATCGCTGAGTATATTGATTACATCCTGACGACATTCAGCCGGTGGATGCTTGGAGATCGCTTTCATCCTCTTAATGCTACTTTGTATGATATTGCCTTTCACCTCTGCCACCTTCAGACGCAAATACCTGAAATTGTTTAATATCGTGTGACGAAATACGAAGGCGTAGAAAAATTATACGTTATCATTTAAATATTCAATGCATACATTAATATTCAATTACTTTAGCATTCGCGACTGTTGAGCAAGTGTCTTTGTAAATAAGATATATAAAATAATTGAATTATCCTACTGTCAGCATAATGATTGTTTCACTTCTAGTATGCAATAATCATTATCATAATGTTTGTGATTTTAAGTATAATAATTATCGTTAGGTCAATTTAATGAATAACAATCTTTTTGATATATTTCGAAAATTAGATTATTACTTATGTTGTCTCTAATTTAAAAAGAACATTTAGAAATGTAAATATCTATCAAACTCATTGATCTGATTCATAGCAACATTTGCATTGAATCGTTGATCATACATTTCTCGCCGAGTATAAGTTGCGTAACTGACCTTGTCCTTGAAGCAATCAATTCGAAAAATGATTTTGTAAAACGAGAAAAATTACAAAAACAATGTATGTATAACACGTTATGTATTGGGTTGTCCGGAAAGTCCGTGCGGATTTTTAAGCAAAATTCGAATGAAAAAATTTTGTTGTTAAAAGTTATTTCATTCTGTGATATATGCACCATTATTTTGCACAATACTTTTCCATCTTTCGGGTAATTTCATAATTCCTCTCTCATAGAAGTCTTGGGTTTTTTCGGCGAAGAAGCTGTCCAAGTAGTTTTTGAGGAGTTGCAAAGAAGCAAAGTTCAAACCATTAATTGAGTTTTGTAGCGACCGAAATAAATGAAAATCCGAGGGTGCAATGTCGGGGGAATACGGTGGATGAGGCAAAACATCCCAGCCAAACGCCAATAATTTTTGGCGAGTCTGCAAACTTGCATGAGGTCTGGCGTTATCATGATGAAAAACGACGCCTTTCCTATTGATCAATTCCGGACACTTTCTATCTTCAATTTATCCAACTGTGAACAGTACTTGTCCGAATCGATGGTTTCGTTGTCCGGTAGTAGCTCATAATATACTATCCCCTTCCAATTCCACCAAATGCAGAGCATTACCTTTTTCGGATGTAAGCCTGCCTTCGAAGTGGTTAATGGCGGTTCACCTCGCTTGCTCCACGACCTTTTACGCTCGACATTATTATAAATTATCCACTTTTCGTCGCCTGTTATGATGCGTTTTAAAAATGAATCGTATTCATTGCGTTTGTATAGCAAATCGCTGATGGAAATGCGGTCAATACGATTTTTCTCAGTTAAGTCGTGCGGCACCCAAACATCAAGCTTTTTTACCATCTGGAGCTTGTTTAAATGTTCGGAAACAGTTGATTTGCCAATGTTTAACCTCGCTGCGATTTCCCGAACTGTGATCTGCCGCTCGGAATCGATTAAAGCTGTTATTTGGTCGACATCAGTGGTGACTGGCCGACCAGAGCGAGGAGCATCTTCAATATTCATTTCTCCTGAACGAAATTTAGCAAACCACTTCTGACACATGCGATCACTTACGGCATCTTCCCCGTATACGGCACATATTTTTTTTCGAGTTTGTGTCGCGTTCTTTCCTTTACGGAAATAAAAAAGCATTATGCATCGAAAAAACACGTTATTTCCTTCCATCTCTAAACTAATGTCAAGTAAAAAGTTTTTAATTTATTGGGATAATTAATATCACTAAGTATGCGTTGAAATGTCACTAATCAAAACACGAAAGCATTTGACATATCACATCGACATAAACTTGTAAAATTCGCCTTTGAACGACATCTATTGAGAAATCCGCACGAACTTTCCGGACAACCCAATAATAATACATTATTATAATAATAATACATTATTATGTATAATACGTTATGTAACACGTTATGTATAATACGTTATGTAACACGTTATGTATAATACACTGGGTGTCCCATCACTGAAGGTCCATACTTTAAGGGCGTGTTGCTGATGCCATTTAGAGTAAAAAAGTCTAATAAACATATGTCCGCAAATGCTTCCTAACAGAAATACAAGCATTGAAAGTTGATATAAATATGTGAAACATTTTTTATTAGTTTATTATTGTTTACATTTTTATCAGCCTGGTATTGTTTACATTTTCTGACGATCTGATTTTGTGTTCACATTTTCGGTTATATCTTCTGTCAATTCGATATTACAAATTTAAATTAAATGTCTTTCTTTTCTTTTCTAAATGTCTTTCTTTTTTTAAATATTCAACTATCGATACTTGTATTTCTGTTAGGAAGCATTTGCGGACCCTGTATAATTGTATAATACATTATATAATTGTATACTTGTTGCAGTGCGACGTGTTTTCGCCGGGGCTGACGGTCAGAATGTTGAGCTGCGACCTGGTGGTACCTTCCTTAGCAGGGCCTACCTCGGCGTTGTGAAACATCCGATCGCCCTCCTGCGCGAGGAACGTCATGTTCACCGAGAAGCCCTCCGCCGCCCCGCAGCCCTCGTTCCTCAGCGTCTGCTGCGCCTGCACAAAGTTCTCCACGCCCAGAAGCGCCCGCGTCAAGAAATATCGCGCTGCAAAACACAAGTATATCTCTTTTACACGGGATAAATGATGCGTAAAAATTCTTTCAACAAAAATTTAAATTTGTTTACCTCAATCAAGTTGTATTTTTATGATCAACGATTAAATGCTTAAGAAGTTTGTCGACCAAGAGATAGATCTTTCAGACAGAAGTAAATGAAAGATATAAAGTTATATTTTCTGTATGACTTTAATCATTTTATTCATGTTTAATTGTACAGGAAGATTGAAATTTTATAAAGGGATGAAACTCACGAGTCTTGCCAGATCGCAGAACAGCGGCGCTAAGGGTATTGATGCTGTAAACGAGACCGTGATGGTTGTAGCCCATTGTGTAGCCCGGCAGAAAACCAGCATAGCTCAACGACGTGAATTTTTCCTCTCGGTAGCCGACCTCGATCACATGAGCGCTCACCAGGTACCAGTGATTCAAGGTCTCTTTGACGGCGTCCTCGTTGTGACCCAGAATCTCCTATGCTTTTCGTTAAACGTATGTATCACGAAAACAAAATGAAATCGAATAACGAAAATAAATAAATATAACGTTAAGTAATTCGATATAATCCTATTCTAAAGAGGCATGTTAAATCGATTCTCGAATGGAGAAATTCTCGGTTTACCTCGAAAATCTCGAAAATATTGTTGCCTCTTTTCTGTCGCTCTGATTGGTTTTTATGGTGTTATCATGTTTCGTCATTTGAGTGTTATTTGTTATTTGTTATTGTCATTTGAGTGTTATTTGTTATTTGACATCGCGAAGATTATATTGATAATCTAATACAGTGCAATACAAAGAATTAATAAATTAATAAAAGAAAATAATTACGAAGGGGTTAATTGTGTTCATAAAGTAAGTATATATATCATTAAAAATATATAATGTAACAGAATAAATGCGCGCTTTGTTTTGTTCTAGTAATGTAAAATAAAGAGCTTTATAATAATATAATAATATAATAATATAATTTTTAATAAAAAGCAAAATAAATTATTAATATTATTTAATAGATATAATAATATAAAAATATAATAGTATAACATATAATAATATAAAATAAAAATAATATAAAGTAAAATAAAAAATAATATATAATATAAAAATAATGTAATATAATAATCAAAGATATGTTAGCGACTTATTCGACTATTGTTATTAAGTAATACCATTTTGTGGTCATGAAATAATGCTTGCCGTTTCATATCTTATTACGCAAGGCAATAATTGTGACATCTGAAGGAGACTTATAGAAAAGGAAATTGATAATGCATCACAATATCATTATTATATTGTTTTGCACACAAGACGAAATCATTATCCGGCTGTATTCGTATTTAAATACATTTTTATAAGACGCAAGTGTGCGAGTTAAAATGTTTTTTCCATCACAGGTTTTTCCCGTACTAATACAAGATTTAATTAATGATTATCATATTTCACAATTTGATCGGTTCGCGCATGATTATATCACGTGAGAATTTTAGCAGGCAAGTTAGAAAAAACGGCATAAACAACACATAAATTGCTTTTAGTAGGCAAGGGTAGAGGAAATCGAGAATATGTTTGATAGTGGTTTAAAAATGGAAATTGAAAATATGATAAGAGATAGAGAAAGAGATATACAAAGGCAAACGGTAGGTAGTAAGATAAGGGAGGCGAGATATAATAAAACATATAAAGAAGTAGGAGTAGGAATAGTAAGATTTGTCTAAGTTATCCTAGTTATCTAAGAAGAGGAATTTTAGATATTGAGGGAATAGGTGATAAGATAAGATAAGAGCATTATTAAGACTAAGATGTGGAAAAAGAAAATAAGTATTGGATAATGGAAAAGGAGTATAAGGTATGTACATTTTGTGAAGAAGGATTAGATAATAGAACATTATGTAGGGGAATGTGAAGAAGTGAAGGAATGGTTTGCGAGTTTAGGAAGTAATGTAAATGAGAGGATTCAAGAGATTCAGAAGAGCTTATATAAGGTAGAAAGGAATTAGAAGTAGAAAATAAAAGATAGGTAAAAGTAATAACGAGGTAAAGAAATAAACATAAAGTATAAAGGAAATAATAAAGGTATGAATATAAGCAAAATATGTGATAATAAAAAAAATGAAAGAAAATGAAATGTGATATGTTAGATTAAGATAAGAAAATGTTAAAACTTTGTAAAGGAATGTAAGTGAATGTATATATATATATATAGATATATGTAGTGTCTAGGTATGTAATATCTAAATAGATATACATGTGAGTATGCTGATATGGAAGTAAATAGATAGGTATATATATGTAAAAAGAAATGTAAAAGGTATAAAAATATAAGTATAAAAATGTATAAAAGGTATAAAAATAGAAGTATAAAAATGTATAAGAAGAATTAGTGACTTAGGTTTTAGATATAAAAGGTATGGACGGATGAATGTGTAGAATTTTTGTTACCAAGTCCCTTCTTGGCACAAAAGCTGAAAAATAAAGTAACTAACTAGTTTAATTTATTATCACTCTTACATGTCCTGGTTGATTACATATGATAGTCGAACAGCCGACTGGAAGCAAGTTTTCTTGAATTCCATCTACGACGTTCGGAATAATGTCATCCAGATGCATTAGAAACAGCTGTAACAACCATGTTACGCGTTTTTTTAATTTTCAGAATGTTTCAACCTTCTATACACGTGAAGGAAAAAAAATATTTATTTCAAAATTGTCATCACCATCATTCTAATTACAATTAACGCGACTTTTAAATTATCAAATTTGTTTTAAAATAATTAAGATAAATGAAAAGAAGAAATTTTTAAATTCTGAAATTAAATTATAATTTTCAGTTGATACTTAAATTTTAGATTAGCGTAATTAAGGATTAACAATGCCAAGTTCTCTTCATATTTATAATTGTAAAATCCTTAAATCTCTCTTTCTTTCGGAATCAAAATTTGCCTGCGCAATTAACGATTTTCTCTTTTAATATCTTATTTTCTTCCATCGTCAATTATACACAGTAAAAAATAAAATGTTAATCATAACATTTTTCATATGTCCCAGAAAGTCCACTCTAAATTTTAAGTTAAAGTAACTCATTCGTCATATGTTACTTATTGATAAACTAAAAATGTTAAATAATTGACACAATACTTTACATTTATTTTTGTTATTGCGATTTTAAGTGTAATGTAAAAATAACATACAAATTAATTAAAAATTACATGAAAAAATAGTTTCATTGACTAAGAATTATTGTAGAACATTAACATATAATAGTAATTATTTTAGCTTAAATTATTTGTAATAGAAACATTCGATTTTAATAAATTTGATTATTTTTATATGTCAAAGTTCAATATTATTTGAAGATTTGCTTTAATTTTTTTTAGAATGTTAAACTGACTTTGAGACATGTTGATTGTTTAAAATGATTATGTTAAAAATACTCAAAATAATATTCCATTTCTAAGAGACATATACAAAGTAGTTATGAAGTTGACATAAATGTAACACATGAAAACGTTATAAAAATAATTAGATATAGGTTGTATGTTAATTTTATATTAAAATATTAATCAAAACATAGTAACAAAAGAAAATTTTAACATATGGATGCACAATTTTTTTACTATAATTGCCTCCTTTTTTCATTTAAATATTTTACAAAGATCATAGCCTAACCTTATAGAATGGCACATTTGCACCGTCTGCCGTTCCTTCAATTTCCCTCACGTATTGCGGAAACTGTTTTTTCACCGCATTAAGGGTTTCTTCATAAACATTCTTGCCATCTTCAGTAGCAAACAATGGTAGATAGGTTTCATTTAGTGGTTGGTAGATATCTACGAAATCCTGAATCATTTTGGCGAAAGTACGTCCCTGATGCAGAAAAATAAAAGATATGTCGCGAAAGAAGAAAAGATTCGATTCGAAACTAAAGAGATTAAAAATTAATTTTCCTTATAATGATAATTTAATTAATTCTCCTCGATTCGAAACTAAAGAGATTAAAAATTAATTTTCCTTATAATGATAATTTAATTAATTCTCCTTTTATCTACAAATTTATATTTAAATTATTCGTATCTCTCGTAAAGAAAAAATGTGGAATTTCCTACAAAAAAATTTCCTAAAAATTTATATTCTAGAAAAGAGAAAACACATTAACACGCGCTAGTAATTAAAATAAAAGAATTTCATCGCTGATAGGATTGAGTCGATCCTATTAACAATCAAACGCGTCATGTTATATACATCGGTCGTACATGTCACGTGTAATAATGCATGCGGAATTTAATCCGGGTGAACGTCACACATACACACATACACCGCCCTTCTCTTCTCTCTCTACTCGCATATTGTTACCAACTCCGTTCTCGTTTCGATTCCGATTAATTATGCACACTTTTTCACTCAATCGTGCATGATGTGTCGAAGTTTATTTGTTCTGATTGGACACAAGAAATTGCAATTCTCTATTAACGGTGACTTATGTGTTATTTACGATCGTAAGAAAGTGTTATAGATATAATCGAACGTTGATAGACATTTATTTGTATTTCTAAACTTTTTCATTTTCTTTTGAATTCGAAAGATACAACGAGATAAAGCGGTTGATTCATTTATCCTTGTGTAAAACGTATAATTTAATAATAACATATAATGTATAATAACGTATAATTTCGGAGTAAATTGAAGTAAAACGAGTAAATGAAAGTGCGATAATTATTAAATTTAAAATTAAAGTTAAGATTAAATTTAAAATTATTAAATTTAAAATTAAAGACGAATAATAATAAAAATAAATTCTTGAAAGTCGCCAGTAGATAAAATAAAAAAAAACTTAATACAATTCGATCACACTGGCAATTTATTGTTTAATAATGTGTCACAAACTTTTGTGACACATTATTAAACAATAAATTGCCAGTATGGTCGAATTATATTAAGTTTTTTTTTAAAAACGAATAATTATCGTACAAAGTAAAGTGAAATAATCATTATACACAAAAATTGAAATGAGAGTTATTTTACACACATTCGGGTTCGGAAGACTTGTTAAAATTTAAAGAATTAAATAAGATCTACGTAAAATTCTAATTCTTACGATATCGAAGCCAATCTCATAGTGTGTTCCTCGAACGTGAATTATAGGAACGACGTTTCTGCGGCCTATACTTTTAAAAATCGGCCTGATCTTGCTTGATTCATCGTTCGCCATGTCTTCGGCGTAGATGATAAATTGGGTTGGATCTTCTTATCCTTAATTTGACGGACGTCTGCCCTGAATTGATAATACATTTTTTTAAATGCTTGGTCGATTACGATTCGGTGAATCAGAGTTGCAATTCAAATTAGTAGTCGAAGCATGAAAATAACATATCTATGATCATATATATGATCATAGACATATAAATGATAATATATACATTAATCATTCGTCTAGAAAGTGCTTATCAAACATAATTAACTACGCTAAATAATATATATTAATATTATCTGCTCATATAATTACATATTAACAAGTTGACTAATAACTCTGATAACCATCAACAATAAAAAACGATAAAAAAAATTTTTATTGTTTTCAATATGAATAATGAATCGTTTATTAACATTACTCTACGTTTATAAAAAACTCACGTTACAAAATACTTGGGATTCTATCGGAAATGTCTTATCAACTGCAAGTCAGTTTCTATCGTTTTCAATATGATTAGTGAATCATTTATTAACGATACTCCATCAAAAACTCACGTTACCAAATACTTGGGATTCTATCGGAAATGTCTTATCAACTGCAAGTCAGTTTCTATCGTTTTTAATATGGTCAGTGTATCGTTTTTTTACGATGCTCAATCAGAAACTCTCATTATATAAAAATATTCATAAAATTTGATTTTTATAAATTTTTTTTCATTTGGAGCTTCTAAACTTCGATTAATATCGTTGATAGATAACAAAACAATTAGCTACTCGTTAATATATGATAGAACCAATTAGCTGCCGTACAAAAAATGATAAGTTATATGACAAAAAATGCCTATAAGAAACGATAAACGTATCAATTTGTAAAAGTTATATAAATATCGACGAGATCATTTTATCTTTATATATCTGTATTAATGTGTACAGTATAATTATTATCATAAATAACGATATACAGGGTGTCCCAGTTATCTTCCGTCATTTTTCAAAGACAGATTCCTAGGATCATCTGAAGACGATTTTTTTTCAACGAAAATGTCGAGGCACTAATAATTTTCGAATTATAAGTGATTGGAAATAAGGGGTTTTTCATAAATTAAGCTTTGTAAAAATAAAATATTAACAAAATCACATTCTTTGATTAATTTTAAATAGAGTTTACTTTAGTTACTTTAGTTGAGTTTTAATTTAAGACTTAATTGCAAAGGTATATGATAACAAAAATCGGGAACATGCAAAAAATGATGGCCTTTATTGACATTTTAGCCGAAGAAAAATCGTCTTCAAATGATCCGAGGAATCTGTCTTTGAAAGATGACGAAAGATAACTGGGATATCCTGTATATTATATCGTATATTTACGATTGATTCAGACGGGCAATAATTGTTCACATAAGAAACGATTCATAACTATAAGATTTGTATTGTTAAATTCTTATTCGGATCTAAAACGATAGAAACCGATTTGATCAAATTAATGTTTTATCTGGGCTTCTAAGTATGCATGATAGGATCGATAAGATAGGATTAAAAATGATACAAATATAGCCGTTTTTATTTTTTGGTTACCAGGGGACCGCATTGCTATTAATTATTCCTACGATAAACAGGATATTACACTCTCTGCTATTTTTTATACTCTTTGAAGTTTCCGATTTCACTCAATAATATCTGGTTTCTCCCTCTATTAATGCGAGGATATTTTAACAAAAAAAAAAAGTTGATATAATCCATATGTAATCAGAAACCGTCCTAGAAATACGGATAATGCAAAATATAATGATAATATAATACATACATTTAAATACATACATTTTGTAGTCAATTTTCGTGTAAAAAGGGAAATTAGACAAAACGCGCGAATAAATGTGATCACATCCAGATAGCACGTATCCAAAGGATATATTCCGAAATACATTTTTTATGTATGTCTTTTGTAATCCCATTCTGTAACTTTTAATTTAATGATAAGGTCACTATTATAACTATTTTCTGATATATTTAAATATAATATTTTAATTGCGCATGATACATGACGATATTGTCATTACGAAATTAGAAAATAAGCTTATCTAGACAGGTCTTTTGTATATGCGTGTCCGAGCCACGTGGACTTCTGTTTTTTTTTTCCGATCTTTATTCACGGAACGGATGATTCGCGGAAAAAATAACAAAAATGAAAGGAAGAGAGATGAAGGGAGGAAGGGGAATAAAAGGGAGATTCGAAGAACAATCTCATTTATCCATCGCGTGCACATACCTGCCTGCGTGATTCCTACCGGGTTGCGTGAGAGTCTCTCGCAGGTGTATCTTCGCGGATGTGGGGGCGATCGCGCAGACCGATGACAATGTTCCTCTTTATCAGACCCGTAGATCACCCGATTCGCGGCGATTAACGATCGTCGCGCGACTGACAATTTCTCGACGGTCGTCACTTCGCCATCGGGAAGACTCGCGAGTGTCTTTTATCTGACTGTTATCGCGTTACATCGCTTTACGTTCGCGTAATCGCGGCCGCGTCGCGATACGACCACCACGCGGAAAAAAAACGGAGAAAGAGAGAGAGAGAGATTTACGTTTCGCGTGTACCGCCACCCGTTACCTTGAGATTCTCTCTTAGATAGATCCGGGAGGCGGGAGTCCGCTGATAGTCACCCGGGTAAAGAGGAGGGAAGCTTATGGGAGCTTACTAATCTATGTCATCGCGTTATCGCTCTATTTAAATAATCGAATTTGTGCTGAACAATTGTGTAAAACTAATAGATTCAATGTAAGAAATCTCGATATTTGTTTGTTTTATTTCTTGATCTATTATGAAAAATGGAAGATTAACAGGAATTAAACTTCTATTCTTTTATTAAACATATATATTTATATCATATATATACATATATATATATATATATATATATATATATGATGTAAATATATATGTTTAATAATATATATACCTCTATAAAAACCTTACAAAGGTAAAAAAATATGCCAAGTACTTAAAAATATTCTATTTTGTACGCAACAAAATGTTTAATAAAAAAAGACCTTAAAAATAATTTCCAGTAATTTTTCCTCACAAAATCATTTTTCTAAAAAACAAAACAAATAATTTTTCTAAAAAAATATTAAAAAATAAAATATCAAAACCAAATATAAAATCAATAATTACTATTAGCCAAGTACTTAAGAGCGATTTATAAATTTGATATAATATTTGCCATTTGAAATATCAATCTTATATTGTAGAAATATTATACATAAGTTCTCCCTGAGAAAGTAATTAAACATATATTTATATTATATATATATATATATATATATATATATATATATATAAATATTATTATGCGTACAGCATTCTCTCTTCACGTGACTGATATAATCTTATTTATTTATATTATTTTTATCGGGAAACTTGAAGGATTTATTTTCTACATCTACTTACGTTTTACCCATCAAAATAACAGAAAATTCGAAAGAAAATATTATATATCACGAAGTTTCATCTTCTCATTAGTTTGTCGCAAATTCAATTAAAAGAATATATATAATTTAAGGTAATTCAGATAATTCACATATCCATTCTCCTTTTGCGCGAACTTATCTTTTTTATCTTAATCCTCTTTGTCAAGATATTTTTATTTTTACGTCTCATCATTATAATTGCAATGAATAATTAAAAAAGAAGAAAAACCGTACGAAAGAATTATGCGGTCATTTTAAAAATTAGGCAGCTCCATTTATAGCCATCGATTCTTTTCATACGCGCATAGATCCACTGAAAAAATTTTATTCTCAACTTAAGAATATGCCACTAATCTTTAGAATATATATTAAAGATAAGTGACATATTCTTAAGTTGAGAATACAATTTTTTCAGTGTCCAAATAGGTCTTGTGGAAGAATCTCATTCAAGGTTCTCTCGATATTGCGCTCAAGGACCTTTTGGGAAATATATCGCCGCGTGTAGACTTCATCTGTCAACAATAGATTTCGATTTCACGCGCAACTAAATATGGAGATGGCGAAGATGAACGAAGTCTTTGTTTTAGATGAGACGATGCTTTCTTCAAACAATTTCCATGTAAAAACTTATGGAGAAAAACGCAGGTCAATGACAATTACATATGGTTCCTGTATAGTTTTTCTGTCCCGAGATAATTATATTTGAGAGAGAGAGAGAGAGAAATATTCTTCAAGGTTCTAGCAAAATGTGCAACACAATGATAAAGGTTTCCTCGCACTCAATAAACCACGTAGAGAACTATCCGTAAAATTCTCCATTCTTTAAAAGTGAATCAGTGTATTGTCACTGAAAAACAGTAAATGCTCACTGATTACAAGCAGTTAAGTACAGTACTGATTACAGTGACAATACACTGATTCACTTTTAGAGAGCAGGATATTAATCTATTCGTATTTTGGTATAAAAATATGTATAATTTCAACGTATCTGTAAAAATATAAAAAGACACTAAAATTTTTACGCGCACCACATTCTCGTAATCACAAATGTCCTTAATCACAATCGCGACTTACTTATTACGATCGATTGATCATCATCAGAATTTATGTGGCTTCCATGTTCTTGCTTTTCCGCAAGTTAAATCGATTATCGTAACCTATTTTATGCGGCTTCCGCAAGATCATGATTCAAACAGATAATTTTTGTAGAACAGAAACATAAATGCACGTGTTTTTTACGCGTGTTGAATTTTACGTAATTGCATGCATATTATATAATTGCATGCATATTATATAATTGCGTTATTACTGCCCAATAGAATGATGTTATCAATAATAATGTTAAGTGTTAGTAAAACTCTATATAAATATATTTAATACAATATAGAGTATAAATTATAAATATAATATAACAATAAATAAATAAACATAATAATAATAATAAATAAATAAACATAATAATAAATAAATATAAATTATAAATATGTAATAGATAAGTAAAATTATTTTTAAAAAAATCTTTTTTAGAAGAAATTAAGTTTAAGAAATATTTTTGAAGTTATGTGTATGTGTATGTGTGTATGCAAGTCTATATTTTTTAAACACGATAAAAAAATTATTTAATAAAGAGTTCATAATAATATTAACATACATCATATGTAATAATCGGAATTATATTCAACCAACAATATATTATATTTTTTTAGAAAAATACATTAATAATGAAAGTTAAATAATTGATTTGAAATTATGGATTACCCAATACTCCCTTAATTACTTACTCTTAATAAAATTATAAACTATTGGAAAATATTTTTTTGCAATATTATTTGAGGTTTTCCTCAAATAATATTGCAAAAAAATATTTTCCATGATTTTTTCCATATTTTTTTCGATTACTTCTTTCCCGAAAAAAGAATTGTACACATTTAAAATTTTTTCCTGCCTTCTTTTTTAAATATATTTTAATGTATAATGTATTTTATAAATAAATTTCATAGATTAATTCATTGGCGACAGTTGTAACTTCTTTTTTACTTTACGATATAAAAGATATTTTGCAATATTTTTACGATATAAAAGATATTTTTGCAATTATTTACTTACAGATAAAGTATAGATGTTATGATTATAAGAATGTTAGCTTACGGACACATTCTTTTCTTATATTGAGCACTGATATTTTCACTGTTAGAAGATTATTATATAGTGAAATTGAAAAAAAAATGTAAAATCAACTTATTTACATGATTTTGCATATGATAGATCAACGAGATCAAAATTTACTAATAAGACAACCTCTCGAATCTTTCGTAGAAATGTATCTTTGGCTAGTAAAATATTTGGCGAGAAACAACATCGTACTAAAATCTTACGATGACTTTAATATGTTATGACACTGGAATCGCTAAAATTTGCGGTTCCAGTACAGTTCGTAAGACTTTAATACGATGTTGTTTATTTCCAAATATTACAACTAAGTAAACGAGTAAGATGGGGATGTACGTGAAGAAAGAGATCAGGTGTGTCTCATTCAACTAACGAGCGATAGAATTCGTAGCAACGGCACCGATGCACATCCTATGTGTAGATCATTTACACATCTTTCAGCCCAACAAATAATTGCTAGGAAACAATATTTGCGAATTGAAATATGTGAGGCGCAAGTGGCTGGATCGAGAATCAAACTCGAGTCTTTCGCTTTCCCTGTAACTGCTCTAAGCTATTTAGGCCTCACATCTAATGGCGCTATTTAATATGACTCAGGAGCGATATTGGAATCTCGCTCAATAAATGCAATGTCGATTGCCACAGACTTTAAATGTCTTAATTAATGCGCTTATTGACCAGGTAAAGCTGGTGGAGGTATTCGAGTGTATTACATCATGCTGGTCCGACTGAACGTCATAGAATGATTATATCCCTTAAGATTCCTCTAATTAGTAATAATATCTTCTAATATAGTTAATAATAATATACTTTGCCAAAGAATACATCCCTTAAGAGATAATAAATCATAGTTAATTATATCCCCTAATATAGTTAATAATAATATACTTTACCAAAGTAAAATTTGCAGTTCCCAGACAGCAAAATATATACTTGCTATATAATGATAATTAATTGTTATAGATAATCGTCAAGTATATATATATATATATATATATATATATATATATACACATATATAACAATGTACCCTGATATGTTTCCCAGCCATTCATTCACCGAAAATTTGCCGTCTAATGAAATTACAGTCAGGCAATGTGCCCTTTTTTAAATGATTTTAAATGACAGAAACGGGTAAATAGCAACATATATACATTCTGCATACACATGCATTCGCATTTAAACACATTCACCAATACGTATGTATATATTATCCCTCCTACACTATTTCCTAATAGCGTATATCGCTCTTTAATCGCGTAGATCGTTCTGCATATCGAAATCGAACTTCCACCATTGCAATTAATTGCAATCGCATCTAAGGACCATACTATCTCATTTGTCTCAGGTTATCATTATCTGTATTCAATTATACACCGTTCTATCGAAAGATACGTTCCTGCAGGTCCGAAGTCCGAATTCTCAAGATTGTGTGATTCTACACAAAAACCATAAACAGGCGCGGACCCAAACAAACCGCTCATCGCAGTCAGTGCATTGACCTTACATCATAATTCTGCCGTTTGTAAATATCGTCTGTCAAATCGTACACATGATTTAAGAAAATAAATAATTCGAGGCAATTTAGATGATTCATTCTCTCTTCGGATATATCTTTTTATCTCAATCCTCTTTCTCGAGATAGCTTTATTCTTACATTTTGTCGTCGTAATTGCGATGGATAATTGAAAAAAAGAAAAAAAAACGGAAGAATTATAGCATAAATATGTCATCATTTAGAAATTAATGCAGTACCATTTATATCAATTCCTCTCACAGAGGTATGCATAAATCCGAATAAGTCTTGTGGAAAAATCTCATTCAAGGTTCTCTTGATATTAACACTCAAGGATCGTTCGGAAAATATATCGCCGCTTGTGTGTACTTCGTCTATTGACAATGGATTTCAATTTGACAAGTAAAACTGAAGACGAACAGAGTTTTTGGCGAGACGACACTTTCTTCAAATAATTTTCATAAATCATTCAATGTAAAAACATAGGAAAAAACGCATGTATGGCTTCTGCGTAATTTTTTTGTCCCGAGATAATTAGATTGCTGTACATTTAAAAGAAAAAAATCTTCTTCAGGTTCCAATAAATTGTGCAACGCAATAATAAAGATTCCCTCGCGTGCATTCAATAAATCTTAATATAGAAGACAATCTATAAAATTCTTCAGAGTATTAATCTATATTCGTGTTTTACTAGTATGAAAATATATATCAACGTATCCGTAAAAAGAAATAAAAAACTTTTCACGCGCATTCTTGCCAAATTCTCGTATCACAAATGTCCGCGTATAAATATAATCTAATATACATATAGTAAAATTAATTTTTGAAAAGAATATTTTTCAAAAGAAATTAACTTTAAAAATATTTTTGAAATTGTGCGTATGTGCGTATACAATTCTACATTGTGTAAGTGCAATAAAAAAATTATTTAAAAATTTTGAAATGATTCACAATGATATTAATATACAAAGTTATAATTAATAATCGGTATTGTATTAAATCAACATTATATTTTTTAGATAAAAATGTACATTAATTACGAGGGCTTAACAATCAGTTTAAAATTATGGATCGCCTAATTAGTCCCTTATTTTTTAGTAAAATTATTAATTAGTTAATTTTAAAAATTCCAGACATACAAAAACGGTTTTCTCTCTTATTACGTCATAATTTTGATAATTTTAAGCTAATTGTCTTCATACCCTGAGACAATTCTTATTTCAAAAATATATGTACAAATTAATACATTTATATTTAACATCGCAGTAAAATAATAATAAAAAAATCGCTTGTGTGTGCGTACTTTAGAGCTTTAGAATAATTATTGCGCAGTACAAAACGAAAGTGTTTTACGACATATTATTCTGCGTCAAAGATAATGCAAAATTTAACTTTAATCGAAATTGGAATATTGTGCGAAAGACAGTCGTATTTAATAATGAAAGCACTGAAGTTTGTACTTTTATCAGTAATATCGCATATTATAATCACGTGAATATTTCTTTATACAATGTGAAATGATAAAATAACTACTAATTATATAGTATTATCTTACTAATAGAGAGATCTTTTGCTTTTTCAACACAAAAATCATTCCTTCTCTTATTCTTGTGCGAGCAGAAGCTCGAACCTTTATTTGAATATCTAACCTGACATTAAGTAGCATTTAATAATATGCTAAAAATTGTGTTCTTCTTTATTTTCTTTCATTCATTTTTATACTTTCTCATCTCGACAAAAGAAGTTAGGAAAGCATGGAATTATTTTTAAAAAGATAATTCCATACTTTCCTAATTTCTTTGTCGAGATGAGAAAGTATAAAAAGATAATTCCATGCTATACCTAAAACTATTTTTTTTCAAAAATAATAGGTTTTGAAAAATAAGATTTACTGCTTCTCTCTATTAATATAAAATAATCAATCTTGAATATCTTTCTATTAATGAGATCTTGAATATCTTTCTATTAATGAGATAATAGTAATGTAAATTTCTAAAGATATGAGGAACATTTTGAAGATAATTTTAGTTTGACTCCAGTGCTATGTTCAAATATAATTTGAGCATAAAAATCACAATAACAGAAAAATGTAATGTAATTATTATGTAATATAATTAGAAAAAGAGTTATATATAATTAAATATATGTATAACAGAAAGTCTTACAAATGTTGATCAATTATATTAGAATTAGCATGCTCTTCTTTGTTCAGCTATTCTTTCACTTCGCCGTAACTGTGGGACATTATTAACCATTACTTCTTCATCCTCTTGATTATTCATATTGATATTCGTTTCATCCCTATCACTCCATTTAACTATTTTACCATCCCACTATGAAATATAATTATAAATAATAAATTTCACCATGATAATAGTTTATATCTTGAATAGTTATATATGTAATATTAAATATATATTAAATATAAGTTTTATGTAAATGTCCAGAAAATGAAACTCTCAAATAATATTGCAAAGAAACATTTTCCAATTTATTTTTTCGATTTAGTTTTTAGCAATAGTTGTAACTTTGTTTTTCTTTATTTTGAAAAAGATATCTTTGCAATGAGAGAGATTTACTTACAGATGAGGTATAGATGTTGTGATTATAAGGATGCCAGCTAACATCACGGACGCATCCCCTATGACCTCTTATATTGAGCACTATTTTGCCTGTTAGAAGATCGTATACTGAAATTAAAAAAAAGAAATCATGTAATATATATCAATATGCTCATGTACACAATGATTTTACATGATTAACAAGATCAAAACTTACTAATAAGTCGACCTCTCGAGTCTCCTGTGGAAATGTATTTTTGACCAGTTGTAATATTTGGTGAAAAACGACAACGTATTAGTGTTTTACGGACGCAATGACCGTAATATGTCATGACACTAGTGTCACCGTCTAAAACTTGTGGTTCTCGCACTGGAACAACAAAATACATATTTATTATATAATGATAATTGGTTATTACGCATATATTTGCGCATATATATGTGACAATTGTGGATAACAATCAATTATCATTAGAAGTAGCTTAAACATATCTAAATATAATTTGAAAATAAAAATAATGACTCTCCTAACAATTTTTTTTCTTTTTAATTTATATAGCTACAATAAATATTTACTTATTTCAGGCATACGCTGCCATCGGTAGTCCCAATGCTGACGATTGACAAACTGTCTAGCAATTTCTTCAGCTCTGTGACTGGAGCATTTGCGTATGTCCCATAACTTAATACTTTGATCTTTTGAATTGGATATCAAATATCGTCCATCACCACGTGAATCGATGTGCGTGATTCCATTATTATGGCCAACCAATACTCCAACGGGACGCGAATTTGTTTCGCTTATCAATCTCCTATCCCATACCTAAGTAAAAAGACATTGAAGACTAATATACAGAGACTTTTTGAATAATTGTAATTTTTTGGAACGAATATTTTAACGCGCTCAATCTCTCTCGCGATGCTTATGCTCAACTTATGTTACTATAGAAAAAAAGAAAGAAAAATTCTTGGGTCAATTATACCTTACATAATCCATCGTCACTGCCACTGTAGAAGATTTGTGAAATGTTGTCAGCAATAGCTACAGTATTTACATCTTTACTATGACCAGAAAACTGTAAAAATTAATGATCAATGTAAGGCCAATATAAAGAATCGCGAATACGCCTTCTTCTTTCTAGCTAATAATTCTACAAACCCGTAAAATTTGCCGATTACACTCGCGGTCATATATATAAATATATCCGTTATTGGCGCCACCGAAAATTTCTCTGCCATCGTATGAAAATACTATTGAGAACACACAAAATCGCCGATCTATCGGGCTTAACTGTAGCTTTTCCAAGGCCCAATTTCTGCATCCATGGAGAGAAACTTGATAAACTGTCAAAAATACAAAAAAAAAAAAAGAAATGCTTAAAAGCCCTAAACAAATATAATTCTAATATACTTACGACTTTCCGACCAGCTCGAGTATGCGATGTGTCTACCATCTGGAGAAAACGCTATGTCTAAAATACTCCAACCCACGTCGCATGCTTGGATTTCCTTGTATAGGTCAATTCTATCGCCACATGTATGATACATCTGCAATCGTTTATCTGCAAAGATTTGCACACTGAATATAAAGCAATCAATAAATCTTATTAAAGGTCATAAAATTGCAAGTGTAATTTTATGACTTTGCAAAGTTCAATCAACCATTTATATATGAAATGCATGAAACTTTTCACATAAAATAATACATGATAAGTAAAATAGAATTTACCTTGAGTAGCGGTGATAAAAAACTTCCCATCCTTGGAATATAAACCACAGAACACCTTAGAATTATAATTCTTTACTATACATGGTTTATTCGGTAAAAGACTATTTCTTAATCTACATTTTTCATTTGTCGTAAAACTATCAGGCTTAAGGGATCTTCTTTGTATCACAGGTATGATGGACACGTTCTGTTGGTCAGAACTATATGCTATCCCAGATGCCTGTCTGGTGATATAATTTATATCATTTTCCTAAAAAGCATCCCACAAAGTTACAAGTGCAAATTATACAAGATATGCAAGGTAATTGATATCAAGAATTGAAAAAAATATAAAAAGTAGTAATAAATATATATCAAGAAATTTGCTCCTGTTTTTTAAAAAAAAGAAAAAGAAGAATATTTTTCAAACAATATATTCAATAAAAAATAAAGTTATTCTATAGTAGATAACTCACCACTAGCCTGGTTGTATCTTGAACAAATCTCTGATTTGAGGTGTTCGCAACTTCATCTTCGGATTCATCAGACCTATCCTCTATATTGTTTGCACTGAGAAAGGGAAGATAATGATTTAAGATAGTATAATTATGTAATTGTGCAGTGTACATTCTGTGTTTCTAAATATGCACTATGAAGTAGCATAATAGTACGTGATACAGTGCACACCGAGAGTGAGAGACAATATAACTATGAGCATTTTTCAACAAACGACACATAGGATACAGTGAATCATTTCACCCTTGTTTACACTCGGCAATCAACAAGGATAAAGTGATACACTGTCTAAACTTATTTTTCTATAATCTGAGGGAAAAGTTATTTGAAGTTACTCCCACTCAGCAGATGAATGTCTATGAATCACTGATTTCTCGAAGATAAATTTGAAGATAATATTGTTTAGTAATATCAACAAAAGTGTCTCCCGAAGAAGTTAAAAATTCACAGAATTTGTTCTATCTATCTATCTATCTCTCTCTCTCTCTCTCTCTCTCTTTGCGCACGTCTTACCACTACTCGTACTACCTATGCTCGTAAGGTATAGAATAATATGCGTAGAGTATGGTGAATGGACCCTGATAGAGCCAATGTATAGAGTTCGATAGGAATAATTATCCGAAATATGTATGTCGCATGACACTGAGATTAGGTTAGGTCAGGTTACGATTGACAGGTGCAGCGTACGAATGTGACGCGAGACGCAGGCGAGGAAAGATCTTTCTTGTTTCTGTTCACAGACTCGATCAGCGATCAGGATCAATGATTACCGGCAGATGTAACCCAACAAGGCGACACACGCGATTCGAGGACGAGAATCGTAAAAGCACGTGCAATTCGCTATCATAGTACTAAGATGTGGTCAGCAAAATGGAAAAAGATACGGCGTGAAGATGGCTACTCCCTCTCCCTCTCTTTCTAACCAATATTAGAGCGTTGAATAGAAAGTGACAGATTGACCGTCTTCTTCACGTCCCATCCTTCTCTTTCGCTTTTACATATGGATAGTGCAGCTGGTGCCCTATGTCATGAGGGCGAGAGAGACAGGCTCGAGAGGTCAGGAAATAGCGCGCGCGAAAGAAGGATCGATGGTGAAAGTCTATACAAACGGACTTGCATAATACGTGCGATATATATATATATATATATATATATTTGTTTTCAGTCCGACAAAAAAAGTTTCTATTTATAAATTATTTATGTAGACATCACCCATAATTGCGATACATAATTGAACACAATATAAGACAACAAATCTGTGACTATGTCCCAAGGAGAACGAAAAAGTCAAAGTAATGTTAATTTGATGTCACATTAACTAAAACATCACATTTTAGTCAATTTGACATTAATATGACGTCAAATGATATTAATTTGACTTTTGTATCCTCCTTGAGGTTACACGTCATTCTTCATCGGGTTTAATAACAGCTGTTCTAAGGCTGGCCAATTACAATTATTCTATTCTTCAAAGGAACAGCTGATTGGCCAATCCCGGATGTATGAAGATATTAATGGCTATGAAAAGTTTTAAGGCACCTTTTCATGTTCGATGCTCGATACTCGATATTCATTTTCAGCGTCAAAGAACATCACATGACTAAAAATAAAGATAATTTATCATTTTTTGATCACTTGATGTCTTTTGAAAATGAGCGTCGAACGTTTCATGAATTTGTGCCTCGTATTTTTAAGGTTATAAATAAATCGACCAATCATAGTCAAGCATTTTCATAACGTAATAAAAATATTTGACTGTGATTGATCAATTTATGATCTTATGATTACGAATAAAATATTTTCATCTGTCATACGGCCTTAAAAAATGTATAAATATAATTTCTAATCGACTGAAGTTTAAAGTTGTGAGTTCTATAATAAGTGTGCTCCACTTGATGCTATTTTTGCTTCAAAATTTTCGCTTCTTCTTGATTGGTTTATTAAACGCTTCGAAGTTTCGCCAGAAATGTAGGTATCATATAATTCAAAACTTTAATGACTTCTACTAGTCGCTCTTTGAGTCGCGAATATTAGTATATGCAATTATGTATAAAAATAAACGGATATGACATAAAAACAGTTAAGTAACGAATAATGTTTATGAATATATTGCGATCAATTGCGATCATCAAATGGAACGCAACTTAAATAAATCTTTAATCGCGCGAAAAGCAAAGCGCGAAAGCAACATTAAAAATGTTCAAATAGCTAATCGCCTGCGTTCTATGTGAATATTATGCATGATTACAATAGACTTGGTCGCACTCTCTTTTAAGTGGCTTAAAAATATTAATAAAATGAGACAATAGAGAGTATGCAGTCTAGTTATATTTAAGTCTTTGATATTAAAAGACGCCATGTTTGAATATAAAAAACATGCGTTTTCTTTCTCTCTCTCTCATTTTCTCCATCTACATATATCCAATATATTCAGTATATATCGTACATATAAATAAATTGTTGATATTTAACAAGATAACAAGATAACAAATAACTCAAATATTTTGGAGTTATTTAGAACTCAACACCGTAAAAAATCCGCGAATATTGGCATCATTTTTCTAAATTTCTCGTTTTTTTTGTTTGATTTTTTTTTTAGTTTCTGCAAACGCAAAGTTGATTTTAAATCGTACAACCCACGCAACCTCGAAACAATTTCGTGATTTCGTGCAACGTTGAACTTCTCTTATTAATATAAATAAATTTTTATTTCGCGTATATATTTCGCTCGAATTTCGCGTATTGTATTTATCGGCATTCAAATATAAACTGTCGGTGATTTCGGGATTCGCGGTTTTTCATTATTAAACAATTTAATGCATTTGTCAACATTTATCTATCGCTAAAGTTCACCTTTTATAAATGTAGAACAATTTGTAATAATATTGCATAATAATTTGCAATAATTACAATTTCAGAAGCGATAAAATGTAGTTTTTTTCAACATCGGAATCCATATCCATTCAATTCAATTGATCAGTACATTCAGCTCGATTGAGAATTGCATGATGAGAACAACATATTGAAATTGGAAAATTCATGATCTTTAAAATAGCAAATCTTTGCTATTATATTTATAATTATTGATTTAATAATATTTCCATCGATTTAATTTCTATTTTTGGAGAAGTATCACGCTTGTGAACGATATGTAAATTTCATAATAATAATAATCATAATAATGAATCGTGTATGTGTAATATATTAATACATTAATACATTAATACATTAATGCATTATAATGTATTAATACATTAATTTTTTTGTCTCAAAATGTATTCTTTGAAAATGCATTTCGCGCAAATTGATTCTCTAATGCTTTTCGTCGCGATACTTTTTTTATCTGATTATTTTTTGCAATTTTTTCCATAATGATTTCATGAATTGCCCTTTCTATTATCTGTTATCGTAAAACAATATCTCGCGAGAACGCGTGCTCTTGAATCTTCCCGGGAAGACTTCGTTTCTGATTATGCAAATCGAATCGTATTTATTATCGCATATACTGCGGTAACTGGTTCAAACTTTAGAAACGTACTAGAAAGTTTAAGATAAAGGTAAAGGTCGCGAAAGACGGTTTGCTAAAAGATTACAGTTACAAGATAGTGATATTAAAAGAAATTTATGTGACGTGATGGGTGAATGTATAAATTTGTATTAAACTTATGACTTATACTTTAACATAATCCGGATTCTACGCAACAAGGCACCGGAAAATGATAATTAATTTGATACAACGATGCGGTTAATTTTGCGGTTAAGTAATTCACGGTCGGATCAATATTTCAATGCTATTATATTTTTATCGATATATCCGCACAGTTAATATTTCGACATTTGATAGCGAATGATAGCTTAATATAATATGCATTCTGTGTTTATTGCACGAAAATTCTTTTCTTAATTTTGCATAAATTTTTGTTTTTATTGTTGTTGTTTTAATTTTTATATTATTCTTTTTCAAAGATTTTTCCCTTGATTTGGCATCAGAATCTTTTAATAAAGCATCTCTGCATTCATGTTTTGAAGTTTAATTTACGAAACAAAGGAAAATGATAAATGCACTTTGTAATAAACAGATAAAGTCTTATTACTTAACTAAATTCATTACCGATTGCATGATTGTTGTTAGAAGAAAAAATAAATAAAACTGTTTTTTTATGCTTTATTTTATTTCTTTACAAGAGAAAATGTTGGGAAAATTAATTGTTGTGTGTATTTTAATTAAAAATAAAATATGATCGATTAAAAATGTGATGGGTCGCGTCATTTCGTTATCATACATATTACATAGGTAAATGGAAATTCAAATTTAATCATTTATAGAGTAAACAAGGATTTTGGGGGCGGAAAATTATTACCTCACGAGAACAAAAGGTTAAAGATTAATAGATTAAATAATTAGATATTTACTGTTGTCCAATAGACTAAGTCTATTATATTCAATAAATTAGATAATATCAGAGATGATTGTGGACATATAAATGAAGGCAAAATGAAAATTCTTCGTGATTTTTTCAACTCACGTTGCAACTCTTTTGTCCACGACCATTTGTTAAACGGAACATCTTAAAGCCGTAAAACAATTTTTTATCTTTTGCCAATTTAAAATCAATTTTCTAAAATTTTTAGATTTTAATAACTTTTTTCATAAATGATTGAGAAAAAAGGATTTATTTTCGCGAAAACCCTCAAACTTTGAAAAGCCAAATGGATAACGAAACTAAAATTTTTTAATAAATTTTATTAAATTTATTAAAGTACGAAAGAAATGAAATAAAACATAGTCTTTCTCAATCTTTTCCTTAAATATTGATTTCAGATTGTCTACTGAAGCTAAAATCTGTCATTAAAAATGTATTCAGTAATTTTGGGTGCTGATTTATTTTTTATATAGGGAAAGCAAATTTCGCTTTGGGAATCGCGTCTATCATCGTTCAATGATGCATCATCACTTTCGGCCTTGTCGATCACGGACGGGAGAATCCTAATAGCGTTAGCAAATATTGCGCCGCTATTTCCGATTGTCCTGCGCGTAATCGTATCTGTATAACGGTTCGATACGAGCGGAAGCGTCCGTTGCTACTGTCCGGACGTGAGCGTCCTGAAAATGGTACTTGCGATAATGCGTTTGATGCACGGTGAATTTGAATCGCGCCCTAATTTCATATTCATCGCAATAATTTACAGTATGGACTGCTCGTTCGTTAAAAATACCTTGTAATACGAATAATTTTCAAGAGCCCATCGAAAAAGCTCCCTCTCTCTCTTTCTCTAATCGCTAATTGCTTCAGAGAAATCACGGGATATTATTCTTCTTAATTTGAAGAGCGAACTTTACTTTTCCAGAAAATTTCAATTTAAGAGGTTGAATCCGATAAAACTTTCAATATTGATATTCGAAAATCGATGGCAAATAATGAGGTAGCTCGACGCTTTATACAGAAAGTGTAGGTGTCAAAAATCCGTCAATCCATGAATCTGTCTAAGAGACATATCGAAATATGTATTTAATTAATTTCGCTCTCTGTTTGTGGATGCTAATAATTGAGTCTCGAATTGTAAATATCGATGCTTCAGGCACTTACACCTACTTGATTATATAATTACAATTAATTCTATTTCAGAGCACGAGTACCACGAATCTAGCTTTGAGCAAGAAGTATACTATAAATATAAATTTCACTGGATGGCAAATATTTCAAGCAATAAAAAAATACGCGAACTTGTTACGAATATAATAATTAATGATTTATAATTTGATTTATAATATATTGAATACAATTGCACGGAAAAATCGATATTGCCAGTTTTTCGATTTTCGAATCGCGGAATATATTTTTTTTTTATTTACATGTATAACAAAGATAACTGAATTATTAAAAAGTGCGAGAAAAAAACAATGTATTTTTGATTCAACATCCCGCTACGTGGAATTTTGTTTTTCATATTCCTTTATAAAATGACTGCACTCGAATAATAATATTTCGTGCAATTGGTTTCTCTCCGCATAACTGTGCCCAATTGAATTACAATTGAAGCGAGCCGACATTGCGCTCGCGCGCACGATTAATTCGGGCGTGATTTTACGAGAGAGTCCGAAATCTCATTGGGACACAAATTTGCCGGCCGACACGCCGACAATCGTCAGAGAAAATGGGTTTGATATGGAGGAGATCCGATCGTGCCGGATGTACAATAGACGCCGCGACACAATAGCACGATTACGACGAAATTAGATCGGTCCATTGATTGGTTCGTTGACTCGCAGCAAACTTGCTACAATGCGGAGAGTTATAGATACGACCGTGACTCGTATTTCTGATGGAGCGGCGCGTGACGTCAGAGTATATACGCAACGAGATCCGAGGAGTTCAACGCAGGAACGGGATGAGCCCTTAATTTATGAGATCCATTTCGAGAACGCGATTTTGTAATATATTTCCGCAACTTTCAAATTGGCATCATTTTTTTGCGCCGCGCCTCTCTCATTCCTTCGCAAACCTTTTTAATTGCATCGCATCAACATTCCACATCCATAAAAAATCCAGAAAAGAAATTCAAAAACCTCACTCTAAATTTAATCGGCGCATTAAAATATTATGGAAATTTAATTTCGCAAAATCCCATTTTCTTTCGAATAAATTTTATAAAATTAATTAAAATTTAAAATTAATTAATAAAATTAACAAAAATCTTATTTCTTACATCAAAGCTATTTAAATCGCACATTCTCTTTTAATCTTTCCGACACGTTTCAAAGTCGCATCTCGACAATGACAAATGAAGCAAGGAAAAATCGAAAAATCGTGAGAGTTGTGAGTTTTTGGCGCAATCAAATGGAGTATTAAAGAAGGATCATTGGCTCGCTCTCGTCAGATTCGTCACTCAATTGATAGATAAATTAGAGTTGGATCAGCTAACCAATCAGTCAGCGGACAATCGCTCATCGTTATGTGACGTCTCGGGGGTAAAAAGGGTGGTCGAGTGTATTGATGGCAGGCGAGCAGACAGGCGGACAGGCAGATAGATAGGTAAATGGGTAAGGCAGTCGAGTAGGCAGGCATACAGATAGGTAGGTAGGTAGGCAGGCAGAAACGCAGGCAGAATGCAGGCAGGTTTTTTTCGACGCGAGGGAGGAAATCTCCCGCATCAATCCTCGTTCTCCTCGCCTTTCTCCCCCAATTCTTGCATCTCCCCCGCGCATATATCTAACACCTACCTACCTACTTTTCTACCTACCTCCCTACTACCTACCTACCTATCAACCTATCAACCTACCAACCTACCAACCTACCTACCCTGCAACCCAGACCTATAATTTCCAGGCAACGAGGAGGCCTACACTCTGAGCTCGGGAGCCGGGCGAGGACCTGCCAGGCGCCGGCGGAGAGCCAGGAGGCGGAGGGCGCGCGCGCACGCGCGTGATCCGTCAGCGACGACGTCGACGTCGCCGTCGACGGCGATACGCCGCCGCTGGAACGGCTACGGTGACAAGAGGGTTCGAAGAGGGGAAGGGGATGGAATGCGGGGAGAGGGGAGAAGGATCGCTGTTTACAGGATAACAGGATCCTCTTCTGCTCCGATCGCGCCAGTCCATCGTCGCGACGCACCATCGGCGCATCCCGTCGGCCGCGGCGCGGCGTCCACGACCACGCACACACACACAGGGGCACGCGCTGTCAGCGCGAGAGCTCGCCCCCTCCTCCCTCCCGCCCGCCCCGTCTGTCAACCCCGTGAGCGCGCGCGCGCGCGCGCGCGAGCCACGCGCGTCGCGTCCGTCTACTCGCTTGCGAGTTCGCGCCAATCTTGGATTACTAACCCGATTACTAACCTTCCCGCAGTCGCCGTCGCCGCCGCCGCCGCCGCCGCCGTCAGCGTCGTCATCGTGCTCGTCGTCGTCGTCGTCGTCGTCGTCGTCGCCGCCGCAACCGTCGCACCATACTGTGTCTCTTTTTCCGCTTCCTTATTCCTCCTCTTCTCGCGACAAAGAGAGAGCCTATGTACGGTGGTGTGCTATCGCGCGTTTCCCGATATCGTTCGGCAACAGGTGAGTCACACACTCTCGCGCTCCTCGTCCGCCTGTCTATCCGTCTACTGCCTTTTATTTGATTCTCCCGTATGCGTGGCATCGTTCGTACGTATCAGTGCGCGTTCGCATAATTATGTATATTACGCGTACGATAGTGCATTATCCGCTGCGAGCTCCTGGGGGTGTCGCGCGGGGTCGCGGGTCTTCCTTGCTATATCCGGATATCGCGTTATGGCTCCGTTTGCGATCGCGCTACCCGCGGGATTCGCGTTTCGCATTTGCGCGTAGAAGCGCAAACGGAGGAGTGCGCGAGAAGGATTACGCGCGGGACAGGGGCGAGATTGGGGTCACACCGGGAATCCGGCAGGATAACGCGCCGCACGTCGCCGCGGGGGGAGAGCCGAGCCTCCAAGATCGGGGGTGCGATTAGAGGGGTGCGCTTGCTAACGTTAACGGCTCGCGCGCTTATATCGATTCACCGGAGCGGATAACGCCCGTTAACGACGATCCGACGAAAACTTCTGGCCTTTCGAGATCGCGGTGGCGGGATTAAAACTGCCACCGCGTGCATTAATTGTCGAGAAGCGGAGAGAAGGGTTGTCCTCTCTTCCTCCCTTTCTCTCTCTTTTTCTGTCTCATCGTTTTCCCACGAAAGTGGAAGGAAGAATGAGAGACTAAAGCAAAGGACATTTATTTCAGAAATCATATTTCCTGCATGAGAGTCCTTTAAAGAAGAGAGACACTCAAAGGAGAAAGAAATATACTCCCTATCTTTTTTGATATATAATATGCTTGTTCCTCTTTTTCTTTTTCTCTCTCTCTCTCTTTTTCGTGATTTTATTTATACATAATTTATGTAACAAGCTCTTCATACTAGATTTTCAGTGCTTCCAACTCTGGAATCATATTTAAATCAGGATCAAGTATATTTATTAATAAAATTTGATTAATTAATAATAAGCGTGCATTCGCGCGATTAATCACGTGGTATGATAGACAAATTGACCGCGAAACGTTGATAAATTTCGACAAGTTCGATGTCTTTAAATTCTGTGTAATTAATTGCTCTGGAGAAAGAATCTTTCAACACTCTCGTCGTTTAGATAAACAAATACAACGTACACACACATGTCATTGTTCATGTTATTGTCACGTTTTTATTTGAAGATTAGTACGACAGTTTCGGAGGGTTTATATTTTCGCGTTGCTAAAAAAGCGATCTCTATTTTTATACAATGAAAAAGAGCGAAGATTAACTCTAGATATCCCTCGAACATTCAACATCTTAAAAATTAAATTTCATAGAGAGAAGAATTTCATATTTTTCGCAAAATTTATTTTTCACAAAATTTATATTTAAATGATTATTTATTATGAAATGCAGACAGTAAATGTCAGTTATAAAGAGATAAGAATATAAAATTTTCCCTTTTACTTTTTGATCATAAATACCTAACTATAATAAAAATATAATAGAAGATTCGCGTCCAGATCTTTATGCTCGCGTATTTCTAAGGTGTAGGCGTATAAGGAGCAATAAGTACGCGTCATTTATGTCATTTAGTGAACGAAACGATCGCAGAACGAATCCCTCTTTGCGAATTTTAATTAATTTCTGATATACACGTACGCGCGAGAAATTTTCGCACCGTTTTTTCGTCTCGAAATAAATATTATTTTTACGCAGAGTTATTTTGTATACAAGTATCAGACTCTCCGAGCTTTCAGCTCGAATATTGTGCTGATCTTTTTCGTTCTATGAGCGCTTTCGAATGATTGAACGTGAGTAATCGACAACGATTCATCGATTTTTCTTGAAAAAGTTTCTTCATCCTTTCTTGTTATATCCGAATATTCTGAAAACGACACGAAAAAGCTCGTATTTCTATTGTCGAGGAAATCCGACAACGATCTTCACTCCTACGCGAGAAGTGCGAATAATAACACCCAATATCTCTCCTTGCGAAGGACGAGAACGCTGAAAAGTCTCTCCGAATATCAAAATATAAATTTTAAAATTATGAAAAGAGAAGAGTTGTAAAAAATTCTATAGTGTCTTTTGCACAATTTCTTTTTTAAGAGAATTTATACTTTTCAAATAGATATAGAACTGGATAGTAAATATCAATTTAATGAGAGAGAGAGAGAGAGAAACATTTTTCTCTTTCTCTCTTCCATTCTTTTTTATTTAGTCACGTATGATTCAAGAGATTTCTTCTTTTTGAAAACGCTTATTTGATATTGTAAACATTTAATTTTATTTAATATTCCTTCTATTTATAATATATAAATGTTTAAAAAAAGCTTGAATATTTCTTCCTTGATAAAAATATAATTTGCTCAATTTTTGAGATTTAGTTGTGTGAATGTTTAGCTCGCGAACATTATATTTTGCTGCAAATCGCGGTTAATATTTTGCTGCAAATCGCAGAGGTGTTTCAATATTGAACTTACAAGTTCAATATTTACGAGGTTACTTAACATTCTCGGATGAAAAAACGAGTTTGCAAATTAAGCCGCAAGCCGTAAATAGGCAACAAAATCTCATTTCAGTTTAATTTTGAAACAGAACTTTCAATGTCGATAATTAAAAAGTTTCCATGATACTACCTTCAGGTACATAGATATACGCACAATTCACGATCCAAAGATTTCACAGGTATTTGGACATTCTGTGCAGCATATAATACCATCAAGAGAAAATTTAATTAATCATGAAGTACAGAGGCTTCCCGGATTAAATCCTCAAAAGAAAAAAAGAAAAAAAATCGATTATAATATATCGTAGAGTGCATCTTTTAGAAAGTTAAATAAAAGTAAATTTTATATCGTCATGATATATAAAAAGAGGAATATGTGAAAAAGCCAATCAATCGATTAAAAAATTTTGGATTTTTTTTAAACATTTGACATAAATTCCAAGTCCTACGAATCCACCTATTAATTTCTTCACTTCTCTTAATTTAAGACAAAATTTCTCTTAATTTTCTCGATTTAGAGAAATTTAAAAATTAAAAAGTCTCGACTCTCACCTTCCAAAATCAGAAATTCAACAATTTCTCTCTCATTGATATCTCATTGATATCTCTCATGATTTCTCTCGTCGATTTATAGAAATTTTTCACGCAGCAATGGTTATAAAATCAACTTAATTTTGGCGAATCTCTCGGCGATCTTTCTCATATTACACACGTAATATGAAATATAGAGAAATCTCGCGAATATGTACCACGGCGATATTCCATTGTCACGAACGTAGAGATTGTTTTCGCGATATTACGCTTCGGTCTTGCTCCCTTTTCCCTTGACTTGCCCTTTATCCCTCCGGCGAGTTATCCAACAATATCAAAGAGACTTAACGCGCTCAATATGAATTTTGGCTTGGCAGATAATAAACGGACGAGGTCGACGTTGATCCACTGAGGGGGTCTTCGCTTCCTGGTGCCGCATCATCATGTTCGCGAAATCCAGAGGCAGTAGCACGGCACCATGCGACCTGCTCCCCGATCCTATCCGCAACACGTATGAGATTGGCAAACAGTCTGCCACAGCCGGGCCGGAGAACGTCTGGCGTATCTACGACGGCTACCGGAAGAAGGACCGAATGGTAATGAAAAAAAAAAATCGGTCGGAAAAATGGGGAATTTGATAATACTTTGTTCCTTTAAATTAATTCGTATCAAATCACGAGAAGTCAATCATTTATAGAGAATAAAATGGAATGTTATCGCAGTTTCATCGTAAACCCTCCGAAAGATTTATTGAGAATAAAATGGGAATCCCCTTCTTTCTCTGTGGAAATAAAATGTTTATTGAAAAGTTCCGTTTCGACAGTAGAATGCTGTTCAGTATTTACCGATTGTATTCTTATATCGAAAGCTATTTTCCAGATATCAGAGAGCATAAAGATTGTAGAAGATTTATTTAGATATAGAGAATACATTGATATATTTATATATTAGTTTTTATAGAGTAAAATTTTTTTTCCAGAATTTTAAGAAACACATCTTTCCCGAATGGGATTAAAACTCTTTCTAAATTAAAAACAAACTTTGCAAAGTCAGCAAAAACTCCGCAATTTTTTTACATGAGACGAAAGTAAAACACAGTAAAAAATTGTGCGTCCATTTGTTAAAATTTTTTTGTGTTACCACGTATTGATTAGTAGTTTAATGTAATATTAACATACAGCTTATATGTTATTATTTTTATAACGTTTTCATGTGTTACATTTATGTCAACTTCATAACTTAACACTTTGTATATGTCTCTTAGAAATGAAATATTATTTTGAGTATTTTTAACATAATCATTTTAAACAATCAACATGTCTCAAAGTCAGTTTAACATTCTAAGAAAAGTTAAAATCTTCAAATAATCTTGAACTTTGACATACAAAAATAATCAAATTTACTAGAATCAAATGTTTCTATTACAAATAATTTTAATTAAAATAATTATTATATGTTAATGTTCTCAACATTTCTTACGAGCTATTGAAACTATTTTTTCATGTAATTTTCAATTAATTTGTATGTTATTTTTACATTACACTTAAAATCGCAATAACAAAAATAAATGTAAAGTATTGTGTCAATTATATAACGTTTTCAATTTGCCATTAAATAACATATGACGAATGAGTTACTTTAACTTAAAATTTAGAGTGGACTTTCTAGGACATGTGAAAAATGTTATGATTAAATTTTATTTTTTACTGTGTAATAATTGCATTAAATGGCTTAATTATCGTTAAGGACCGATCTCTTTCGAGATATGTCTCAACACCTTAATCGCGATTCAATCTCCAACGATAGTTTACTCTAGAGAGAGAGACACACACAAGGAGAGACGATTGAATCGCGGATTAGAGGTAATCCAATTCGAGAAATCGATTTTGAAAGCGATCGAACGGTTGAGAAGCGCGAGAACAAGATCAGTTCGTATCCGGGCGATTCTCACACTTCAATTCCGAAGATAAATTCTTGTGGCTACCGAGAGAGGAGTTCGCGCGAAAAAATGGCGATTGCTCGCTTGCAGGAGGTCTCAATCTTCCTGTTCGACAAGCGTTCCGTGGAGAAGCTGCACAAGCCGAAACGCAGGGAAACGGTCACGGACATCCTGCGCGCAGGTGCCACTCAGATGGAGCGATACTCGCATCCGAAGCTCCTGCAGGTACGTAAGCGACCCTCGCGTATTATATAGGCCAAGGCGAGGCGCGAGAACTTTTCCTCTCGTCCTCCCTTCTCGTCCGGGTATATTTCACGAGTCGACTATCAAACTGAAATGGTTTCGTCGAGAAGAGCGACAAGACGGACGATGTTTCTGTGCAAGTTTATTTTCCAGCTTCCACGCTTCTCTCTGACATAATGCAAGATAATTGACATAAGTATCGTCAGACTAGTTATGCAATTTTCTTTCTAATCCTTACATAAAAATATATATAAAAAATATGCGCGAGGAAATCAATCGAAGAAGCATAAAGAGGAATCGCGAGAGGAGTAGTTCCTTGAAAAGCTGCGAAGAAGACGATAACGAGGAAGCCAAAGAAATGCGATCTATCCCGCTTTCTTTCTAAAAGACGGGAATTTAAAATATGATATACACACACACTAATCACAAGTATTATGCACACGCATACACCCACACTGTCAAACGTAATTGGAAACGGAATCTATTTGGAAACGAAACGAATTTCGTCAATTTATTCCGAAAGGTTTTCGGTGGAAATGTATTAAATGCATATCAGCGCGTTTTTCATCTATTTTCAAGAGCTATTTACATTCGGTATAAATCGATGCGCTATATTTGATAATCACGTAGGCGTACAAAGTGGAGGAGTGCGCGGATACGCTGGCCTTCGCGTCGGAGCCGGTCCTGGCCAGCCTGGCGAACGTCCTGGCGTACAAGGAGCAATTGGCAAACACGCTTGCGGCGCAGTCCTCGGGGCCGATGGGCAAGCAAAACCACCCGCCGGCCACGAGCCATCATCGCTCGACCTTCGTCAAGGAGTACGAGCTACTCGAGCTGGAGGTCAAATACGGACTGTTGCAGGTAAATAGAACGCGTCCCGCGCGAAAACCTCTTCATAGAAAATTATTTTTTCTTTTTCAAAAAAAAATTGTCCTTACATTTTGCAGATATATATTTAATTATTTATCTAATGAAAAATCTCTCTCTCATAGATTGTAAACGCATGCTGATAAAAGTTTGCACTCAAAAAGCGCAATTTTATGACATGTATATTGAAAGTATATTAAAGGTAGAAACTCTATTTATCAAAGTACTTTTATATTTTCTCATGGTAAAAAATAAATATTTAAAAAATGTACTTGTATGTATTAAATTGTATGAAAATTATTAAAACAGAAAGAATTATCTCGAAAAATATTATTGATAAATTTTTTCCAGCATAAAAGATGAGTTAAAAGTCTTCAAACGCTTAAAATGCTTTTTATTGGTGGTCAATCGAAACAAAATAGAAATTCTATTTATGTGTGAAGTGCTCTTATATTTTTTCACAATAGTAAAAGTATATAAATAATAATAGATAAATAGTAGTTAAATGTTAGAAAAATATATTTGTATTAAATTATTAAGAAAAAGATTATATTGTCTATACAACATTTAGTAAAAAGACAAATTACGTAAAAAGAGAGACAATTTTCTGTTTAGAAAAAGAATGCTATCGGATGCAAACGCTCTGCTTTTTTTTTTGTTTACAGTATTTCCGGTAAATCAATTTCCGCGAATTTTATTTCTTTCATTTGCCTCTATTTTCACGATAGAGGAATAGACGATAATTACTTAATACTTTTCGTGGCTCTACAAATACGGGGCACCGATAATGGGGTTCGTCCATTAGCAGTTAAGTCGTTCTAAGCGTGTAAAACGAGACTAGGGGAATAACGAACTAACGTGGCGTGTTTTTAAGCTCTCCTTTCCGCCTACGCTGCTTCGTGTACGATATTTGTTTCTTTTTCGCTTTAGTCTCTCTAATATTTAATGGATATACGATCGTAATATAAGTTTTCAACAAAAAGGTATTCTTGCGTTATATTGTTACGCTGGAATGCGGTACGGGCATACATTGAACGTGAAATTAAATGTCAAATCGCGCGTCAAATTTGCGCGAAAATAATCGATTCCCTCAATTCGGAGCGGAAATTACGCGATCGATCTCTTTCGCGCGGAATAAAAGAGGCAGGTTTCGAAATGCACGAGTACGCATGCACGACCGTGACATTGTGCGTAAGCACAATCATAACGTAGACGCAATAACGGGGGTTGCGTTGCGGAAAATTAAGTCGAATCCCGACGCATGCGTTTACGGGGGGGAGAGGGAAAGGGTGATCAGAGCGAATTTTCTCAAAAACGAGTTTCTGGTTGTAACCACGAGAAATCAACTCCATCACGGTGCTACTACCACTGGCTCGACGTAGCTCTCATATAATAGAATGTATTACGAAGCTTAATAGAATACTTGATGCCCTTAACTCTCTTCAAACTGCAACTCAAGCTTGCGTCACCGTGTTACAGCAATCGCGTTTAGCAACGCGGTCTAACGACTCGGATCCACAATTATATCTTTAGCGAAAAGTAGATGAATTAAACTTGATTGAAACGTCGTCGAAAAATTATGTCAACATTTTTCGGGGCGAAAATAATGCTAAAATTATGTCATGTAGGAAAAAAAATAATAAATATCCTCGCAACCTCTGTAAACTTTGTAAACTTTTCTCACTTTTCTTTTGACAGATCACAGAGGCTCTCTTATTCCTTCATGGCAACTGTAAATTTCTTCATAGAAACGTTTGCCCGACGAGCATCATCATTACGAAGAGGGGCACGTGGAAGTTGTCGGGATTCGAGTTTCTCGGTGAGTCTGCAATCTTGTTATCCCTCGTATAAAAGATCAATTTCTTAATCAAAGTTTGGCCCTTTTTTGTCAATATCAGCAATACTTCACTTAATAAAGGAGAATAAAGGATAAGCGTCACATTGTGCTTTTTCTCAATTGCTCAATATTAAATATGATAAAATATGATTCCTTAATAAATAAATATATAATGAGAACAATTTATATATTTTATTTATATATTAATTATTTATATATTTATTATTAATTATTTATATATTTAATATTTTTATATAATTTATATATTTTACTTACAATTTATATATTTATATCATTAAATTAAATTAAATTAAAAATTATTAAATTAAAAATTTATATTATTGAGTTGAAGAAAATTTTGTTTTCATCAAGTTATCTTATATTTATTTATTATAGATTTTAGAGAATATAAAAAAAGCTAATTATTATAGAAATAATTGATACATCGGCCAGACTCTGATAGCAATAGATGGCATGATGCAGTTTATCACTTCAGAATGCGTTTCGCTCTTGTTAGATGCGGCCAAGGAGGTACCGATAACCGTGCAATCGTGGACGAAGCACATGCCGAAAATGACTCAGCCCAATCTCGATTATATAGGTGAGGTGTCGTGAATGGCCGTGTCGTTAACGTACGCCCACGCGCTGTTCCAGTAACGTTGTTTCGAGTCACTCAACTTTACTTAGTAAAATCAATGAGTTTATATTTTGTCGCCACTCAACGCGATTAAATGCATTCTCTCGAGCCTTCGCTTAAAACCGAGTAATTGATTTTCTTCGTAAATACAAGTGGCTCTTCTATAAATAGAAATCCTGAATATTACATCCTTATAAATAGGGATTTTTTTTTAATCTCTTTCAAATGAATGAAATTTCAAACATTTTTATGCAAGATAAAAATCTTCATGTCGAGAATATGCGTTTAGTATCACAAGCACAATTATTTACTTCCCCCCTCTCTCGTGTTTGCGCGCGCGACTCTCCTGTTAGATAAAGCAACTTGGTATTATACAATTGTATTTAACTTTGAATACGCGATGAAAACAGAAATCTAATTATACAGCCATTACAATAATGTAACGATCCCGCGTTTTGTAATTCGGTTGAATTGTACTGCTCGATGAATACATTCCGCTCGAACGTTTGTATATATGTATATCAGAGAATGGCAAAACAGATTATTACCGGACTCGATATTAATATTAAAAGGAACGAGAGGGAGGGGCGCAAGAGGGAAAATTGGAAGCCCCGGAAGCCAGTCGAGTTCATTATGGGGAAAGGGGATTTCTGTATTTATATACATATATACATAAAAAAGAGCGAGGCGGGGGAGGAGGATATGCGTGGGAAATAAGCTCGGTATCAATGGAATCGAATGTAACTGTTGAAAATTTTAATTCCGCACCTTTGCACCCCAAGGCTTTAGATTGTATGAAAATTCACATCGAAAAGTCACATTAAAAATTGCTGGCAGCAGTTTTCCGACTAACGCTCTCTCTCTCATTTGCATTGTTAATTATCCTTTCGCGTCTCGTCGACCTCGTCGACATCGAGTCTGTCTGTAAATGCAACACGTTGCAGCGCCGGAGGTGCAGCAGAAGAAGCTCGGCAGCTTTTCCAGCGACATGTACAGCTTCGGTATGACGATATGCGCGATCTACAATCAGGGCCGACCGTTGATACAGGCGAATCACAGCTGCTCGGATTATCTCAAGCAACTAGAGACTGTAAGTTAATTTGTCCGCAAGTCGGAAACGAGATGATTCTCTTAGGAATGTCGAGAAGGATCTCGCGGATATTCTTTGAAAGGATTTAACCTTCGGGACAGACAGAGAGATTTCCCTTCGCGAGGATTCTTCATCTCTCCGATTCTCGCATAAATAAATTTCAGTCTTTAGTTACATCTTTTTCCCTTTCTGAGTTTTCCACCGCAATTGCATAGCACAACTGCAATCGTATCATAGTTGGCTAATTGGAAAGTGAAAAAAAGCGCGTCTGCGTACAATTTATTTGCTGAAATTCCTTTTGCGAGATACCTATTTGTTTATATAAAAAATATTGATTTTATTCTATCCAATAGTTTCAAATTGCGTTTTTCGTTAGAACGACGTAGTATATTGTTTGTTGCCACGCTCTATACTTCAATTCACAATTTCATGCGATATTTCAATCGTCAAAAGAGTAGCTGCAATTTTCAAAAAAATTCTCGACACAAAAAATATTTAAAAAGCCATCGACTACCCGCATTATCGCACAGTCAATCCTTCTACTGTCCCGTAAATCAATATACGATAATTACACAGAGAGCAATATTGTTCCATAAAAAGCCCGATACATTTCACAAACATAATACACTTTTACTATAACATTCAAGTCTCCTAAAAAAATAACTCGTCGGATTAAACAAGTGTCGCGTTATTATTCCATCCCATCGATCAGCTCGACGATCAAGTCTCCGTCATCTTACCACTGGTACCGATACCCCTGCGAGAAGCCGTAACACGACTCATGCACAAGGATCCCGAGCAAAGGCCTACCGCGCAAATATTGACCATGATCAAGTTCTTCCGGGATCCGTTTGTGCATGCTCTACAGTTTCTCGACGTCAGCAAGATGAAGGACGTGTCGCAGAAGGAACACTTTTATACGACGACTCTGAGGGAACTGCTGCCCTACATGCCGAAGGTACGCGCGAATATTGCGGCATTAATTATTAATTAATCAGGAAGGACTTGCGGGGTGGGAAAAACTCCCGGGACGGGAAAACTGAATCTACAATCGCATTTACGTCATTGCAAGCATCCCAATTGCGTGTTTAATACGTGGGATTTTGATCAAAGATGCTTTAGAGTCTCTAATTTTTTAATCATGAGATACTTCCTTTTTATTCCCGACTGCTGCCAACGGTTGGCAAAGGAGGGGATATGCGTTTCACCGAGCTCGGTTCGGTTCTTACCGCTTTTCTCGATAATAATAACATAGTTCGGTGTCATCTTTTGCACATCAGTTTTTAATTAACCAAGAATGATTTAGAACATATAATTATCATTCTTTATTCTATTATTTTTCTTTATAATTTTTTACTCCCGACTGCTGTCAATCTACGGTTGACAAAAGACGAAGGGAATATGCGTTTCACCGAGCTCAGATCGGTTCTTATCGCTTTTCTCGATAATAATAACATAGTTCGGTATCATCTTTTGCACATCAGTTTTTAATTAACCAAGAATGATTTAGAACATATAATTATCATTCTTTATTCTATTATTTTTCTTTATAATTTTCTCAGTTCCTTTTACGATACAATCATGGAATGTACGAATGTTTTGATCTTGGGGAAATGGAAAAAAAATATAACACACAAAGGAAATTAGGAATTAGCTCTCCACACGTGGGAGTTGTAAATTCGACTTCGCTCGCTTCGAGAGTTACACCCTGATCGCGCACGTTTCCGCACGTGTCACGCGAACATTTTCCGCAGAAACTCTGGTATCAGCACATCTGGACGTATCTTCACGCGGAGCTGCAGACGCAGGAAGTGCTGTCGGCCGTGTTGCAACCTATGCTGTACATCGTTCAGAACAGCACCAAGGAGGAGTACGACCAGATCGTGTTCCCCACGCTCAAGTACGTACGTGAACGAGGGCGGAAATGAGCGCGAGACCGCGCGAGATAGGCACGTCTCGTCTCACACCTCCTCCATCTTTCTCCTTCTCTATCTTCCGCAGACCACTCTTCACCAATCGAAAGTCGATTCAGGGAACCGTGACTCTACTGGAGAATCTGCACATCATCCTGGAGAAGACGCCTCAGGAATACGAGCGCGAGGTCCTCTCGATGCTGTACATGTCCTTTGAGAATTCGACTATTCAAGTACGAGTGAGTAAACCATCAATTTCACGCAAGAGTTAGGAAAAGTAGAGATATCATCGAAAAATATGTTGGTCCAACTAAATTAAATTCAACTGCTAAACCAAAAATTCTGATATAATGTTTAAGAAATTAAAAAGGATTTATAATTTGATGTAAAAATTTTTACAAATTAAAAATTACAAATTAAAGCAAATTAAATTCAACTGCTAAACCAAAAATTCTGATATAATATTTAAGAAATTAAAAAGGATTCATAATTTGATGTAAAAATTTTTACAAATTAAAGCAAATTAAATTCAACCGCTAAACCAAAAATTCTGCTATAATGTTTAAGAAATTAAAAAGGATTTATAATTTGATGTAAAAATTTTTACAAATTAAAACAAATTAAATTCGACTGCTAAACCAAAAATTCTGATATATGAATATTTAAGAAATTAAAAAGGATTTATAATTTGATGTAAAAATTCTTAATTTCCTGAAAGTTTCTATTTGAAATCACGTATCGATTCAGGATCCTAAGAATCTTTTTATATATCTCTAAAAGATAATCCTTGTATTAATCACACGATTTTGTTTGGTTTATCTACTAGATGGCCGCGTTCGTGGCTGTATCGAACGTGACGAGTTATCTTGAGGACGACGCCATACGTAACGTGGTGCTCCCGAAGCTGTTGGACGCTTTCGAAAACAACTCTGCGGACGCGCGCGTATTGATGGACGTGGTGCCGCGCATCCTGAGCCGTCTCGAGAAGCAGAAGATCATCGACTGCATCCTACCGCTCCTCTGTAAAGTCAAACTGCAAGAGCCCGAGATCGTCGTGCGGGTTGTAAGTAAGTGAAGTAAAAGCGAGTATCACACACAAGCGTGGATCTAGTACTTTATACATCATTTAATAGAAGCCTTTCTCAATAATGATCATCAACTCGTGTATTTTACGAGATCAAAAAATGCATAATTAATTTCTTTAAAACGAGATAAAAAGAAGACACGTATCTCTCTTGCGTTTGTTTGCTTGGAATGAAAAGCGTTCGAAAAAATGATTCAAAGTTTTATTTTATTGTTATTATTTATCGAGGCAAACGCAGTTATTATTGATCATATGAAGCTCGGGTAAATATGCAATATTTAATAAAATGGATCTCGAAATGAATTGTCTGTTAGGAAGAAAAAAAATTGACCAGAGACCGTTTTAATCCGTAATGAAGTAAGGGAAAAGAGCCTGTTCTCGACAACGTGGAAAAGAAAAATAAAAAAATACAAACGAAAGGAAAGAAAAAGAAATAATAAATGATCTGTGTGGCAAAGAGACAGGTATCCTCATTTCGAGAAAGAAGGGAAAAACGGCATACAAACCCTAAGGCTAATCGCTCTCGTCCGTTCGTGTTTAGATATTTACAGGTTGATGCTCACCGACAAAAAGTACGGCTTGTCTGTCAATTGGATGGCGGCCCACGCGATGCCATCGTTGCTACCGCAAACCGTGAACCCGGCGTTGAATCTCGAGCAATTCATCCTGCTCCTCGAGGTGCTGCAGGACATGTTGAACAACATCGAGAGGCAAGCACAATTAACGCTAAGAGCGAAAGTTGTAATTAAAAGTGTCGGTTGAACGGGACAACAACAACGCGATTCTCCCTCTAATTATTATGAGAATAAACGGGAACAAACGAGCTCTTGTACACGCGTTTAATGGCGTGTGCGAAATAATTGCAGAATTTTCTCGTCGGAAAATTAATGCATAAAATTCATCCAAGTATTGATTAAAAAAAGCAAAAGCCGACTGACATTTTATCGCGATGCAGCTTGTTATTCCGCCGAAACAAGGATCTCATTCACGCCACTTAACTCAATTACGGATATTACTTGGTGTAATTAATAAATATCGCCGGCTATCAATTCATTAATATCGGGCATTTGTCGATACACGTATAATGCATCTGTAGAATTTATCGAGTAACAGCCCGAGCTCTCTTTCTCTCTCTCTTTCTGCCATTGTAGAAATCAGAGGAACAAATTGACGCTCGACAATCTATCGCTGCCGAGTCCGGACAAGTATCGACCCCTGCGACATCAGTACAGCACCGATAACGTGCACGTGCCGACGTTCAACATTCCGAATTTGCGTATCGAGCAACGCAAGACCTCGTCGGCCGAGGATATGGCCAGGAAGAATAGCATCGGTGCGAAAATATCCAGGGGATATCGAACGTCTCCTTTAATCGTCATCCGGAGTTTTTTACGCGCGAGCCTAAATTTCGCGCGATGAAAACTTTCGGAGCTCTCTCGTGCAGCCTTTAAATTTTCCAACTCCTAATACACTTAACTTAATGTTTCTTTCTCGAGTCATAATAGCTAAAAGTGTACTTTCGATGTTTTGTTTTACTACACTTTCTTTCACGGCGAAATAGCACTCTAGCGTGAAGGGTTTTCATAAATACTATTAAAACCGTGAACGGTAGTTTATATAATAAATTCTCCCCGTCTCTTGGTAGCGAGAGACGAGACCACGGGTAGAAGACAGAGGAGACACGAGTCCATTAACTTTATCTGATATTTATGATAACGATCCTCCAAGGGATCATGTGACCCGCGCTTGTGATGCTAAAAAGGTATTTCTTCGCACGCAGGTTCCATATCAACGGCGTCTGCGGAAAATATGGCGCGGAAAAGTTCGATGGCTAGTAAGTGGAAATATTGGTAGTTTTTTCAGGAGCCTCTTCTCCCCCTTCCCTTCAGCATGAAATATTAACGCGACCCTCGAGAGGGGGGAGGGGGCTTGATATGAGCCTCGAAAAGCGAGGGAGATCGATCTAACCGAATCGGATGGTCGTTTAGCGATGTTTGGCGGATGGTTCACCTCGTCGTCGGCCAACGATAACAACTTCCTGCGAGTGGGTAACACGTTCACGAGTAGACGCCTGTCAGACAACACCCTGATGACACCCAAGATACGGATAGCGCCGTCCTGCGCGAGTTCGCCGGGAGCGACGCCCGGAAGCGGCCTGCCGATCCGTCGACACTCCAGCACCGGTCCCCAAGAACGACGTGGATCCAATATTAATTTATCCCCGCCTACGGTACGTATGTGTGTTGTATACAGGGTGTCCCAGACTTAACGAATCAGTCGTTCCTGGGATCATTTGATTTTTTTTTTCAAACTACTGTCGCATCGAAGACACAATCGCGCTCACTGCAGAATCCCATTTTTTATTTTATGATTTTATGATTTTATGATTTTTATGATATTTTTTTTAATTTTTTGATCCCTCTATCGATATCGATATTATCGATGTATGTGGGCCTCTTGCGCTAGGAGAAGCCGATTGGTAATCTTTAATCTTTTGTAGCGTTGAAACTATGTCTTCCTCAACATTTTGGTATTAAGATTTTCGTTTCCAAATGATCTCAGGAATCTACCGTTAATTCGTTGAGTCTGGGACATCCTGTATACACATGTAAAAGTTGCCGCACGTATCATTTACCGCGCCTACTTTAATTCGCGGCGAAACGTATCGTTGACACGCGACGTAACGTGTAGTAAAGGGAAGGATAAGAATCGTAGTCTAGAGATAAAGAATGAATATACATGAGAATTAGCGACAGAGATGCTTGCAATCGTGAAACGCGGAGGCGTGTAATGATACTTCTAAGATGAATCAAATTGTAATCCTCTTCCTCCCACGATTTCAGAGAATCAAGTTTGCGCTGATTCTCTCGCGGAATTTTATCTATCGTTTAATGAGGCACATCGAGGTTTAAAACTAGTGTGACCCAGTGACATTTTTGCGTGAGCTTGGGAACAATCGGAAAGCTACCTGCCGCCTATAAAAGCGAATCCCCTCTATTGATCATGCCACGCGATGTAAAACAGAAATAAATCGGAGCCGTTAATTGATCGCCGCGCGGTATGCATATTAATGCGCCAAGTTAGCATGAGTAGAATCGTGACTTACACACAGAAGCTCCAAGAATGAGTCGGAAAAATCAATATCTCTCGTTTATTTCGCGTGTAATGCGACCTAATAATTAATCCCGCGAGGCTCAATGCCGAGTCGAACCTGTCAAATCGAATCTGTCAAATCGAATCTGTCAAATCGAATCTGTCAAATCGAATCTGTCAAGTGGAATCTGTCACGTGGAATCTGTCAAGTGGAACCTGTTCGCAGGGGGGCGGGATGCCGATCACAAGTAGCAGCGTGCCATATCTGCTCAGTACGAGCCTAAGCAGTATTCGTGGCTCGAGACGGCCGTCCGTATCCTCGACGTCGTCGCAGCAGGGGATCGGGCTACTGCAGCAGGTTGGCTCCAGCATGGTAAGACAACTACCCCCCATCTGCCTGAACCTGAACGGACCACCACCACCACCAACACTCTCTCCATCACTCCAGCTACCGGGACAGCATTCCCACTGACCCTCCGTTACAGTGTAAGGATATTCGCTAAGACTTTGCTCCGTTGCTTGCCGCTTTCTCTCTCTCTCTCTCTCTCTCTCTCTCTCTCTCTCTTTCTTTCTCCGTCTGATCACTCCCACACGCACCTTCTCCTTAGATTAGATTCTCTCTATTCTCGATTATATATAATTAGGGGAAACCGTCGCGAATATCGAAATATTGATCAAAGTTTTCTGCTCGTAATTGATGGTAATCAAATGCGAGTAAGTTCGGGAGGAATATCAAAGTTTCAAGTGTACGCGTTTTCTTAACGTACAACTAATTGTACTGTAATTATAAAGTTTAATAACTTGATATTCGTTTTGCGTTCTCTCTCTCTTTTTCTCTTTCTTTCTCCAAAAAATAACAAATTATAATTTCCCTTCTGACCTTATCATACCATGAATTAATTTTTCAACACGAGAGACGCAAAAAATACGTAAGAATGTTATTTTTCAGTCAAAATGAAAAATTTAAATTAACAACGGAAGAGATCTTAGATCCGGAGATTTTAATTCATATAAAAAAATTTAATATATATATAACAAAATTTTTATTATTTAATATATATAATAAAATTTTTATATAAAAATTTAATATATAATAAAATTTTTATATAAATTTTCTACGAGAGCGCTCATCCTGAACGAGATTTCTCCGAGGCCTGCGCTTTCTAAGATCGATCGTTAACGCGGTTCCTCTTTATTCTCGCGACGTGCCTCGCCAAACCGATACGAGAAACGGCGAAGCCGTAAAGGGATGTCCTCCCTTCTCTTTCCTCTGTTGCAGTACCAATTCTTCAATAGGCAGCCCGAAGCGTGAAGTGCCAACGATTGTCACTGAACAAAGATCGGACAAGATCGCGGTGGTTGTTGAGTCTCTAACTAGCGCGCACCGATCCACTCGCACGCTCGGTCAATCATAAGGAACGGAGAAGCGAGGAATCGCGGATTCTCGCGAGGACAGGTCAACGACGACGCCGATTCCCTTTTAATTAGCCTCGGGATCCGGGCAATAGACGCGAGCCCAGATCACGAATTAGTGAGACCATAGATGTAAAAAAAGAAAGAAGAGGCAAATTGCAGGTACGTAAAGGTGCAAGTTAATGAGAAAGCGATTCTCGCACGCATTCCAGCCACGCTCGTGCGAGATCTAATATACATACGTAGGTATATTCCTCGGCGGCCAAGATCGCGAATTGATGATCGCAAATTAATCCGGAAAGAGGGGGAGAGAAACTTCTCCTCTCTCTCTCACCGAGTTAATATTCGCACCGCATATGTTATCTTGCCGCCAGCATAGTGGCGACGAAGGATTCAGGGATATGCGGTTCTGGAGAGGACACGTGTAATGAGCGATGGACATACGGGGTGTATCAGAAGTCGCCAACTCTGAAAAATTGGCTCGATATTATAACGTTCGAAATTATCGATGTTGAGAGAATATTCGGATAATATTAACATTTTATCTGTACAATATTTTGTGTTTATTAGTTTCGTCCGTTCTTGTATATGTATATTGTAAGCACGTATAAAAGCGTACCACAAAAAATCAAAAACATATAATATATATATCTGCACGAATAACATGAAATATTTCTATATCATCTCGAATTTTTAAATAATTTTAAACAAAATAATAAACGTATAATTCGTATAATTTATAATAAAAAAAATTGTCAGATGCAAGAAAAAAGATTTTTGTTTTGAACAGTATTTAAAAACGTAATTTTTTAATACTGTTTGTATTGTATGCACAAGGCACTTGATAAAGTGTTAATATATATTAATATTTAAATATTTTATATACAATATCATCTAATACATGCAATATTTCATAATTAATGAAATCGATTATTAACATGAATTATTAATTACTATATACATATTTCTTGATTATTTTACCTCTATTGTTACATAATAACTCTCATAATAAATTTACAATTTTAAAAATTAAATTCTTGTCGCGCATTTGAAGCTTATATACCGTCCGATTCTGAACTTGATATATCTGGGTCAAACGTCAATAATGAACTCTATAAAGTGACATAAGATAACTCGAGACGAATGTGAATTGGGAGCTAAGAACATCACGAATTTACATTTCGTAAAAATTGGAAATATAGAACGCGACTTCTGAAACAACCTGCATATCGAGTCAGGAGACACTTCCTATAGAAATATGCACACAGTACCAAAGAAAAAAAAAGAAAAATACAAAAATTAATATACACATATATCTCTCTATCTTAGCCACGGAGAGACAAAGGAATAAATATTTTTCTCGTCGATATATATTTGTCTATGTAATAATCTATAAAAGTATCGTAATAACGACGTGTGCGCGAGTCTAGCCACACGTCAGAGTCGTCAATTGTTGCACTACACAATCACTAAATCTTAAGATAGCTTTTATAACTCAGGCGTAATCGGGTAACACACTTTAGCTCATTTTCGACGATCTGTAATTCGCGATAGAAAATTCGGCAGATTATTCTATTTATTATTTTTTATTATTATTCTATGTCGCGTGTAATAATAGAAAATTTGGAAGGATAAAATATGTATATTATACATATGTACATCGTATAATTTGCGGTATATAAAATAGATTTCTATCTCTTGAATTTTATCGTGAATTATAAATCGTCTCAAATGGGTTTCACGCACGTACGCACGAACGCACGCACATATGTATGTACGCAATCGATTGAGTTTTTTGCCATACATGATGTAACTGTGTCGCGGAACACGAAATCGCCCATTGAATTATTGCACACGCGATCCAAACTAATTATATACATATATATGTTAAGAAACAAAACTTTATTATTTACGATCGATGATAATTGTAAATTATTAACATGTTAAAAATAAAAGTAATAGGCCCAAAGTACTAAGGTTTACTAAGTGATAAAAATGATAAATAAGAATCGAAACGTGGTAATTATAGCGCAGAACAAGATTTTTATTTTTAATGTATCACAAAATATATATTCAATTTCGTTAAATAATATACATTAAATAAAACATTAAACGTTTTTTCATCCATTCATTTTCAACGTAATATTTTTATTGATATCAAAAGAATGTCGAATAATAAAAATAAAAATATTTTGACATGAAAATTGACATTAATATTATTATATTGAAGAGGATCAAAAAATGATCCGAAACATTTATATTCATATATATTCTTTAACGAAATTGTAAACAAAATATATTTATATATTGTAATATATTAAAAATAAAAAGTTTTTCTTGCGCCCCAATTATCGCGCTCTGCTCTTATTTGTCGTTTTTGGTCATATAGTAATAATTGTTTCATTATATTTTGTCTGTCCATCTTCGCGTATGCAAATGGACACGAGAAATGTATATACTTTCTGTTCAAAAAATATTTTTCTCGTTACTGTTAATTACATACGCGCGAAGAAATGAATAAAATTTCAGAATTCATATGCAACTTTATTTTTTCAATACTAGTTTATTAAAAACTCTCGCAATTAAATTTTATTTCTCGAATTTATATTCTTTCGAGAAATTATTATTTTCTGATACTTTTTTCGAAAAATTTCAACAATCAAGTGCTCGGACAATCTATATGTAATTATTTGTACATTAATTTGTAAATTAATTTCATAAATTGTAAATTAATCTTTTGGTTGTAAGCCAAAGTAATCTTTCAGCAAATACTTCTTCGCCCGCGCGACGTCGCTTTCTCCGCGTAAAAAACTGTTATTGTTAGATTGCGATTTTTTCACGTTGTGTATACGTATTTGGTTGCGTGCATGCGTGCGTGTGCGTGCGTTTGAAGGATTTTAGTAGCAATAAGATTTTAAGGACTTCTCGAGTAATAAGTTTCCTTTATTATCCTCGATGTGACATTACTTCTATGCGCGCACGCATCTTTTACTCTATCTCCCATTTTGTCTCTCACTAATTATCAATTTATCAGTCATGAAAAGTAGATTGACAAAGAGTAATTTAAATCTTAAACGTTTACACAGCGACGGATTAAACATTTTGGCGCCCCTAGGCAGCGTACATTTTGCCGCCCCTAATCCAAGGTATAGTCGCAGTGTCAGATGTAGAACCGGAAAGCAAAAAAAAAAAAAAAGTACAAAATATGTATCAATTTTCTGTTACCCCTGCATTAGCTGGTGAAAACATAATATATTTTTTAATATTTTCACGACCCCAGACAGAGGCGGCGAAAATTTTCTGTCTTTGAAAATTTGCCGCCCCCTCAAATTTGCCGCCCTAGGCAAATGCCTAGGTTTGCCTCTAGTGTTAATCCGTCGCTGCGTTTACAAAATATTTCGTTGGGCAGCTCTATTTGGCACCAACACGTCACAATATATACTTGTATGTAAATAAGATATACATACTAGTATATAAATCCTCCATGAAGAACATCCATACCCACATTATTCATAAGTAAGACGAAGTCCAACAAAAAATCCATAAGTAAGATGTCCAAAGAGAGTGTGTAGTTAACGATATGTGTGCATTCGCGCGCGACCGGTCACGTCGTCTAACAATAAAGAAACTAATCATCGGAACAAATTGATCGGAACTTTGGCGATTTTAATCTTCGAAGGACTACGTCCCTGTCTTTCGATTGCAAAACAAATATACACAGAGGTCATTATTCATACGTAGCGACCACCAGTGAGAAATGGTTGGAATCTACATCAATTCGACATCGATTCGATAAATCATTTGTCAAATCGATGTCGAATCGATGTCGAATTGATGTAGATTCGACCAACATTTTTCACTGGGTCCGATCCTTCGATGCTTGATTATAACTTCCGCGAATAATTGCTAGCAATCTCTTCGATCGTACTCGAATATTTTGATACAGAGGTTTTCGGAGAGTTCATGTCTATTTGCTGAACAAATATAATCTCGATTCTTATCGCGCGAAGTGAAAAATCGAGAGATCTCTCCGTACGAAGAATGGAAACGTTTCAAACAGTAAAAAATGAAACCTTTGAGAAGTGAAATTTTATGATTTTTTTGAATTTACTTCCCAAAATAATTTATATTAATAATTCTTCAAACGCTTGTTTATTGGAGCGTTAATTGTAAATTTAAATTGATAAGAATCATTCTAGGATCTTTATAAAAATCTCTCTCGCTCTCTTTTTCTTTTTCTAAACATAATTACCATAATTGCTCTATCCCTTCATTTTGCAGCTATATTATATCTGTAAGCAAATTATACACCAAAAGATGAACAGGAAAATATATTTCAATGTCCATATATTTTTAATGGACGTGTGTAAAACTGTAACCACAAAATTAATTCGCAATTAGATTTATCGTTTAATGAAAATATAAATTATAAAATTTATAAATTTCGATTTTGATCTGAGACTATATTTGTCTCTGTTTGTATTGCATATATAGAAAAAAAATCTTACAACGCGTTTAAGAGAAATATAGAACACATACACGTATATATAAAGATTAAAAGAAAGAAAAAGAAAGAAAAGAAAAAAGAACAAGAAAGAGAATTTATTTCCCAAATTATTTTAATATTGAAAATTCGAGGAATTTTTACTTCCCAAAATAATTCGTTTTAATCTTTTATTCTTTCAATGGACCATTAATCGTAAATTTAAATTGTTAAAAATCACTTTAGAATGAAAATCCTTCTCTCTTTCTTTTTTTAAAATTCTCTGTCTCTTTTTTTAAACATAATTATCTCTGCTCCATCGCAGCTACTTCTTCCTATGTCTTTAAACAAATTATACATCATATGATAAATGAAAGATTTTATTTTATATATATCTACAAAACATGTGTAACCACAAATATTCACTCGCACAATTAATTTTGTCGTCCAATGAAAATTAAACGTTAAATTTCGCTTAATTTAATCTGTCTCTCTTTTATACTACATATATACACGTAGAAAACCTTACAATATGTTTAAAATAAATATGGAGGTCATACGCGTGTATATAAACATTTAAAAAGAGAAAAAAAGAAAGAGAGAGAAAGAAAAGAGAGAAAAAAATATGCGAAAAAGAATCTATTTTTGAAGTTATTCAAAATTATTATTAGAATTTTGCAAAATTTACTTCCTAAAATAATTCATTTTTATTTGATACTTTCATGCTTTACATGAATATTAGACTTGATCATAAATTTTGTGTAAATTCCTTATTTGATTCCAATTAATTTTTAAATGCTTGTTCATCGAAACGTTAATTATAAATTCAAAGTGGTAAAATTCGCTCTAGCATAAAAATTCTTCTCATTCCCTCTCCTTTTCTTTCTTTCTCTCTAACTATAATAATTACTTTCGAGCTATGATTGGCAGCCTTTGCCAAGCGATGCTTATACAATAATGAGAAATAATAGCACAAACATTTCATCATTTATTTTATATACGATATATGTTTATAAAACGTGTTTAGTCAAGAATAAACATTCATTTGCGCAATTAATTTTGTTGTCTAATGTAAATTAAACAATATATAAACTTAATTTGATTTGATTCTATCTGTATGTGTTGCATACTAGAAGAAAATCTTAGTAGACTTAAAATAAATACATAAGTCGCACGCGTATAAGTAAACATTAAGAAAAAGAGAGAGAAAGATGGAAGAGAAGAAAACAGGAAAGTATATGATTAATAAATTGTACTGCGGTTATGTAATTTAATAAATCATATAATTTTTATAATTCATATTTTGATTAATTCGATTTTTAATTGTATATCTATGTTTATGTTACATAGAGAGAGAGAAGACTTTTATCCATATACATATACAGCGCGTTCAAAATAAACAAATATAGAAATTATTGGCACATTAAGGCATTGAGAGAAAAAGAAAAAGAAAGAGAGAGGGGAAAAAGAAGGAAAGAAATCATTTTTCAAATTGTTAAATATCGAGGAGTAAAATTCGATAAACATCAATTTGAAAAATAAGATTATTTTTTTAAATATAAAAGAGAGTAGATTCGAAAATCGGATTATATTCGTATTGGATTTTATATGTGCAAAATCCATTTTTTAATCTTTAATCCGGCGTGAACGATTTTCATTCTTCGCGCGAGAAACGTCAAAGTTTCATCAATCTCGTTCCAAACACTCATGGTCTACAGTAGTCTACACAATCCCAAAGAATCTCGTTTTTCGTGTGGTTACGATTCTAACTAATGGCATAAGAGATTATACAAAGTTAAGTGTCCTTAACGTTAAGCACACATTTGGAGAAAGTAACAAAACGAGGTCGAGAGACGTCGAGGACGCGGCCGCGGACTCGCTCTTTCGCTCTTCCACTTCTTCTTCTTACGTACTTTAAAACAGGCAGACAATGATAAAGAATAGAAAGATATCGAAGTGTGTTATTCTATCAACTACGGACAATCACGGACAATCATTTACACGTATCAAGATAGATGTGTGTGATACGCACGACACGTATTTCGTTTAAGTAGAGACGCGTTTGGACGAGAAAACCAAACTCGTGACTTTTATCGCCAAGTAAAATATAGCGATTTTAAATGCGAAATGATCGATAAGCGACGATTATCTGTCGAATAATCGCTGGACCAAGTATATACTACAAATGCTATTTTCATCATCATTAATTTCACACAAAGTTCGACGTTTGTCGTTCAAATTAAATGGCTACAAAAAGAAAAGATGTAGAAAATTGGTGCAATAATTTAAAGATATCTAAAGATGAAGATGCTTAAAGATCTTTCTTTCCAACTCTGAATCTTATGACTATGATTGTTGACAGATTTTCTTCGCCTTTCGAAATTTTCGAAATTGATCGAATTAGGAGAAGCTAGGTATTGTACTAAGTGACACTGCAGCTTGTCGATTTAATTCGATATTGCTCACTCGTCTCGCTCTCGTATTGCTGAAAATACAAACGCTTGCGATTGTCGTAATACCAGAATCGATCAACATTGCGCCCAGGGAGACATACAATCAAATTAATACACATTCTGATGTTGATCGACACTCATAGCTCGTCCGAACGCGCGTGCATTGAGAGAGACGGTTCTCCTACAGTACATATATATGTATACTATCGATTTTTAAGAGTATCAACGCACAAACTGTCCCGTATTATGCAAGGGGCGCGTTTAGGCGTCATAGAATGGGCTCGGGTCCTGTATCCTTCGATGATGTACGATTTATTTATGAATAGTTTGTAGTCTATAAAATGGAATTCTCTCGCAGATCGAGATAAACATTGCTAGTGGAATTTTTGCATTTTGGAAAAATCGAAATGCTATCATTTCAGAGTCCCCATTGAATTCTCGGGGCCCGAACATTATTCCGCAGGGCCTAAAAGCGTCGGGATAAACATGCCGTTATGGTACAACTATAATTATTTGTCCTTTTTCTTGATTGTACACTTTCCCTTTAGATATCTTCGAGACGATCTTCATTCATAGATTTTTAAAGACAATTTCGCTTTCGTGAAACTTCCCGTCTGTCGCATCTCGTTAAATCTTCTCTCGATCCGTCTCATCGTGCTATGAGAAGCGAAAAAAAAAATATCTCTATCTTTTTATCTCTTATTGGCTTTAATTATATCACAATAATACTTACGAGATGATCAATTAATTTATACGTATTGATTGAGAATCGACGATTAAAAAAACGTATATTATAAAACGCAGATTTCGAGAAATCCCGTTTTTAAATCAACACTCTTCCTCTTCTTATTCACTTCTTGTATTCTTACATCTATGATATAAAAATCGCTGAGGAATTTTTAGAGAAATCTTTGATCGAGACTTTAGAAGATGAAAAATTTTTTTACTCGGCATTTCTCTCAAACCGTCGAATTCTGTGAAAAAGAATCAGCAATGAAGAAAGTTGAAACTCAAGCCAGCTAACGCGCGTTCCGTATAATAATTACATGCAAAACTAAAGGGAAAGTACTTCCTAATTATATACAGACGACGGAATATTAACTCTTTGAGATCGGTCGTAGGATCGAGTACATTTTTGAAATCGCAGTGTTTCGTAATTAGTGTGTGGACGTAGAGGAAGAGAATTAAAAAAAATATATATACACACGCAGCACCTCCAGAATTTAAATCGATAAGAGATGTATAGATTAATATATAAATGTGTATAAATGAGAATATTTTTCAACGTAATTTGTCGGACGACTTTTTGGATGTGTGTTACGCTCGAAAAAAATACTTTGCGCACACGACAACCGATCCTAAAGGGTGTATCTTTGCTGTGTACCTCTGATTTGTACCAATTCGATCGGCTTTATTCCCCTCCCTCCCGTCCCGCGGAATCGATCACGCGCGGATAAGTATTTATCGGCGCGTTTCCTTAACGCGGATCACCGGATTATTGTCAGTATAGCGATTCTCTCGCGTAGTAAATGGAAAAAAAAACAACAAAAAAATACATCACCGGCGAGTGAAGTGCTCAACAGAATAATCCCCGTCAAGATTATGTGTTCAGAGAGGATACGTTATACTCTATACGACGTCATTAACGATAAGATAGCCTTCAGAGGTCTATATTCAGAGAATGATATAATCCTTCTACCAATTATACATATATATAGATATATATATATATAATTATAAATGTATATTTCATGTATTCGTTTTTAAAAATACAGTAAAACCACGTTGTGTCGACACAATGTTCGAACGATTATCTTGCACGTGATCTCGTACCTTTTCCGTCTGTTTAGACAAGAATATTTAATAGATTGCGACTTTGTTAAAAAATCAAATCATATCTGGAACGTTTATTATTCTTTAGCCATCTAAAAAAACAAAAATTAAATAATATACATCGCTGCATAATAATTATATATATTGTGGAAAGTATCGTATGTCATATATCTGATTTATATATGTATGTATTAAATATATGTATAAATCAGAGATTATATTGAATATATAATTGAATATATATATAATTCGTATTTCTTTTATTAGGAAAAATAATTTGTAAATTGTATATAATTATCTAATATAAAAATAGACACTTACAATAGACTGTGTTGGTTTTATTATGATGAAATTATTTCTTGTTGATATACAAGAACCTCTATAAATGCAATTGTTTATTACAGTTCTCAATTGTATCATAACGCATCCCTTAGTTGTCAATTGTATCATAACGCATACTTTCTTCATCTTTTATTGTATGTGAAAAAATGTCATGAGATAATAAGTTGCCCATCTTAATTTATCTTTTTAATTTTAAAATTTGTCTCAAACAATTAATAAATTTTATAATTGGGCAAGAGCTTTTCTCTTAGCGATGTCATAATATAATTTTACATATACTCTTGGAGAATACCTTGACATTTGTATTTTAGCTTTGATTAATGCTATTTCATCGGGCGTTAAAGAAGATAAAAGCCTTTGTATTGTAGGTGTTTTTTCGTATTGTTCAGCTTGTTTTTTAAGTCGAAGTAGTACTAATTTCTCAGCCATTAATTTCCGTCGTTTTCTTTTCAATGCTCTTTTTCTGCAACATAATTCAAATCTTTCCGTTGCTGGATTAGTTTGTTTTACATTAGGCTTATCCGGCAAAATTGGTTGCAGTTGTTTACGAAGATAAGATCCAGCGTCTTCTGGAATATCTTCGAATAATATAATTTCTGGCGTTACCATTCCTTGACTTTCCGTGTTCAAATTTTCAAGAAACATGCTCGTCTCTGCGTCCAATGTTTCCGATTCAGTCTTAATTTCCGATTCTATTGTACTAGAATTGCAATTATTAGCAGCAGGCTTGTTTGGTATGTTTAAAGAAGGCGCTCTGCCGCGCTTCAATTTTCTCACTCTAAACGTCACTAGATAATCATCATCGGCAAAGTGCCGATAGCACACGGCACATTTGCTTATCTGCTCATCGGTCAGATGTTGAATCTTCTCGGAGTATATTATGTTCTTCCATTTCTGGAAAAGGACTGGATTCTTGGGAATCTGGTGAGACGGGGCATCTCCGCCCGATGGGCATCCCAAGACGCAACATACTCTCCCCATAATCTAAAATAAAAACTATGTAGATTTCATCGATAATCGGAGATATTTATCACTTGAACATATCTATTGCTTTATCGTTCGATTAAACACTTACGTTAATCACAAGTATATATTTATCGCTCAAAAGTGTCTCCAAACAATTCAGTCTATAACCTCCAAATGCATCATTATCCTCGAAACCGCTTTTTCCCGGTTGTTACTCGTCACGTGACCGGCGTTTGTTTTCACGAAACGCGACAGATGGCGCCCGTGATTTTTCTCTCTCAAGTTGTCACTCGTCGCGTACGCCAGGGCGGCCAATCGCCGCGCCGCATTCGCGCGCATGCGCACGCGACGTCAGCGACACTCGAATCGCCGTGCGAGGTTGCTCTACGCGAATATTTGAAAAGTGCGAGCCGAATCGCGAGCGTCGCGGCCTCGAGTCCTCGGTCTCTGTCACGTCGCGTTTCCCTCCGCTCGCGTTCCCGGAGTGATCGCCGAAAAAGTGACCCTCGTCGCGTCGCGTCTCTCCTCGTCTCTCGCGTGGCATGCGAGGAAAAGGACGCCGGTAGAACGGACGGTTTACCCGCCTCGTCGTCCTCGTCGAGGAGCGCAGGATTATGATCGATGAGCTGTGACGGGATCCCGGTGGAAGGACCACGACGGCGACGACGAGGACGACGACGACGACGACGGCAAGGACGACGATAGCGACGATGCAGCGAAGTGGTAAGCGATGAACGGAATGTCAGGTCGACGGCAGGTGCGAGATACGCCGACACCATTTTGGGCGCCGTCGAAATTTCGCCGTCAATAAGGCGCGCCTGGTCGATACACGCCGCGGACCGACCTAACCTACCGATACGCCCCGCGTCTCAACTCATTACCGACAACCCTGATTAATTACGTCTCTCGTTAGTCTCTCTCCCTTTTGTCTCTCCCCCCCCCCTCCCCTTGTACGACATCTCCCTCGATCGCAAGAATTGAGTAAGAGATTGCTTTATTTTCGGAGCATCAATCTGATGCCATCAACGAGCGTCCGTCCTTTTCTCTCTCCTCGTTTCTGGAAGCTGTAATGTCCACTAATTGACCAGACGCGTGTAATTGACACTGAGAATTAATTTGACAGTAGTCTATTTACAGTTCGTATTTCTTTACGAGTTGTATTTATTTCTCTCTTTCTCTTGTACTGTGATTGGATTTTAACAGGTGTCTCGAGACAGGTGTCTTTCGGAGACTCTTTGTTTTCATTATATATTATTAATCATAACTTTCTATATTACTTATTACCAACATATTTCATATCTTTCTATATTAAGTATCAACGACTTTTTTTTGTATAAAAATATTATATCCATGAGTGGCTTCCCCAGGAGATAGCGTTTTAATTATCTTTTAATTATTTTTGCTATTGAAATTATTGCAGACAAAAAGTCGCGAAATAAATTGAATCGAATAATTTTAGCTAGTTGATACTTGATTCATTTACAATGGAAAATCGAAATAATTAACATTCCAATTAGCATCATATAAATATCTTAAAATTACCTAGAAAAACTTGAAAATAAACATTTTAAATAAAGCCTGAAAAAGAGCGATATTTATAGTTGCCTCTTGCATAAATTTTACTTATCTATACAAATGCGCATGCATATAACACATACATCAGCACGTGTGTGTGTGTAGACATAAAAGTTTTTTATTCATAAAAAAATTCTATGAATACTACTTTAAGAATTTGAATTGATTTTCTTTATTATTTCTTTGCAATATCGATTTCTCTTACTCATTCGTTCAACGAAGTACTAAAAAATTATTTCTATTTGTATAATATATTTCTCGCCCGATTAGTTTCCCATTAAGATAAGATTGTCATTGCCTGCTGTTGGTTCTGCATAGATAACGCTCCGCTATTTTCACGGACGCCTGTTCCCAATCAGTTATAAATCGGACATAAAAACCTACGCTTGACATATGTAGTATATTCATTACATATAATTCATCTCTGTAATATATATTTTATAATTATGTAATATGTGATTTATGCTATTACAATTTTTTACTGTAATGCGATTACATATAATATATATTGTAATTATATATTATAAATGATTCTCTCTTAAATATTTTTTTTTCTTACTTTTCATAAATATTCTTCAATATAAATACATAAATTAGTAAAATTATAAATGAAGAATAAATAATTATAAAATAATAAATAAACTAGTAAATAATAAATAAAGTAATAAATAAATAAATATACTAGATAAAATAATAAATAATAAATAAAATAATAAATAATTATAAAATAATAAATAAAGAATATTAATAAAATGAAAGAAATATGATGCGATAAAATATTAACGTAATTTCCCCTAGAGATATTACACATGTTAAAACAGTCGAGATTGACCTGACAGGCATCGCAGGGTTAAAGAATCAATTCTCTTAATCGATTAAGAGAATGCTGGGAGGGAATGCGGGAGAGGAGGAATGTAGGAGAGCGATGGTGGAAGGAAGAGCAACGTGTGCGAGGATGGCAGAAGAAGCGACTTCTTCGTCGCGCGCGAAAGAAGCTCCGGGCGATCGCGAATCGCCCGAGTCGATGTGCCTTTAGTGCGAATCGCGTATTCGACACGCGAAGACGCGATCATTCGCGTATCTCGTGGCATCCCATCGTCTTCCGCATCGTGCAAATAACGAGGCTATCGTCAGTTCTATTTTCTATTTCGCATCTTCCATTCCTTACGACGATTGGAACGATCGAAATTTGCGACAAGCTTCCGCGTCTCTTCGCGATAATCGAAGCGAGAATTTTAATTCGTATATCTCGAGATAAATGTAATAGATTCCATCGTTTCTGCATCCGTAGAATTCTCAAAGGCACGGATTTTCTTCGCGATAGACCCGTCTTGTCGAGCGCAAATTAAATTCTTAGATTTGTATCTAATCAATAATTTAAATTGTAAGTTGTGGAAATAATAATTATTGATTAATTAATTGTATTTATACAAGAATTTATAAAAAAAATTTAATAACTTTGCGCGACGCAGTTTATTTATACACATTTTATAGTTATACATTTACAGTTATAAAATATATATATATATATATATATTTACATACATTTTTACACATATATATTTTATACATTTTTATACATATTTTTTATTAAATGAAAATATATTACATAAAATAAATATATTGAATAAAAATTTTACAAATATAAAAAAATTTATATAAAAATAGTGCAAAAGAAAACATGAAATTTTTGAATTATTAAACCTATGAGTGGGCAGATCTTTCCTGTCAAGTGGCAGTCTAACGATTATTTATCAAATGTCAAATCAACGTTTTTCGACGATCGCGCATCTGATCGCTTGATCGAGACATTAATTAAACCACTATTCTTCGATTTCTTCGACTTGATATATCCGACATGCCTAGCCTAGCTGGTACATTGTATGTATCGCGCGATATTTAAAATCCAACCCCGGGAATCGCCGTACTTTTTGGAAAATCTATTTCCGTCGATGGCACCCCTCGGTGCAGCGCGCGTGGCCACGATTCGGACGATTCATCGCGATAGAATCCGACGATAAGACAGAGATATCAGACGGATAATCGGGATGGAGACTTCCACAATCGCTCTGCACGATTCACGTAAGAAACCTGCTCTTTTCGTATACCCCTTTTTCTTCTTTTTTTCTATTTTTTTTCTATCTTCACTTTGAAAATTATCGATTGATATTTTAAATATTATGAGGGCAAGAGAAAGAACTTTTTGAATATAATTTATTCCTGAGGCTTGATTTAAAAGAAAAATAAATAAATTGATCCCCAAAGATCATTATTTAATTTATAATATAATTATATAATATAATATAATATAATATAATATAATAATATTATATAATATAATATAATTATTTAATTTATAGTTTAGAAGAAAACCATTTTTTTAAACGCATTTTAGCAACGTGACACATTTTCGAGAAATATATAGATATTTTTTTTATAACATTTTTTTTTTATAAAAATTAGCAACCAATCATAATTAAAAGAAAATATTGATAGAAATGCGTATAATTGGACAAGATTATTATACTAAATAAAAAAACTAATAAAAAAACTACTTAAAAAAATATTCGATATTTATTTTATAAATAGACAATATTCAACAACGGACAGTTGTAATAAAAATGCCCCAATAGTAAACAAGCACAAAAAATACAATTCTAACGTAACATTTCCTCCCTTTCCTTTCGTGTCCCGGACGATCCTTGGTCTTTATCGTCCTTATCGCTAACCCGGGTCTCCTTTTCCTATCTATCTACCCCGCTTCCCTATCCATTTTTCTGGCTTGTTTCCGGTGCTGCACGGATGCTGGATGACCACATGGGCAACGTCGACGATGACAATGACGACTACGACAACGACGATAACGTCATCACCGTCACGGTCGCTTCGGACACCACGACAGCGGTGAGTCCCTCTGTCTGTCTCTCTCTTTCTTTCTCTCTCTCTTTCGCTCTGATAAGGCTAGTCGCATTCCGATCGTTGTACAAGTCGGCTTCGTGTTCGTAATATTAATACCGTGGTCGCGTGAGTTCAGTTTGCACGACGATCGCGCGGACCTCGAATCGATCGAACGAGTGTCACGGTGCGACAGAGAAATATTTCGCTAATTTTTCGACGAACGGAGTGTCAGTTCTACACAGTTCTACACGATAATCGCAAAACTGTCGAATGTGTATATCCGACATGGGCAGATTAGTTTAATATGTATGGAATTATTATTTATTTAATTGGAAATCTTTAATTCATCCATCAAAAACAGAATTTATATAAATTTACAAAGAAAAATTGTGTGTCTCTGTGAATATACACTAATCAACAATAAATAGGGAGCACTTTTTGAATCCTAAATATTGGACATTCTTTTTGAAGAATGTTGATTTCAAAGTCATGTAGCTCGGTCAAAAAAAATCGTAGGAAAATTTTTAAAAAAGCGTTTTGTAGGCAAAATGTTGCAGTTTATGGAATTTTAGTTGAAATTTTTTCTCGAGAAAATTTTTTTTATCAAGTTGCAACATGTTAAAAATATATAATTTTAAAGAACTAAACAGTGTGTTCTTTTTTAAAACGCAAAATAAAGAAGATAAAAAATTTTAAAAAACCATCAACTGCCGCGTTAAATTTGAAACTTCAAGCTTCAAAATGCTTTTTTAATTTTTTATCTACGATATGATTTTTTGATGAGTTTCAGCGGTTTGAAAATAGCTCAATTTTTAGAGTTCAAAAAGTGTTCTTTATTTTTTTTGACTAGTGTATAATTTTTATATTTTTATCTCGAAAACTTTTTTCAAAATATTTAATTTAGAAAAAAAAATATCATTGGAATTTTCGTGAGACGATTATCTATTTTTTGTCTTCCAGTCTTGTATTATAATCTTTTGTATCATCAATTTCTAAGGCAGAAGTTACAACACCGATGTTTTCCTACGACTCTTGGAGATAAGGAACAACTAATATATTAAGCGTAACATTATACAAAAAATTCTTCGTGTCTAACCAATAATTCAAACCAATAAACTGTATTGAAGTTTGAAACACAATGATTAATTTATAAGTTTGGTATAATTTTAATAAATTAATGATGCGATTTAACAATTTTTATACTTAATTTTTATTTTTATACTTAATTTTGTAATAAATATAAAAAAATTATATAAGCAATACAAGGATACAAATTTTCTAAAAATATTTTTGTCATATTCTCAATTATTTTATAAACTTTGAAATAATAAATATTTTCACAAAATTTAATTTACATTTTATCACAATCAAGCTACATAAAAAACAAATAAAGTTTGATGTATATTCAAAAGTTTCTTTTTTACACATAATAAAAAAACAATTCTATTAAGTTTCTTTATTTTACTGCACTGATACATTTATTATGTGCTAAAAGTAATAAATGTCGAAATTAACAATTTTCTGCATAATGTAATATGTAATTTCTGAATATTATATTATTATATGTAACAGAATGACCAGTAACATCCTATTGAATTGATCAATTTTTACTTTATTATTTTTTGTTATACTATTCTTCATCAGTAACTTGAGAGCAACGTCATAATTGTCAAAATCTTTCATCCATGAGCTTGTAAATGAAATAAGTTCATAAATGATTGCACATTTCACGAAAATTTACTAAGCTTTTATCTACACATATAATAGAGAGAATGGTAAAATATAACGTATCAAATTTCTTTACGAGCTTCTGATTTCACGGAACAGCAACTTATGAAATTTATCGTTCTGTCTCCAAACCGTAGAACAACATTCCGGTTTTGTACAGACGTGTCGACTTAAAGCTGCAAGTAGATAAAATTTCTATCCCGGTGGATTTTTACTAGCCAAGCCCGTTTCGTTATCAGTTTCGCGCCAACGATCAGGATCGATCGAATTGCGAGAAAATCGCTCTCGAGTAAATTTCTGATCGCGTTTCCGTGATCGAATCAACGCGATTTCTCTGGACACGATAGTGCGTTTCCTATACACGACGCGAACCGAGTTAGTCGAGCTAAACTATTGATGAAAGTGCGATATATATTGTGAATCAGCGAGTTACTATTTGACGATTGGCGAGCAATCGGATGAATGATGTCGGCGACGGACCCGTCGACGAGACGCCGTTTGAACCCGGCCGTTCTCGCCAGATATAATTGCCAAAAAAACAAGGAGTCTCAACAGGTAGTCGTAGTGTCATCATTCGCGTCACAATTTTTTTATTGATAATATACTAATAGAAAGACAGCTATCTTGTGCAAATGTTACATAAATATTATATAAATACTTGGAAATGTGACATTCTAGCACATACATTCGGAAATTTATCTGCACATGTATGTGTAATATATATATATATATATATATATATATATATATATATATATCAATTAATATTTATTAATTCGATTTATATATATATAATTATTTCAATTTTATATATATTGTATATTCGTATATATATTTTTAAAATTAAATTTGAACCTCAAAATAAGTAAATTATATAAAATATTACATATGTAGGGTGTTTCTTAATAAGTGTGAAAAATTTTAGGAGATGAGTATTGGCGAAAATTTTAGGAGATGAGTATTGGCGAAAATTAAGGCTTTTTCATATAAACATATACTCCTACATCTCTCCCTGTGGAGTTACATTTCTCCAAAAATGAGAGTAAAAAATTAGGTTTTTATTTTTTAGATTTTTATTATAATTTTGTTCCAATTTTCCCAACATTTACTCTAATTTTATTTTTATTTTAAAATTTAACTTCTCGTAATTCGAAACCTATACTACTTAGTACACGATAACGTATTTTTTTTTTCTTGAAAACTACTGATTTTATGAAAAAAATAAAAGAAATAAAAAAGTTTCTAAATAAATCAAACTTTTTAATGCATATGTTTAGATAATCATATTGCGACCCATTAAAAAGTTCTAATAAAATTAAATAGGGATTGCTAGCTTCATTCCTTTATAACAATACGGGAGACTGAAAAAAATATTGATAAATAACCTTTTTACTAGTAGAAAATATTCACCTAATTTCATTTCTTTGTTTCAAATTTTAGAAAAAAATAAAAACTTAATTTTTATCCCCATTTTTGGAGTGTAACTTCACTATATGTTTATATGAAAAACCCCCCTTTAATTTTCGATAAAGAATCATCTCTTAAAATTTTTCGCACTTATTAAGAAGCACCCTGTATATATACATAAAATCGAATTAATGGATATTAATTAATACACGAACTAATTGATATATATTATATATTTGGATTATATGATGCGTTGTTTATATTATATATTTGGATTATATGATGCGTTGTTTATATTATACATTTGGATTATATGATGCGTTGTTTGGCGAAGAAATGATTTCGAGAGAGTTTCCAGCCGACTTATTGCGACGCATTGTCGCGAGTTGCATTCCACTCGAGACGTCCTTTTATTCTTCGTCCGCCTCGTCCGTTCGAACGTGTACGTACGCACGTACGCAACGCGACACGCGTGGCTAACAGTTCGGTGCTCTTATTAGCTCGACGTCCAATTAAGGCCGCAATCGACATGCTGTCCGGGCATTTCGCTATGCGTACTTCCTAGTGGACGCGTTAGAATAACAAGCGCAAAGACAATGCGCTTGATCGCGGGAGCGTTGACATCGCGAAATCGAGACCGACGTGCTCGAATCACTTAAAGCTAATCGACGCACTCTCGTCGTTAGAAGTGGCGCGCGATCATGTTCCATTACAACGCGATGCGTGTTCGTTGACAGAGGAGCGATCGCCTGATAAGATCATCTCTGATCCTGCACTCCTTTCGAGTTTAATTCTCAGTCACGAAAGCACGCAAGATTCTCGTCAAAAGTTGTCAAGATCTAAATAAGTGTACATGCCAAATTACTGTTTAACTAATAGCTCAAATCTTCTCTCTTTATCTCTAATTTAGCCAATTAATTAGTTGTTGAAGAACTTATGAATTGCGTTTGTGAGCATGATTTCTATTCTGGATCTTGTTGTGGGAGTATTTATAGCTCAAGAGGCGTATTTAATATGTGAAAAATAACGAACACAATTTTTCCATCAGATATTTTTTTCAGAATATTATGAAGAGGTTTCTATTTTTCTCAGTCTCTTGTTACTATTATAACTTTTTTGTTATTATTATTATATGTAACTCCGTTATTGATGTCCTCTTGATATTTGATGCCAGGACGCACGTGTATGAATATCATATATCGAGGATATCTAATCAAAGTAATTCTAACCGCGGTAATTTAATACATAATATATCATTGCATTTTTAATCTCATTAATTGAATAAATTAAATTGTCGCACACCCAGACAGCACACATGTCCAAAAGACATTTAAAATATTTAAAGACGTCTTAACATCCTCTAGACGTTTTTAAGACATCTTTTGGTCTTTTTGTGCTGTCTGGGCACATATTTCTTGCACGCATTTTTCTAAATAATTGCACGACATGAATTTTACATTTTTGAATATTATAATTAAATATTTGTGAAAATATATAATTTTAATTATAATATTATATTTAAATATTTGTGAAAATTTAGTTTCGAGATGAATAATTTATTTATTTATTAATATAACAATGTATCTAAATACTATAACAATTTTCTACAACTGCATTCGTAACCAATTTGTTTACGTTTTAATAAAATTAATGAGTGTCTGCAAAATATGTCAAAGAACAAAATAATCCAAGTTATTACTTTATTAAATTTTAACAAAACACATTAATTTAAAGATGCCTTTAAATGATTTTGCTGCGTAAAGCAAAGAAAGTTGTCGACGAACGAAAGCAAGAGTGTTCGCTTCAAAGCCTTAGCAAAGGTCCAGTCAAGCGACTGAAAGGACGCGACACTACAATATCGACGCTGGGTGTCGATAGAGCTTCGCTCGCGCGCCGTCAGCGTCGAGCGCGCTGACTGATCTGCGCGAGTGACCGACGACGCGTGCGCCGTCGACGTCCGCGGCTGGCCGGCGCATGCGCGCTACGACCACGAATCGCGCCGCGGCGGCGCACAGCGTCTTCTCCCCCCTCTTTCGCTCTCTTTCCCCTCGCGGCAGCTGCGTCAGGCGTGGTCGCCGCAGTACGTACGAGTCGGTTGTAGGGAGTGTGTCGCGCGGATCGAGCTCTCGTCGAGGACGCGTTTAGTGCAATTTTGTGACGTTTCGTTGGTGCGGTGATCAATTATACGCGTCGCGTCGTCGCATTCGCGTCCTCCCTCTGTATTCGCGCGTGCGGGACGCGTGTAAAACGCGATGAACGGCCAAGTGAGAGTGAAAACGCGGCCACGCTCGACCGGCTCGCCGACGGCGTGAATCATCGGCAACGCCGGCTCCGACCCTCGGGAGCCCGCACACAGTGCGACGCACGTTATACAGTCCCCGTTTCTTTCCTTCTCGCTCCTTCGCGGGCGTGCGCGCGCGCGCGCGCGTGGTGTGTGTCTGTGTGTTTCCTCCGACGCGTTCTCTGTCCCGTCCTTCTTCTTTCATGCGAAAAAGACCTCGCGCTACCTACGCAGCGAACCTTAAGGTTTTTTAGTGTCGATCACAAAGGACATAGGTTAGTAGCTTGCTGCTCGTCTTGATTTTCATGCTCGGTGCATGTGCGACGGCCAGGTAGTGTTCTCGTTGGGAATCGCGTCGATATCGGTTCGGTAACTGGCTATTTCGAACATGAGAACTGGAGAGAAACGTTCCCTCTCCAGAAATTTTCTCGATATTTATTCTCGAGAACGAGGGAGATCGGGCGAACGGGCAGGCTATTGTTTCCGGTTAACGAAATATTGACTCCATTCAAACGTCAAGGACGGAAACCGGTGTAATTTCGATGAGTCGACGTTCCGATGGCGTGGACGCGCGAAAGTGACCTCTATGTTTACTTGCATGTCACAATGGAAACGCGGCATGGAATTTATTTCTTTCCTGTGTATTTATGTACACAGGAAAATTCATCGAAATTATGCCGCTCTCTCTTTCTAAACTGCAGCGAATCAGAGCTGCCCTGTTGCAACAGTCAAATTGATATTATTTATCTATTTAATTAATTCATATTTATTACAAAATTAATCTTAATTCATTTCAATATAATACTAATATTTTTGATTATTTTAAATATAATTCTAATCATTTTAATTAATTTACATTAAAATTTTGTATACAAAAATCCTTTTCAAATTTCTGAGAAATCTTTTTACATTAGAAAGAAATCTTAATTATTTATTTAATTTTGATTAAAATTTTCGTTAACCAGAAGAAGTAGCATGTCTCAATTTTGTCTCGTATTCATGGAGAGATCCTTTCTCTTTTCGATCGCGACCGATCATTGAAGTTAAACGATGGGAGTAATTTTTTTTATTCCGATTAATGTTCGATTTCTTTTATTTTGCAATACATTCCTAATATCGTAGTCATGCGAGTCGAAAGATACAGACAGTGTGAGTCAACATCGACCGATTATGCGTAAATAATCATTGCACATGAATTCGAGCGTGGAAGAATTTAAATACGAGGTGTATGTAAACAAAATTCACAATCTTTTTTAATATTGAATTGAGAATGCAGTCTCTGTAAAAGACACATAGTATATTTGCTTAATTAAGTTTGATAGTTGAGAATATTGAATATATTTACTATTACATTAAGTAGTTTTTATTGGCAATAAATTTTCATTAGAGTTAATTACATGCTTCGCATAAATCAATGGAATACGTTAGTATCTACGATATTCAATTTATCAATGATAAGTTTCTTGAAAAATTGAAAGATCTGTCTTTATATAGTCGATCTATAATTTGCGACAAAATTGAAGACAGAATTCTAATTTATATATTTGCAATGTATTAAAACATTTTTCGTAAAATATGTACAAATCAAAATATTAATATATTACATTGAAACATATAACATAATAAAATAATAAAATTATTAATAGAATTCTGTCTTGAATTTTATAATATTTTATAATATATAATATATGTATATTATATATTATATAATATTATATAAAATTATTTGCCTAAATTAATTAAATTAATTCCAGTAATTTATAATTAATTTAATTAAAATAATTTTTTATTACATGTTGAACTTTTTAAAAAAAATATTTATATAAAATGATATCTAATCTTTTGACAATATTTAAGGTTTGGAGAGATATATGGCTGCATTTCTAGTTCGATATCGAAAATATCAGTAACATTGCTTTCTCATGTTTCCTTGTCTTTGTGGATCGATTCCGAGTAATGCCACGTTTGTTCATACGAGATACGAAACCGAAACGAGAAACACCGCCTCCGTCGTCGCCCGATTATCCTCGCGGAATATAAGACAAGTATGGAACTAGTCTCGTTACGGAACACCATCTCTCTCGTGACGAGGATAAATAAAACCGCATCTGGTATCGACTTTCAATGTGTTCCGACGCCCCAATCGAGAGGCTTCTTTCTCTTCTTCTACCTGAAAACATTTTTGCCAGAGGAATCATTCGACTCAATCGCGCGCATTGAAAAGCTCACTTTTCAATACAGCCGGATATATTAAAGCTTCTTCATAATCTGATTTTTTCGCCGAGAAAAGTAGCCAATATTTTTACAAAACACTACAATTCTCATTTTTTTAGAATTAGATTTATAATTTATTACAAATTATATTATTTATTATAAAATTTATTATAAAAAATTTTATTATAAAATTGCGTGTGTATATATTTTAAAATATATACTATTTTTTTGTCAACAAATCAGATTACAAAGAAAAATAATAAAAAAATAAATACATATATAAATTCTCTATTTTTACGTATATTTATGACAAATTAATAATGATGCTATTCATTAATAAAACAAATTAATTTTACAAATAATACAATAGTATATTTAAATACGTACGTAAAAAAATGAGATTTATCTGTGAATTTCATCGTGAAATAGATTGATCACAGTTCATCGTGAAATAGATTGATTACAGTTTTCCATTATCGAACAAGAATCGGAATAACAACGTTATCTCGTACTTATAGGCTAGTTAAATAGGTTAGCTAAGCGTTTCTCAAATAAAGTTTCGCAGGAACAAATTAAAGCTCTTCTCGATTGGCGCGTTTAGTTTTGGAATGCACAGTCGATCTACAATTTACGCACGTTGGTGCATTTTATACGTCGTTTGAATCATCCTTGTGCATCGATTTTTTTTTTATGAACCTGGACTCTGTTTCATAAAACTGCATATCGATAATATGAGACATATATACTAGTGTTGTAACTAGTAATCCGAGAATATGACGTCTAGAGATTAAATATGTTTTATTTTTGTTATTATTGTATTTTACGCATTTATTTTTGATATTAAAATTAAGAGTCGCGTTTTTGTCAAAATTTCCTCATAATTTTTAATAATTTCCTAATAATTATATTTAGAAAAAATCATTAAGTGTTGCTTTTTAGAAGATAATAAATAAGATAATAAATAGATTAATAGATTAATCACATTCCAATTATAAAATTATAGATTCTTGTAAATTTAGAAATTTGTAAATATAACTTAACTATGACGTGAAACGTGTAATTAAAGATTAAAAAATAAACATAATTACTTTTTAGATTATCGATTTGATTATTCTGATTTAATAAAAGTAAAATAAAAAGGTAATATTTTTTACGCTCTGTTAAAAAAATATATAAAAAAATAAATAAAAAAATGTACAATTAATAAAGTAACGATTTTCTACCTGGATAATATTGCGAAAATTGCAGTTTTATGAAAAATCGAGACTTGCCAGTAACTCTTATATTCCACGATATTAATCCTTAAACCGAAATATCTCTAAGACTCGGTGATGAATTAATAATCTTTTTAACATAATGTGCGCATATATCGTCGTTACGCTATTATGTACACGCACCGGCAGGAATGGTGTCCCGCTATGCTTGTGTTGACGCTCACTGACGTCACACTCACACAAGCGAAGCACGTATGTACGCATGTACATTATATTATATAAAGAGAAAATTATAATTATTATTTAATTTAATAGAATGAATATGCCGGTGCACGCGGTTGAACCGCATTTTAACTCCGTTAAAAAAAGAAATGAAAAATATATCGACACCTTTCCTGCCGGTGCGTGTACACATAATGAATGAATGACATATCATAAATTATTCATATTATTTCTATGACATATCAATAAATTCATATTATTTCTATGACATTCATTTCAAAGAACGCAATCGAAACATTCCGAGTAGTCTCAGAGATCGCACGTTCGCTACCAGAATCATCCGATGAAAAATCCGACTCTGACAGATGACAGATGACATTACGCGCTCACGTGTCACCACACGTGTGTACATGACATAATTACACGAGAGCGAACCTGTTGACTATCTCTCCGATCTTTCGGTTCAAGGGTTAATAAGTCCCCCTCCGAGAGCCTCCCGGTGACGATCCTCCGTCGGAGAGACGAGAAAAGGAAGCCGGAGTAGCCCGCGTACGTCTGTAGCGGGGTGACGGAATGTCGGCCACGGAGAACCAGAACGGCACCGCGGGCGGCGCGCAGAGCAACGGCATCAAGACGCCGTCGGCGTCGTCGTCGTCGTCGACGGCGTCGTCCACGGCGTCGTCGGGCATCTCGCCGTCCGGGGGCCGCGGCCTGCCCAACAACAGCAACTCGTCCTTCCTCTACAGCAACAGCACGATGCTGAGCCGCGAGAAGGCGCGGCAAGTGCCGCCGCCGACCCTACCCAAGTATACCTCGAGCTTTAACGCCGGCTCGAACGGCGGTGGCGTCGGCACCGCCGCCGAGCGGCTCAGCAGGGACCGCGAGGCCGGCGGCAGCTACAGGCTCGCCAGCATGGACAGGCTGGCCATGCGACAGAGGCTACTGGACGGAGAGAAGGCGAACGGCGAGCCCATCTCGGTAAGCGCGATGCGAGGGCGAGTCGTCAAATATGCATACGGATTGTCCCGCGAAATCGGTAGCATCGATTGGGGTAGCGCGGTTGGGAGCTTCATTCGGTTCAGATCGGAGTTCTCTTTTCGAAGAGTTTAGGAAATTTTTTAGGATTGACAGAGAAGTCCATCCATCAGGGGGTGCAGGAAAAATCATATACCGCAAATTTCTCCTATCCTGGATTTTCCAAATAAACTATAAATATTATAGATATATAATATATTATAAAATGATTAATATATGTGATGTGGGAAAACCGTATATTTATATTATAAAATGATTAATATATGTGATGTGGGAAAACGTATATTTATATAATTTTAATATAAAAAGATATGTTTGCTTTAATTAATAAATCATCATTAGTCATATAATTTAAAGAAGAACAAAGTATAATAATAGTTTTTTTTTTATTTAAATTAATATGTGAAATATATTTTTAAAATAAAAAAATATAAATATCACTAAATTTTATATTAATTTTTAAGTTAATGAGAAAAATACACACAACAGAAAAATATTTAATTAGTGACAGAAAAATCTTTATCAATATAGATCTGGTTTCATATTTATCATTCAATATTTTGAAAAATTAATTTATATTATTTCCTACACCGATTTTTAATCTATTTCGGATTTTATTTTGGATAAAACTAAATTGGAAAATTAAATTGGAAAACTTTTAATTTTAATTGATTCCAAATTGGCTAACAGTTATGTAAATTGACAACAAAATTAATTATCATTTTTACGAAGAAATCTTTATATAGTACTTTCTATCACATTCTGGCATTCATATTTTTAGATTTTCTATTCGATTATCGTTTTTAAAAAATATCAGGAAAAATGAATTTTTGCCGGATTTTTCTGGTATATATCAGTTATTTTTAAATAGTATGGACTTTATCCAAAAATGGGGAATTTTTGAAATCTTGACTCCTTTAGAGATATATTCCGATATATACTTACTGATATACTACTTCTTGGAAGAATCTGACAATATTTGTACACGTAAAAATAGCATCATTTTGTGATAAGCTGTCAATCAATTATTAATAATTTCGTGATATGCTATCTTTTTCCTTATTTTTTTTAATAAATTGCTATAATATCATTGTAGATTAGATCTGTTACATCATGAAATCGTATATATAATGTTGTCAAAAGTAATCTGACTGAACTTAATTTTGTAAGTCTTATATGAAGAATTGATTTCGTAAGTCTTATTTGAAAAATTGATTTTCTAAATTATTTTATGATTTTGTTACGTAAGTGAATTTAATCCTTAGTTTGTCGGATGTTAAACGTGTTACAACATTTGTTTTCTGAAATTTTTTAAACATTTGCTTTTCCACTGAAATGATGATGACAGAGTCTCTGAAAGATATGCAGACATGATTGTTTTACTTGGAAATACTATTAAAATAATTCTTTTATATGTCTTTCGCAGAAAGTCATTTTCAGTTATATAAATTTATTATTACTCATGATTCAATTTTATTCTTTAAAAACAGAGTTTTTAAAGTAAATATATATATAGTGATATGTTTATTGATATGTCTAAGGACTTTCGATACTCCAACTTTTACGATAAAATTCTCGAGAAAGTACCCAAGAAATTTTCAATCAATTTTATCAAAACATCACTTGTCAAAGTATCATTACGGAGTACAATTCGTTTATACTGTTATATCACCGATAGTCTCCCAAATAAACTGACAGACGAAAGATGAAAGCTAAAATCTTACGAATCATAATTTTTTCCATCAAGTAAAGACGCACATACACAGTAAAAAATAAAATGTTAATCACAACATTTTTCACATGTCTCAGAAAGTCCACTCTAAATTTTAAATTAAAACTCATTCGTCGTATGTTACTTATTACAAACTTATAACTTATTACAAACTAAAACCGTTAAATAATTGACACAATACTTTACATTTATTTTTGTTATTGTGACTTTAAGTGTAATAGAAAAATAACATACAAATTAATTAAAAATTACATGAAAAAATAATTACAATAACTCGTAAGAATTGTTGTAGGATATTAACATATAATAGTAATTATTTCAGCTTAAATTATTTGTAATAGAATTTGATTTTAATAAATTGATTATTATGTATGTCAAAGTTCAAAATTATTTGAAGATTCACTTTAACTTTTCTTAGAATGCTAAACTGACTTTGAGACATGTTGATTGTTTAAAATGATTATGTTAAAAATACTCAAAATAATATTCCATTTCTATCACATTTCTAAGAGACGTATAGAAAGTGTTAAGTTATGAAGTTAACATAAATGTAACAGATGAAAACGTTATAAAAATAATAACATATCAGTTATATGTTTACATTAAAGTACTAATCAAAACGTACTAATCAAAACACAAGAAAATTTTAACACATGAATACGCAATTTTTTACTGTGTATAAATATTCATCGGCGTAGATTATGACGTGATCTCGATTTGAGAATCACTGTCGAGCAACACATGGCGAAGGAGGTAGACCTCCCTCGCCGATGCTTTTCGGGACCGAAGGGTGCGCTCGTAAGTCGAGGGTCTCACCCTCGTATGTGCGCCAATCGAAAAATACTTGTAATTCGTGAGTCATACATAAAGCAGAGACGAAAAGATACACTGTTAGCGTTGCGGCTTATAAGCGGCGCTACGTTGCTGACTCACTATGTGTACGCTTCGTATTTAAATCGTGAGAACGAGTTTTTCGTCGCTCTCGTACGTCTTATTGCGCTACGTTTATCACGCCAGTGTTTATCGAGAGGATCTTATGAAACGGGTCTGAAAGCTCTTACCAACTGATCGAATAGTGAAGAGAAATAAAATATATTAAAATGTAATCTTGAAATGAAATTGACGTCTCATTATATACGTATATATTTCGGACGATTTTATTTTTTTATATTTATTGTTGGAAATACGTCTGAAGGCTTTTACAAATAAAAATTACTAATCAAGCTATGAAGAGAAGCTGAAGTATGTATTGAAATATAATCTTGAAATGAAATTGACGTCCTATTTGGATCTTTATTTTTTTACATTTAATCGCTAAAAATTCTTTTTTTGAAATTAACTTTTTTTAACGATCTAACGATTGCGAATAAAAAACTTCTGACAAATTAAACTTTATAGGAGAAAATATAAATTTATTAGAATCTAAAGTTCAGAGAGAGAGAGAGAAAGAGAGAGTTATATTATAATAATATACACCATTTGAACTGAATGGATTGAAATTGGAAGTTGACGTGCAATAAATGATAATCTCGTTGGAACGTTTTCGAGTGTACTAGAGTTGTCAACCATGAAAATGATTTCGATTGAAAAAATAACTAGGAATGAATGAAAATGAGGAAACATAACGAAGTGACGAGAGGACACACAAGAATGCTAAAAGTGTCATTGAAACGTCTCGATCCCAAAAGAGGAAGATTGTCGAAGAGTTCTCTCGCGAGGGCTAATCGCTCTGACACATTTTTACGAACGGAGAAACACAATATATCCCTCCGATAACAACTTCTCCTCGACGAGCGAGAGATAAAGAAAAATACACACACTCGCGGGGAAAGGTCTCGAACAATCGCGCCATTCAAGTCTGCCGATATATCCGTACGAGTTATAAATTCTCCCTCTCTATCGTGACAGTCCGACTTTGTTCGTGGCAGAACGATGTTTTTTTTTTTATTCGACACCAAGCGTATTTCATGTCCATGCTTTATTGTTTCATGCTGCGATCTTTCGTTTTATACATGTTATATACCTAAAGTTATACACATGTTATATACATGTTATATATCCAAAGTTCTTTAATAATAATAATATAAAAAATTGTATAATTTATATTTATATAAGATGGTATTTATAAGATATATTTATTATTCTCTCTGAAATTAGTCCAGTATGAAAACTTGGTATACTCGAGTCATTAAGACGCATTGTCTCACAGTCAGATTTATGTATTATATTTGTGTATTTCATAATTATTTGCATCATTGAAATAATATATAGATTTAAAAAAGTATAGATCATATATATTATATATATATATATATATATATATATATATATATATATATATAGATTGAAAATAATATATACATTAAAAAAAAATTAATTTTATTTGCGAAACCTCTATCTTATTTTTTACTTTAAATAAACTTTAACATAATTTTATCTGATTTTTAATTGTAAATATTAAAGAAAGATAGAAGAATTAGAGAGATGATTGCACGACGGGATAGTGTATAATAATAATTAACTTTTTCTACGGAACAATCTTTTCTAGACGAGAGCTAATTATGAATCAATGATTAAGAGAGTTAATATGTCGCGGTTAAAGGATAATTGAACTACGTTCGCGAAACGACCTGGTAATTCATTCTTGAAAGTCTATTACGTCGTGAAAGAATGGCACGATTAAATATGAATAATCGCGAACGGGATCGCATCGCGGATCGTCATGCACTGCCCTTTTCGAGACAAAGGAAACGCGCTAATTACGGTGATCGTGTGTCCAGGTCGAGGACACGTGTGCAGCGCCTGACGCGACTGTCTTAAAGAGCGCCGCTCGTCTTTATTGTGCAATCGACATTGCGTGAAATGAAAGCGATGCATTGACTGCGTTCGCTTTGTACTCTTACGCGCTGTGAGCATCATTCTGTCTTTATTGCGCATCGAATATCAAACGAAGATAGAGCGATGCTTTCAGCGCTAAAACTGTCAAAACGAACCATTGTCGCGCCATTGTCGGATTGTGCACGTATTTTGTATTGTCTGATTTGTAAATGTTATATACTTGTTATATATTTGTTATATATTTATTATATGCTTGATATATACTTTCAGCGCCGCGTCGCTAACCCAATTCCGCTTCCCACAAAAGCGAAACTGTCCTTGCCCTGAATCCCTGGCTTTTCAATAATTAACGAATCTGAACTTTGGAATTTTC